CCTGTTTTTCAATCCTGCCACTTTTTACAGTCCTCAAAAACCTCAACATGTTTAAAAATGTGGGCCGGAGAGTGTCGAAAGACTCGACTCACTCGACCCCTGCCGTCGAAGATGAGGATGACAACATATCTCTAGCTTCAACAGCGTCCGTGCAACACGACCCAGATGAAGAATTCGAGGTCGAGGATATCCTCCTCGAGGAACCAGACGATGATGGCCAACAAGTCTATCTAGTCAAGTGGGAACGCTACCCGCTAGAACAATGCACTTGGGAGCCCGAGGACAACCTGGGTGACGAACTCATAGAGATGTGGAGGGAGAAGCAACTGAGGCAGGAGGCCGGAGAGGAAGAGCCATTTGATGTGCGAGAGTTCCGTGCAGCCGTCAACAGGGCTAAGAAGGCAAAGGCCGACCGTCATCGCCGTCGCAACGCGAAGCGGCGAAAACTGGGTCTCCCGTTGACCGAGCCCTTCGATAGCTCAAGCTCGGAATCAGACCTAGACATTGTCAAGGCCGAGTCCTCTGATGAATCCAGTGATGAAGCTTTGGAGCAAGAGGAACCCGTCTCCACGGACGATCGGGAACCACGCTCGGCTCAAGAGAGTGGTGCACGCCCGCAATCAGAGCAAAAGCCCAAGCAAAAGATATTCAAAGGCATCGCTCAACCTGTACCCAAATCGGCCAAGACTGCCGCCACTACACGAGAATCGACCTTTCTCGAGCCCAAACCTAAAGCCTCTTCAAAATCCAGTTCCAAAGCCCCTGAAAGGCCTTCCCCGCCGCAACCGTCGTCCTCCAAGCCTCGACCTGAGCGGAATTTTGTATTGACAACTGGCTACCAAGGAACTGCGAGGAAGCCAGTGGATAAAGCGCGACCTAGTACTCCAAACGGGTTGACTAGGCCACTGCCCCAATCAACCCGTACCGCTCCTCCAATTGCGTCTCGACCTACGTCTGCTGGCGTCCGAAAGCCTCTGACTGCCAAAAGAACGGCCGTTAAGAAGATGGTCAGCGTCAATATCTTTGCAGCAGGCAAAGTTAGAAAACCCCGACAGAAGTTGGAGAAGGCTATGTCAGACCCAACCAAAGATCCAAAGCAGTTTAAAATGCTTAGTCAACGCCGGTGGGCTGAGAAGAAGAGCAGGGATACAGAGGATCGTCCTCCCGATCTATCGACAGCAAATATTCAACTCTTCAACATCAGACAGATCCCAACAGAAAGGAAGATCTCGCTAAGCACAACCGCGTCATCAAGCATGCCTATTCTGGCCCCAGGTGGTCAAATGACTAGGACACAGGTCGACATAGAAGCCGAGAACACAGCCGGGCTTGAGCTCAGCTCGGACGAACCGGCACCCGTGAACAGCCAGGAACTGTCTATTCGACCCAGGGATCCGCCCAGAAGGAAGTCTGCTTTGACAAAATCAAAACCCGATGGAGGACAACCTAAGGAGCGCAAATCCGTCCGCTTCGTGCCTGACCATGATGAGACCACAATTCCTCAGGAACGGGGACAGATAGATGTTGATGGGATGTTTGTTGAGCCTGTTCATACAACGCCAACTACGCCCACAAATTCGACGGCTCACCAGCGCATATCTAGTCCAGATCCGCCGCCTGCCACTGCTTCTGCCGGCGAGTCCGATGACGGGGTGCCGAGGGGAAATCTGAACAAAAGACTGCTGATCGCCGAGATCCCCCCGTTTGAGGTCACATTTCACGATGTGCCGCGAGATACCCATCAGTTGTGGGCTACACATTTCGGCAACCAAAAGTCGCTAGAGATTCGGCTAAGTTGTTTCGCTGAAACAGCAGTGGCAAAATTGAAGCCTCCCTTGTTCCAAAAGTGCCTGGCCAAAGGGCCTATAACGTCCGAGAACAAAGAAGCGATAGAGAAGCTTGCACGGCAGCTTAAGGCGCGACTGCTCGGTCTTTACTACTTGGGTCGGCATTACAACCTTCTCATTTATCCCACCAAATGTGAGCAGTGGCAAACTAAACCGTTTGGCCAGGAGGTAGCAACTGGCTTGACTGCAGCGCTCTGTTATACTATATTCTCATCAGATATTGACTGTGGAAATATGCTCCGACCGCTCAGTCTTCCTCTACATTTACCAGAAACGAATAGAAAGGCAGTGCCCACCAGGACGTGGCTGATGAGGAGACTGTACAAATTCGATTACAATCAGCTGTTACCAAGAAAGCCGGAGATTCCACAGATACACAAGTTCTTTCTCGCTTTCCCCGAGTCAGGAACTGGAAAAGCTACCCGGTCAGTCGTCTTTCAATGGCTGCGCTCTTCCAATCCCGCCTGTCACATATACATATCTAGTCAACCAGGCTCTTGGGATGCATTCAGAGCCAGCGTAGCCGAGTCATCTGGTGTTGTCATCATCCACGAAACGTTGATGTGGAGTCTTCGCCGGTTTCCAAAGCTTTCCGAGTACCTGGTCAAGAAATACGACGAGTATTGGTGCTTTACGGAGCCAACCGAAGCATACCCCTTATATCCGTCAATGTCCTTGCCGGAAAGCGTCCCCCCCGGGATTAGTCAACTGACGCGGATATTGCCATTCGGAACAGCAATTCTGCTCACACCCAGCTTTCTGGTATCCGAGCCTGAACACGCTCGTGAGTTTCTTGATTGGTTTCTCAGCCGCCAATCGAGTTCCACCTTTTACTATAGTCTGGTGACGGCCTCCAACATCCATGAATACCTTCAAGATTTGGCATTAGAATGCATCGATTCGCGCGAGAGATGGTGGAACGCGGGACCGAGCCTTGGGATGACTCCTATTGAAACCCAGTTCGAGATCAACTTGCGAGGACATAGCCTTGACGAATGTGATTCTAGGCTTCAAGCCGGCATCATTGCTTCTGAACTTCACAGAATACGCACCAGAAAGCTCGACTCCTCCGGTGGAATGGAGGAGGACCACAGCCCGCTCATCTATGCGGATCCGTCCATCGACCCAAATGACGAGCAAAGCCTAGTCAACTGGTTCGGCTGGTGGTCAACCCTGCGGGCTGATCAGTTCCGAAAGTTCCATGTTGTTGGATCGTGTACCAGTATTGGTTATCCAAACACCAAGAAGGGAATTCGGACGGTCCGCATTCCCAAATATCTTAAAACAACAATCAATGACCCAGACGCGGTAGCAGAGGTTGTGCAGGACGAAGCATCGCAGAATCTCCAGGTACCAGCACACGAACTGCCTCCCAGCAAGCCACCAAGTGCGGCGCGTAGTTTGGAGTTGACTGGCCCCTTCAAAAGCGATATACCAGGTTTAAGCAATGACCGTGGAGAGACTCTTAAAACATTCCTTTTCAGCAACTTTTGTAATTCCGGTCCGAAGCCCATAATGCGGTTTTACGGATATCCTGTGACGTGGGCTGATTCGGAGATGGCGAGATCCTACGGCGATTTGCTTCTCAAGCACAACAAGACGATCAGCGATTGGTTCAGTTATACATGGCCATTTGACAAAACCTTCAACACTTACATGGGCCTGTTTTATACCATTTCCGAGGAGTGGGATCCCCAGAAGCCTCCACAAAATCCGAATCCTAGGTGGCATCCTTGGCTTGCGATTTACAGGCCTGTCAATGCCGATATTTTCCCCTACCGACGGTGCGAGGTTATCATATGGGACCCCCTCGCGAGGAAGCGGTTTCCGGGCTCACAGGCACCGTTAGAAAGGGAGCTCACTTATATGCAACGGCGTGTCATTCAGTATGTCCGTGAGCACTGCGGAAATAAGAATAGGGGTACGTACCTCGACCAGGTTTGGCTCGGCGGGTTCAACTGCCCCAGTGAATGCGAATCTCCTTATCCGCTCGACATGGCGTTGAAATTCGCCAGAACAGTGATGCAAGATATCAGAGAACATCTTCCACCAGCGGAGCAGCGGTTGCCGGAAAAGGGTTTCAGGAAAGTTTTAAAGGAGCACCCGCCGGCGCTAGATACGATGAATGGCGGAGGTCTAGATAGCGACGACGACGTTCTCATGGATGTCGATAGCAACGGTGGCTGGGAAGACGAAGATGAAGATGTGCGCATCATCTTCCATCCACCTCGAGGCACCAAGCTCTCCCCTGGTTCCCGCTCAAAGTGCACCAACAGGCTCTACGAGGAGGCACGTCTCGCCAGGGCCAGGTCCTCTTCGGACCATATGGACTTCAAGTTCGTCCCAACGCTCAAGTGGTACGAGGATCAGGTCGCGGAGGGGCGCGGCTTTGAACACATTAACATCCAGTCGTGGCAAGACATCTTCAACATCTTCCAAGTAGGAAAGGCGAAGGGTAGCAAGGTGACGACAGCGGCGATCGCGGCGAAGGCTCCGCTGACGCGTGGAGACAGAGAAGGAGATGTTCAGATGACCGGCTAAGGAAGCGGCAAGTCGGAGACGTCAACTACTACGAGTACGTCCAACAAAAATTCGCAGCTGGTCGTACACAAAGGTGTGAGATTTATCCGCCCTAGGTGCCCGCATCGAGTTACGCCTTGGCATCTATCAAAAGAGAGCAAGATACAAGTAGTTCCCCAGGGCGAAGAGCGGCAGCGGGAGGGTGGTGGTGGATGTATGGCCGCAAGAGCAGGCGTTTCAAAAGCAAGGGCGGCTGGGGCGAGAGTCACGTTACAATCGTTAACAAAGTCTGACTTGAACGTTTCCTCCGTGTAACGAACATTTCTACAATAAGCTTGGTTCTGGGCAGTAGGTGGAGGATAGAGGTGGTGTTTTTGTACGCTTGAGACGATGGAACTTGTAAAAGTTACAGGAGAAGAATGGTCAGAATTTGTGTACTCAAAACATCAATATAGTTCGTTGTGTGGGGAGGCGTTCAGGACCACGAGTGTCAAATATGTAATTGCCTTATTGTTTCAGACACTCCAACACCACCAACCAGCCGATGTATATATAGTTGCCTTGAAATTCGGTACCCACCCAATTCTACTCCCTTCAACTTCCGCAACACAAGGAGTTATAACCAACTCTTTTCTTCACCCAAGACATAGTATCCCTCTGTCACCCCCTTGCCAGTCACACCCCTAACATCACTGCCCCCTAATTTTGCGGCGGAACACCAAACCGTTCAGCAAACGGATCATATCTCCAATCCATCACCGGCTCATGCTCTATCGCTCCAGCAATCAAATTTGCCATGCCCACTCCGTCCGGGTACATCTGCCTGACGAACTCGAAGGTCAAGTCCAAACCCGCCGTGACTCCTGACGAAGACCATACGTTACCATCAACCACCCATCGAGCCGGCGAGACCCTGTTTCATGACACTGTTAGCAAGCAGTTTATCTTCTCAAAAGCCCCAATACGACCAATCAAACCTAGAAAGACAAATGGACAAGTGACTTAAAAAAAGAAATCCCCCAATGGGAAAACATACCACTTAACCTTGTCTCCCAAAGCCGTCACCTCGCCCCAAACCATCTTATTCGTAGTCGCCCTCCGCCCATCCAGCACGCCCGCCCTCGCCGCCACCGCAGCACCAATACACACCGTCACCAGGTACTTATCCCTTTTTCCTCCTCCTTTTTGCTTGCTCCCAATCCCAAACTCCCCCACCATTCTCCTCAAAAAGTCCAGCTCCCGACCCTCTCCTTCCAAATCAGGACTGTACACCCCATCACCGCCGGGTACTATCAGGACATCCACGCTCTCCAGCACCTCGCGCATCTCTTCCCACTGCTGGTCCGTGGTGGGGATCGGATGGGTGGGGTTGAAGGTCGGGTAGAAACTGCTGTTCAGGGGGTTGTTGATGGGCGACGACGCTAGACTCGGGGCAGTGAGGACGGGTGCGAGACCGGAGGAGTATGGGGCTTGGAGGGAAAAGATGAGGAGACGTGTGGGGTGGAAGTGGCCGACGAATTGAAGGATTTCGATGGGTCCGTAGGCGTCGAGGATCTCGAAGGTGGGGAAGAGCAGGAGGGCGTAGGTTTTGGGGGTTGGGTAGGTGGTTGAGTTGCTGTTGGTGTTGTTGGCGGGGGTTGGGAAGGGGTTGGTGGGCTTTGGGTAGGGTTTGGGTAGGGATTTGAGGAGTTCTAGGTTGGATTTGTGGTGGGGGAGGATGGCGGCGGTGGTGAGGTGGAGGTGGAGGAGGGTGAGGATGGTGGTGAGGATGGAGAGGCGCATCTTGGCGGTTGGAAAACTGTCTGTTGATGTTGTCGTTGTCGTTGGTGTTGTCGTTGGTGTTTGGGGTAGTGGGATGGTTGATGGCTGTTGTTGACTTCTTGAAGCAGAAGATGGATGGGAGTAAGTGATGCTTATATGTCTTTTCTTGTTCTCGACAATCTCCACGCAAAACTGAAGGGCAGCTTGTATTCACCAGCTTCCATGTTCATTACTAGACCAGCTGGATAGGAGAGATTCTACGTACGGTGGACTTGATCTTTCCAAGGAACCACCAAGCTGCCACCATCTTCATGCATGTCAGTTCCTTCCGGCAAACGATTCGTCATGCATAGTCTTACAACCAGCTCAAATCTCCTCATGAGGTCTCACCTCCACACAGCGGTATACCTATCACGGTGGGTGCCAGGCGACGAGACTTGATGTTCATCTCTAGCAAACATTGACATGTGATGTTTGAGCAAGTTGTGATCCAAAGGGAGCAGTACTGACCAGTTAGTTACACAGAAACTACGCCGGTTTCCCAGGACAGTGTCCCATATGAAGTTGTCCCAAACTCCGATGTTCAACGGAATTAGACCTTGTCAGGCCGGCCCAAGCTCCGATGCTTAACGGGATTAGAACTTGTGCCAACCTCCGATGCTTAACGGGATTAGAACTTGTGCCAACCTCCGATGCTCAACGGGACTAGAATTTTCAGGCTGCCGTAAACTGTGCGATGTGAGCTTGTCCCCCGGAGTACTGAAACAGCGGGAGAAGATAGATTTTGCTTGTGTAACCTTTGACGCTGACATACCACAGTGCTTTATAAGCTCAAGACCACACTTCCCAAGATTGATAATCCAGAAGAAGCAGGATACAGAGACGGACCGACATGTAAAATGATAGCTCGCCATTAGACATAGACCTTGATTCGCTTACACTGGTACGCAAGTCCAAATCGCAGGTAAACATGTCTCATAAGTGCTCAGCTTCATAGACGAAACGCTAGAGCATGTCATGCGGGAAGCCGGCAGACATACCTTGACTGGAATCGATGCTCTAGCTCTTGGTGTTGTGATATTGACTCGAACGTCCCGCCTCAGATCTGACAGTCTATGATAATGATGACGGCGTCGTCAATCATGGGGATGTGGTGTCAAGGCTGTCAGGAGGAAAAGCTGCCGCCCACCAAAACCGCCTGCCAAGATTATCGGATTAGGGTTATACCCGTTGCCTCGCTCTCAAGAATAGCTTCATCTGATGTCCCTTCCATCACATCTTCCACCCTTTCAGGTTGGCACACCAGCCATTACCAACAGACGAATCTAACGCCCTATGTCCGTCCATCCTATTCCAGGTTTACAACTCCAGATATACGTAATACTTCCACCAGACCTTCTTTTACTCGGTTCGGCCGGTTCGGAAAGTGTTGGTACTCTTTCGTAGCAGTTCACCGTTCACCGAAAAACTCTCCAAATCTTAAGACAAGCTGAGCTCAAAGCGGGCTCAGAATATTGTGAAGAGTAAAGGCCGGGAGACAATTACCGACCTACCGCCCATGCTAAAGCTCATGATTATAAAAAGGGATTAACAACAGCAGCGCCAGCACCATGAAGTAACGTCCCAACGAATGGGTATCAAGGTGGTGGACGGTTTATCGCACCGGACCGACTGAGTATGCCTTTTCTTGCGTTTCTTTGTGTTCGTTTCGGATGTCGAGTTCATGTAAGGTCCTTCTTCCTTCGTCTCTGCGCGTCCACGATAAAAGCATCAGCAAATGTTGAATGGTGTTGAGACATGCAGTGGTTCATGGTCACAGCAGTGCACGAGCCGCTACCTATCATCGATACACGGCCCACCCAGCGGGGACCTCAGCACCTTCTACACTAGATCCACTATCGGCTGACCGCCTAAAAGTTGACAACATCGCAGGCCTACTAGTAGCTCGCTGTTCGGCGCATTGCTAGCCGTACGTCATTTTGACTTTTTGGTTTTGTTTCTCCATCTACAATCTCTCACCTGATCCTCCAACAACCATACTTGCTTTCATGTTTCCAAGCCGAAACACCTTAGCCGGCCTTGATTGATACCTACTCACCTGTCCACCGTACCTCTTCGGCAAAAACACGGCAAGTCGTTAATCATCGGCTCTGTTTCCACCAAGCATCGACGAACTTCAAAACACCAACCTACACACATACCTACCTTCCCATCCCGCGATATCCGAACCACACCACCACCACCACCACCACCGCCGCAACACATCACAAAAATGGCCCAAAACTACTTCTCCCCCTACGCCCCCCGCCGGCGCTCCAACCGCATGGTTCTCATCTGGGTCACCCTCTTCTTCTCCATCATCTTCTTCATGTGGTGGATACAAACTCGTCACCACGACGCCGCACGCGCCTACGCAGACTTGCTTGTCCGGGGCCCGAGGATGGAAGGGGATAACGCGAGGGGTGGGAGGATTTTGGAAGATGCGTAAATGAAAAGGGGGGGAAATCATGTTCCAAAACATGTCCGGAAGGAGGGAGGTAGGGGGGGGGGGGGGGGGGGGGGGGGGCTCATATATTTGTTGTCAGTGGCCATCACCTTGGCCGGAGAGCGAGAGGAATCCCCTTTTCTTTGAATGAGGAAAAGGATGGGATGGGATGGATGGGGTAGCAAGGTTTGAGCACGGAAAAAGGGTCGGCGGTGGTGGTGGTGGAGTTGGAAGGGTGGGAGAGAAAGCTTCGTTGCAGAGTCTCAGAGACCTCAGCAAGCGGAGAGGGGACGACGACCAAGATACCCATGATATCAACAGACCAAGAAGAGCCGTAAAACGAGAGAAACGAACCTGGTGGTTGGAAGAACAATCTCTAGAGGAGGAGTTGGTGGGCCAAGCACCCAATTTCTTGGGTAGAGGTCATGGGCAGAAAAGAACGCATTTGGCCCTGGCGACGAACGGACGGAGGCATTGTGGACTACTGTATATGAGATGCGTATACCTAGAGATACAACAGGAAAATAATGTTTTATTTTGGGTTTGACAACCCAGCTACCATTTGTTCTCTCCCCTCCATGCTGGTCCAAGCAGTGACTTACGGTATTCTTTTGATCGGACATTCCAGTGACCTACATCAACCAGTGGCCATGCTTTTGTCGTGGGCAGAATGTTTACAAGTGCATATTTTCACGGCAAACGGTAATTCAGCGGGATCACGACTCGACGGAACGATCTACGTCTTACCTATGCACGACGCTAGAGGGCTCGTCCCGTGTCAGCGAGTCCAATGAACTTGAAGGTAGATGATGGAATAAAAAGGGTTGTATGCACCTTGTTTCGTATAGTATAATCCAAACAACCATCTCTCGACGCTCCGAATACCAGTCGTAAGTAATATCAAGCCTCCGCGTCGTCCCTTATGCCAGCCGAACACCAGCTTCCTTGCGCTTCTTACCCTGGTGTGACGCCGCCGTGCTCATACCAACGTTCTGACTAGCATCAAGGAAACTCTGCGCCATTTGTTTCTTCTTCGCCTCCTGCTTCTTGAGCATCTTATCCGTCTTACCCTTTCCGCTGCCTTTACCGTGGAACTGGTGCGACAGCTCCTTGAAGGCCTCCTTCTGCCCGAGCTGACGGCCGTCCTCGCCCACATACTTGAGCTCAACAGTGGGTTTGTACGCTTCCCTGAACAACTGCTCCATGACGCGTGCCTGATGCTGTTCACGGATTGTGTTCTGTTGGCGCTGCCACTCCTCACGCTCGCGGGTCGACATCCGGTCGAGACGGCCGCTGGCACGATCACGCTCACGCTGGATACGGGTCTCCTCGTCGAACTTCTTCATGAGGCGGGCGAGTTCGGCCTTGAAGTGGGCACTTTCGCGGAAGTTCTTGACGAGCTCTCCGCCGCGGGACTCGGCGTCGATGAGACGGCGGTCTTTGAGCAGGGCGAAGGTTGCGGCCATGCCTTGGGCGACAAGCTTTTCTTCTTCGACACCGGTTGTGGGAAGCTCAGCGGTCGGCGATGCGGCCCGCTCAGACTGCCTATCCTTGTCGGCGTCTTCCATTTCCTCGTCTGATGATTCCTCCTCCATTGCTGTAACCGCTGTCTCTGTCCGTTGCTGAGGCTTTGGCTTTGGTGCCTTCTTCTCCTCTTCGCGCTCTGCGTGGAGAGCATCAACGAACTCGCTGATTTCGTCGATAACGATACCTCCAGCCTCGGCGGCTTCCGGCTCGGGTTGGTTCGATTGTTCGCGCAGCTGTTTGGCAAGCTCTTCGGGTCGTGTCTTTCGCTTCTTCAACGCCGCGGATCTCTGGCGGGCCAAGGATTGTTGCAGATCGTCATCGTCGACAAAGTCTTCGTCAAACGTCTTTCTCTTTTTCGTGTACGTCACAGTCTCCGAATCGATGTCCATCTGCTGCTCTGTGTCTGCTGGAGCTTCCGGCTCTCCTGGATATAGCACATCGTCATCGTCTCGTCGCCTTGTCGACTTGGTCTTCTTCTTTTTCGGCTTCTTGACTTTGACTTCGGAAGCATCCATGTAGTCTGATACTGGTGCAGGAGCATCGTCTGTGGGCACAATCATTAGCATTAATCAAAGGTATTTGGGGAAGAGGGCAGAACATACCGAGCATATCCAGATCAACCGTCTGCCCCTTCCGCTGAACAGGCGCACTGTCTAGGATGTCGGCCAAAGAATCTGTCGTTGTCGTTGTCCTAATTGTCTGCCCAAGTGTAAAAGCTTTCTTCTTTTTGCCGCTGATCTCCTCGTCGTACTGTGACAGAATCGTTCGTTCGCCCGTCTCGTCGATATCATTAGGGTCGTAAAGCGGCTTCTTCTTCTTGAGGTCGAGTCTCTCGTTCAGCTTCTCTCGCTCGCGCAATTCAATGTTTTCGAGCTCGTCCCCTTCCTCTTCGGCATCCAGCACGCCGGTATCCTTGAGCGTGAGAACCTGGTCGCCACTTTCGAGGAAGGTGTCGATATCGTGCGCAACCTTGACACCGGCCAGATCCCTAGCTGTGTGCTCAGCCGCCGCCGCTGCCGCCGCCGCCGCTTCCTTCTCCTCCTCGGCCTTCTTTGCCGCCTCGATTTTCTTTTGCCGCTTCTTCTGGTTCTTGAGCCAAGCCTTGGCATCGAGCTCGTCGTCTTCCACGTCATCGGCGATGCCCTTGCCGTCGAGAATAGCGTTGCGCTGGGCCATCTCGCGGGCCTTCTTGATAGCGGCGGCTCTCTCCTCGCGCTTCTTCTTTGCAGCCTCTGCCTCCAGGGCTTTCTTGTAGTTGTCGTACGATGCGGCTTCGCGGGTCTCGAGGGTGCTGCCCTTGTCTTCGCCTTCGGGAGTGGGTGATCGAGCCTTGGGGGCCTCGCCGGGGACGGGCAGGGGCTTCATGCCCATTGCCCGTCGCACCTTGTTGAGCTCTTCGATTGACGCGGCGTCCATTGTGAAATCGGTTTTTGATGAGGATATGTGATGGTAATGAGGTGTCGCAAGTCGGCTAGGGTGCGGTCGTAGGTGCCGAAAGAGAGTCAAAATTCCGGGTCGCGTGTGCGAATGGACGATGCACAATGATCAGAGTAGTGACCTGGAGGTATGGACCGACAGTGAAGTGACGGGAATGTTGCCAGTGAAATCGCTAGACGTCAGTTGAGGCTGACAGCGAGTGGCAGCCGAACAACAGAACTGAAGTCTGGGCCTGGCCGTAGGTAGGTTACTGCAGTGAGGTGGCTGGGGCCATGCGATAAAGAGATAAGGTAAACGGGTACCTACTTGTACTTGCGTAGTATCCACCAAAACTTGCAAGGTTGGCTTGGCACCCGATGCACAGACCCCACCTCCAAAATTTTCGTATATCAAGCGGGACGTCGCGCCCAACTCTTCCTCTTTCTCTTTTTTTTTCTCCTCACGGACCTGTGCCCAGCGCTCCTCTGCCGCCAGCTCGTGCTTGCACTTGTAGGTAGCTAGGGTTGAGTGCTGAGGCAGTTCGGCAACCAAGGAGCCATCCAGGACTTTACGTTCTTCCATGATGTCAATTTCCATCCGACAGGTCACCAGAAGAACCGAACTCCGGCGTGAACCTCGTTCGCCGCAAGGCTTGAGCTTGGGGAGCGCCGGATGATGTAGGGGAAGTCATATTCCAATCCGTTCGCCGAGGACGTCGTCCTATGAGGCTGGGGGAAACCATGACAATTGCCACATTTCCTGCCGTAAACACATGTGTTTTGATTGCTGCCCTTTTTGATCTAATAGCGTTCAAAGCTTGCCCTTGTGAAGATGAGCAGTCGGGATTCGTACCGACATGTCGGAGAACTCCATGTCCATCACTCTTGGTATTTTGGCATCAAGTCAAGCCAGCCCGATCCCCCGCCAATATGCTTTCACATGCGTGCTAGGACATGAGATGGTCAAATGTCCGTCTGCTGTGTTGCCAGCCAATCGTCTGACTTTGACCCTGACTCTCATAGGTATGTTTTGGTGAAGTGAGGTGCCCTGTCCTCAAGAAAGGACCGACCTGGTCTTGAGAAGTTTACCAACTCGAAATAGTGTCCTGGCCTAGGGTAGCATCGGCTTCCATTGTTCTCATCCGCGTATTGGAAACATCAGTTGCCTTCACAGTTGGGAATTTCCGAGGTCGCTGGCGTCGCCCCATACCGTAGTATTCAACGGCCACCGTGGTTTTGGGAATGGAGTCAAGGCACCTCTCTGTCCAAGTAAAACGCCGAGAGTTAAACGTCAAATTCCTCGGTGCAAGTTTTCTTGGTCGGCCTTTTTCGGCGGAATCCCCATGTCAAACGTTCCAGTTGCTACTGCACGTCACGCAAATAGTCTGGGGCCTTTTTCTTCAAGGTGCATCTTTGATAGGCACGTGGGTGATATGGTGGTGCTTCCAGATCGTTCTTTGCGATCTGAAACTGTGAGACAGCTGTTGTCCATTAGTGTTCGCCGGCTCAACGGCGGCGTGACCGGAATTTCGTCAAGTTATGCCGGCCTTTGAGAGAACTGGCCATTGACATTAGGGAACAAGTCGTGTCATATGGACTGATGTTATTCCCAACCTGTGTAACTGTTGACCCTAACCCGATTTGATCTATTCGGCCTAGCTAAAAGAAACATATTCATACACTACATTTCGCACCTTTTGTGATAACTTCGATGGGCTCTGCTTCAAAAACGGACCTGGAACATGGTCGCCTACATAGTTCGGCATAAGTCGCACTCCCTCAATTCCGACAAATCCTGCGCAAAGCCACCCCTGTCCTTAGCATAACCGGACTCCTTCCTGTTCCTGACACAACGGCCGCGAATGCAGATGCAGTCGGCACTCCAACGCAGTCCACCCCCAGATCTCACCCAGCCGCACTCCACGCTAGCCGAGCTGCCGGAGCGGGACCTCCTTTGTGAATTTGGGGAACAGGGGTCCTGTCATGTACACTATCTGCCCGCAGCCAAGAAAGAAGAAAAGTCCGGGGGAGGTAAGGTTGCTCCGACATGCTTGTCTGCCCGACTTTGGTGTTCCAGGTTCCCCAACTTCACTTTCTATCCTCGGCATAGCGCCTGTCCGCGGTCCTTTTCCATCAGGCTTTTCAAGGCTTTCCAACGGCCCCAAGCCCTTCCCCCAGACGCCACAGACTGCCCCAAGATCGAGACGGCCCGATTTCGAAGGACCTCCTCGGCGGCGGCAGACCATCATTTGTCACTGTTTTGTCGGCCGGACGAGCTGACGTATGATGGAGACGCGCATCATTGGGCGTGGGTAGCAGTGATGGCGGAGAGGAAGAGAGACTCGTCCCATTTACAGTGAGAGGGTGATGTGCCCGTGGTTCGTTTTCATGGCTGGCAAGAGTTGCAAGATCAGTATACTCTCCGCCAAGCTTAGAACAAGGAATAGAGAGATGCTAGAACGAGTATTCTCCGACGTGAGCCTCCGACTAAAAGATCGATATTCGTAACGATGGAGTGAGTGCCTAGCGGGCCGTGATATACACCATGTTTCTCCCAGTTCCAGACCCTAGGTATGACAAAGATGGCTTCACAAAGTACAAAGAGCATCACATTGCCATGTGTGCAGATGTCAAAAGGGAAGGGCGGAAAAGTCACGAGGTTTCATAGGTAGTGTTCCCATGACACTCAGAGGTGTAGTGGATAGTTCCCCGCATTATGGGGGGTTAGGTCTCCGCCATTACGAGATTATGGGGAAACCAAACCCAAGGAACTTCAGGCGCCAAAAGGGAAGATGTAACCTCTGCCCCATATGTACCCACCCGCCGCTTCCCTTCCATTCCAGATCCCAGGCTGCAGTGCGCCGTGTGCAGATTTCACATGGAAGCTGAAGCAAGTCAAGTGTATGAAAAATGCGCCATCCACTCATTTCCTTCACCATGGACACACCGACATGACGGCAGCGACACTGACGCCTGCCTATGTATGGCAGCCACCATTCATTTCTCGATGCGACGGTAAACGACGCCCGCGGCGAGATTAGGTCATTGCCGGATTGAAGCTCTCTCCATCATGGATCCATTCCCGGCCAATCTCGGCCAACCACACTGTCCACTCGCCCAGGTCAGCAGCTCAGGACTCTCTCCTGGTTTGGTACCGCATACCGCTCTCAGTCCCCATAGACCAACCATAACACCGCACGTTCTCTTTCACTCAAGAGCTTATCATGTCCCCTCTTTCTGCTCCAATGATTCGGACTGGTCAAATACCAGGAAACAAGGGAGAGAGCGCAGTGCGAGCAAGCGTTCCTGCAGATAGAGCAGTGGGACTGCCGCGCCACAAAGGAAGAGGATCGTGACGTGACGTGACCAGTGACCAGAAAGCAAAAGATCCAACTAAAAGAGTCAAAAGGACCGAGCCTCACCTAATGGCCCGGATGGCACTCAAGACCGTCCTCTCGGCCCTTTCTCCAACTCTTCTCCTTCCATAATTCACCTAGGTACATACATACACGGCCTACGCTTCCGCCTCGTCCCATCCCATCCCATCGACGACTCTGACCCGCCCGCGAGTGCAACCTCATCATCCACGAACGGACACCCCGGCTCTCCTCCGAAGCCCTTGCAAGTGGAAGCTGAGGTTGCCGAACTTAGACGACCAGGGTTCACCAGCCGGACCGCAACTCGAACGTCAGAATACAGGCCTCAGCCTCCAAAGGGGGTTAACGCCAAGCGAGAGCAAGACAAGATCGTCGCCCATCAACATCCTGGACAAGACAAGATGGACGCAATATATAACCTCAAGCAAGTCCTCCTCAGCAACCATGATTTCACCACCAGCCTGGTCTCCAACGCAACAGACTTCTCGACAAGTCCCTTGACCTACTTCGCCATGCATCTTGTCTCTTCGCTCCTCGTCGTGGGCGCCGCCTTCCAGGCCGTGCTCGGTCTGCCGGATCCTCTGCATGAGAAGAGGCACAGCGACATCATCAAGCGGTCTGTCGACTCTTATATCCAGACCGAGACTCCCATTGCGCAGAAGAACCTTCTGTGCAACATCGGTGCTTCTGGATGCAGAGCCTCCGGTGCTGCCTCTGGTGTTGTGGTTGCCTCCCCTTCCAAGTCGAGCCCTGACTGTAAGTGGAAATTGCACAGTGTGTCTCATCTCTCATGGCAGCATAGCTCACAGTGTCGATAGACTGGTATACATGGACTCGTGATGCCGCCCTTGTTACCAAGCTTATTGTCGACGAATTCACCAACGACTACAACACCACTCTTCAGAACACCATTCAGGCTTATGCTGCTGCACAGGCCAAGCTTCAGGGCGTTAGCAACCCGTCCGGTTCCCTCTCCAACGGTGCCGGTCTTGGTGAGCCCAAGTTCATGGTCGACCTCCAGCAGTTCACCGGTGCATGGGGCCGCCCCCAGAGAGATGGTCCTCCCCTTCGCGCCATTGCCCTCATCGGCTATGGCAAGTGGCTCGTCAGCAACGGTTATGCTGATACTGCCAAGAGCATCATCTGGCCCATTGTGAAGAACGACCTTGCCTACACTGCCCAGTACTGGAACAACACCGGCTTCGATCTCTGGGAGGAGGTCAACAGCTCTTCTTTCTTCACCATTGCCGCCTCCCACCGTGCTCTCGTTGAGGGTTCTGCCTTTGCCAAGTCCGTCGGCAGCTCTTGCAGCGCTTGCGATGCCGTTGCTCCCCAAATTCTGTGCTTCCAGCAGAGCTTCTGGTCCAACAGTGGCTACATCATCTCCAACTTTGTCAACTACCGCAGCGGCAAGGACATCAACTCCGTCTTGACTTCCATCCACAACTTCGACCCCGCTGCCGGTTGCGATGTCAACACCTTCCAGCCCTGCAGCGACCGTGCTCTTGCCAACCACAAGGTTGTCGTTGACTCCATGCGCTTTTGGGGTGTCAACTCCGGTCGCACTGCCGGTAAGGCCGCCGCTGTCGGTCGCTACGCCGAGGATGTCTACTACAACGGTAACCCCTGGTACCTCGCTACTCTCGCCGCCGCCGAGCAGCTCTACGACGCCGTCTACGTCTGGAAGAAGCAGGGTTCCATCACCGTCACCTCCACTTCCCTCGCCTTCTTCAAGGACCTCGTCTCCTCCGTCAGCACCGGCACCTACTCCAGCTCCTCCTCCACCTACACCGCCATCATCAACGCCGTCACCACCTACGCCGACGGCTTCGTCGACATCGTTGCCCAGTACACTCCCTCCGACGGCTCCCTGGCCGAGCAGTTCGACAAGGACTCGGGCGCCCCCCTCAGCGCCACCCACCTGACCTGGTCGTACGCCTCCTTCCTTTCCGCCGCCGCCCGCCGCGCCGGCATCGTCCCTCCCTCGTGGGGCGCCGCGTCCGCCAACTCTCTGCCCGGTTCCTGCGCCGCTTCCACCGTCGCCGGTTCCTACGCCACCGCGACTGCCACCTCCTTTCCCGCCAACCTTACGCCCGCCAGCACCACCGTCACCCCTCCCAAGCAGACCGGCTGCGCCGCCGACCACGAGGTTTTGGTAACTTTCAACGAGAAGGTCACCACCAGCTATGGCCAGACGGTCAAGCTCGTAGGCAGCATCGCTGCGCTCGGCAACTGGGTCCCCGCCAGCGGCGTCAGCCTGTCGGCTAACCAGTACTCTTCTAGCAACCCGCTTTGGTCCACCACTATTGCGCTGCCGCAGGGCACCTCGTTCAAGTACAAGTATGTCGTTGTCAACTCGGATGGGTCCGTCAAGTGGGAGAACGATCCTGACCGCAGCTATGCTGTTGGGACTGACTGCGCCTCTACTGCGACTCTTGATGATACGTGGAGGTAAATCGCTTGCTTCGTACTAGGTAGTAAGTAGTGATTGGGAAAAGGAATTGAGAGAACGCGAACGGGAACGGGAATTTGTGATTACAAAGTGTAAAATTGATAGGCCCGGGATTTGGTTAGATGCATAAGGGGGGGAGGGGGGCTAGGAAACGGAAAGCTGCATATCAACAGAGGAAGAAAGAAAGAAAGAAAGGGAAGAAACGAAAGAGAAGGGAAAACAGAACTTCATTTTCACATCAGCATCAGATCAGCTACCTGGGCATCTTGATTTCTCTTTAGAAGAATGTTTGTATCCTTTTTCTGCCTCCCTTTTCTTTTCTTGTTTGTCTCTTACACCTACCTATATTTAGGCAAAGTCCACACACACACAAACTTTTGGTTAAATCTTCTCTGTATCCAAATTGACAAAGTTTAACGTTGAGAAGGACAATGGCAAATGTAATCAACATTCAAATCAATCAACCACCTACAACAATCCCCGTTGTGCGGAAGTGAAGTAAACATGACATATGGGTTTATAATTACGACCTCTGGACAAAACGTCCAACAAGTTAAGCTTCAAAGGTCCGCTGGCTCAATGGCAGAGCGTCTGACTACGAATCAGGAGGTTCCAGGTTCGACCCCTGGGTGGATCGAGTTGCAAATTGGTACTTTGAGTACCAAAGTTTCTTTTTTTTTTTCGCTCTTTGCTTTTCGACAGTTTACTGAGTCATGTGCAAGACATCCCTGATCGGGTACTGAACTGCTTGTGGTGCGGTGCTGTGGTTTTGGGATGTAAGGAATCAAGGGAGAAACTGCCATAGTGCAGTAGCATGATTGGTAAATAGGTAGTTCGGTATATCTGAAGTACGCCCAAAATCGTTTTATATCCTTTTGCCCGCTTGCCCATTCCCATCACAAGCAACGCTTTAGTTGCCGTGGTATATATGCTTTGTCAAAAACCCCAAAAAACCAGAGAGGAGGCATTATATAATACATGAGATTGTAAAGAGACCTGTGAACGCCGATTTTTGTTCCTGCGCGGGGGGGCGGGCATATGTTGCATACAATTCGTTTTGTGTTGGATGTTGTACACGGGGCTTATTACAGTCGAGCCCCATTTTCCTTTTAATGTTTTCCTTTTTTGGTTCCCCTGGCTATATCTTGAGCCCCATATGTTGAAATTTTCTTTCTCCATGGGCTTGTTCTCATGTCATGTCATGATATGACATCTCAGGGTATCCTGCCCTGCTAAGCCCTGCCCTGCTAAGCCCATGCCAACCATCTCTGCTTAGCCCTTTTCCGGTTGTTGGATGAAACAGAAAAAAACATTTATTTGTTCTTGACGACGCCGACCTGGGCAGGGCGGAGGACGCGGCCGTTGAGCTTGAAGCCCTTCTGCTGGACGTGGAAGACGACGTTGTGCTCCTTGTCGGGCATGGGCGCCATGAAGGTGGCCTCGTGCTCGTTGGGGTTGAAGACCTCACCCTCAGGTTCGATGCGCTCGAGACCGTGCTTCTTGAGGGTCGAAAGGAGGATGCTCTCGGTCATCTTGAGACCCTCGTAGAGGTTGACGAGGTCCTTGAGGTGCTCAGACTGCTCCTCCGACTTGAGCTTGTCCTGAGGAACCACGCTCAAGGCGCGATCGAAGTTGTCGACGCTTTCAACAAGGTCCTTGGCGAACTTTTGAATGGCAAAGTCCTTGGCCTGCTTGACGTCGCGGGCGGTGCGCTCCTGGAGGTTGCGGAAGTCGGCGACGGTGCGAAGGCACTTGTCCTGTAGAGAGGGACATCCCGTGTAAGTGACTTGTCCGTCATAGTTGTATATGCATATGTTTTGAAGCTCAAGAACCAACCTTCCACTCGCGGGCCTCAGCGTCCTTGGCCTCGAGCTGCTTCTTGAGGGCAGCAACGACATCGTCGGTCTCACCCTCCTTCTGCTCGGCGCCCTCGTCGGCCTTCTTCTCACCCTCAGCCTCGGCGCTGTACCACCGGGCGGCGGAGCGCAGCTGGGGAGCAGCTGTCCGGGCAGCTTGCATCTGGAAGATCTGGGAAGCAATAGGGCGCTGGGCGGCAACGCGGGCGCCGGAGCAGAGGGCTCTGGAAGAGCGGGTGAGGGCTGTTCGTAGCATTTTGGCTGGGTATCTGGATGTGACGGGTGGTGAGATGTGGCGATGTCAGAGACAGGGAAGCGTCGCGTGTCGAGAGAGGCACTTTCAAAGAAATTTTGAGACAGCTGCGCTAGCACGGGACGGAGACGGCATGGACGGGCGGCGGGTTGGGCGGCCAACAGGGGCCTTCGCAGTGTCTCCCACAGTGGGAGGGTGGGAGGGTGGGTGCTGCTGCATCAATCCTGTCGGCCGGCTGGGGCCGGGAGCGAACCGAAAAGCGGGTCATGAACGCACCGCTCAAAATCGACAAATTGCCTGCCGGACCATTCGAGTTTTCGTTGCTCACACCGACAGTTGGAGCTTCGACAGCGCCCCGGGTGTGCCTGGCGGGGCTCTTTTGTGCGGGGAGTCGAGATGGACCTGGCTCCTACTCTGTTAAAGACACACCGTGGAGTTGGCTGACGCCAGGTCATGTGAAGATAAGGCCAGCTTAATCCTTGTCACTCCGGCTTTGTCTGCCCGCTGCGGCCTCAGCCAGAGGCAAGGTTGCATTCCAGATTGGCGACTGGCTGCAGTCCTAGGTGGTGGTGGCGCCTCCGAACCTCGACCCGTCAACGCGCCGGAAACCGAAATCAGTCCGCAACTTGCATTTCGCATCAACCGGCCCTTAACAAAGGCCACCTCAACCTCAACTCACCCTGCCCAGAACCACAATTTCCTTGAACCGTTTCTCCCCCCGCATCCGAATACCTCATACACCACAAAACGTACCATCGAAAACTGCCGACTGTAGCGAGAACAACTGACCGACCGACGGTCAACACGCAAAGATGGATTACGATCCGATGGTGATGGACGACGCCGAGTCCCTGGGACCGGTCGTCAAAATCTCACAAGTATGTCCTGTGTGCTTTTGCTCACAGCAATTGCGCTCAGCTGCTCGTTCATCGTTCTAAACCATCATTCTAGGCGGACAACACCCGAGTCAAGTTTGAGCTCTCCAACACCGAGCTCAGCTTCGCCAACTCCCTCCGTCGCGTCATGCTTGCCGAGATTCCCACGATTGCCATCGATCTAGTCGAGATCGAGGCCAACAGCTCTGTTTTGGCTGACGAATTTATTGCCCACCGACTGGGCCTGATCCCACTCAACGCCGAAGGAATCGAGCAGCTTCTGTATTCTAGGGACTGCGACTGCGACGAATACTGCGAGCATTGTAGTGTGACCCTCAACCTTCACGCCAAGTGCACTGGCGACGACATCATGCAAGTCTGTGCCCGCGATCTTGTTCCAGTCGGCGATCGCGTCAACCAGGTTCTCGGCTCGCCTATCATCAATGATCCCGAAGGCCAAGGTCCCCTCATCCTCAAGCTTCGTCACGGCCAGGAGATCAAGCTTCAGTGCATTGCGAAGAAGGGTATTGCAAAGGAGCACTCCAAGTGGGCCCCAAGTGCCGCCATCGGCTTTGAGTATGATCCTCACAACAAGCTGCACCATCTCGACTTGTGGTACGAGCAGGACCCTAAGAAAGAGTGGTAAGTACATTACATCATCTCAGTTTATCGTAATTGCATTGATGTGACCGATTTCTCACCATATTTTTCTTACTAGGCCTCCTTCGGAGTACGCCGACTGGGAAGAGCCTCCCCAGGAGGGCGAACCGTTCGATTACGATGCAGTACCACAACGCTTCTACTACAACGTCGAAACCGCCGGTCCTATTCCCCCTGATGCTATTGTCACTGAAGGCATCAAGGTCATCCAGCAGAAGCTGGCTGGCTTGATTCACGAACTTACCGAAAGCGATGGTGGCGAGAACGGATACAACGGACCGCGCAGCCCAGGCTACAATGAGGGTGGCGACAACTGGAATGACCAAGGATCGTTTACGCCATATGGAAACGGAGGAAACCAGAGCTCTTGGGGAGGTCAGGGAGGTACCACGCCCTACGGAGCGACTCCTTACGGAGGCGGCCAAAATCCTTGGTCTTGAGCATTATATGCTTACAGTTTGCGGTTTGCGACGTCGATTACTCCTCCTGATGGCTTGCGAGGTCATTGCGCCTGTCTTTTTCGGGAGGTTTTGGGTATCTGCGGTATCTTTGCGGCGCGGGTTTTAAGCTGCGCACTTCGATTAACAACACCACACTTTCACTATTCAAGCAAGATGCCGATTCGCATTTCTATACACACACTCGCGCTATCATCACCAACTCAGCATCTACTTAGTAATTGTGGCGCCTCCGTTCCTTACTGCGGGGACCGTAACTCAATCACTCTTCGTGGCTGAGGCCCACGGAACGGATCAGGGCCAAATACCGGACTTTTGGCGTCAGGCACGAGCCGCCACACGTCAAGGCCAACTTTGGGGGAAACTGGGAAAAGGGAAATCTGAGAGCTGGAGCTTGAAATTAAAGGAGAGGAGATGGGCGCATTCTGAAGGGATTCAAGTCAGGGCGAGAGGAACCAGAGCATATCTTATTTGAGCGTCCCTCGTCCAGACACCACATATACTAGGCAGCGGAACGAGGACAGCTTTCTCTGTTATTGGCGCCCTGCAAATGATCTATCGCACTATTGCGAGGTATAGACAAAAGGTGAATATAGTTGCCCGGGTCTGGCGACTATATAGGGGACGAAAATACCTAAAAACATTCATAAGCGGCTCGAAAGTGAAAGGTTCATAAATAATTAAGATGCCATTCTTGCCGGTTGCTGGAGTCTAGTAAGCACTTGCTGCTCTGGTCTATTTGCTTTACACAACTCTATGGGAAACACCAAACTCCCAGGGTAGAACTACATGAAGCCAAAACACCATTGTCGAAATGACAGCCCTACCGCCGCTTCAATGCCTGACGGATGAGGGAACATCTATCAAAGGAAACCTATGAACAAGAAGAAAAATGAGGCATCGCGATCTAGGTCCTGACAAAAAGACCACCATTCGACCTTTGAAATGCAGATTTCCTCTATACAAATCCGTCCATTATGTCCCCACCCACAACCAAGACCCGACCACTTTTGATTGAAATGCAATTGAAAACCCGCTGTTGCTGCTGCTAGTCCGTCTATGCAGTAGACTCCCAAGACTGGACATGGGAGGAAAGGTGAAGAAAGAAAGAGAGATTAGAAAAGGTAGGTAGCCAGGAAGAGGAACAAATGACAACTCATTCCTCAATGCCCTTGACCTTCTTGTACATCTTCCGATGGCCCTCCAAGAAGATGAAGGTGCAAATCGTTTGTCTGTCCGTGTCAATACCTCGTTAGCACAATCATATCCATGAAACTTTCGCGGAAGACCACATCCATAAAGGCAAAGGGAAAAAAAAAAGAGGGAATCAACTTACGGCCCCAACCTCAAAAAACTCGGCACCCATCCCTTGAACATCCACCTCACCCCCTCCTGGGCATACAAGCTCCCCAGCACCTGCCCGATACTGCTCTTCCCGCTCGCGCTCATCACCCGCGTCTTGACCACATCAATCGGGCTCGTGACCGTCGCTGCCGCCACGCCCGCCAGGAAACTGGCGCTAAAGTGCGTCGCCAGATTATCCTCCAAGGGCGTATGTCTAATCAAGATGCGCTTGAACACATCGTAACTAGCCAGCTGACTGGCCGTCATGGCGGCCGCCCTAGCACTATTGGGCCAAACACCCCTAAACCAGCTCCGGAACCCTTCCTCGCGCGTCATCCGCGCCAAGCCGTCGATGGCGTGCGCGTAGTTGCGTCGTTGCGCGGGGGGCAGAGCGGCGTCGTGCTGCATCCGCACGTTCAGCACGTCTGCTACGTTCCCCACCAAGCCGCCGGCTACGCCGGAGACGGTGGCCATGGCGATCAGCAGGGGGAAGGAGGCCGGGTGGTCTTTGGTGGTGAAGCGGGTTTTGAGCTCTTCGTAGATGCCGAAGCGCGTGGTCGAGTAGGTGATTTGGCGGAGGAGAGAGGCGGAGAGACCGTTGTAGAGGCCGGTGATGCCGTTGTGGCGGATGATGTGGAGGACGGTGCCGGACATGGTTTTGGGGGCGTCGCCGGTGCGCATTTGGAGGCGGACTTTGACTGTTTCACATTGGTGTTAGCCGTGGTGTTTCTTGGGTAGCTCGTGGTAGATGTGACATGTTCGCTTCTAGGTCACGGGCAAAACTTACCAAGATCGAGAGGATGTGTGACGGTGGCAGCCATGCTGCTGGCGCTTCCTCCGAACCAGAAGGGATAGTGTATTGTTTGTTGCTTGGACTTTTTGGTCTTTGTCGTCGTCGCCGCGACTACGGGCTTATCTGATGTCGTCGTCTGTTTTTCCATGATTGCTTGCGCTGCTGGCTTCGTAACTGACGCTGCCGCAGTCTGTTTGGAGTCTGAAGGCGAAGATGAAGGCCCTTCAAGGCCAGTGGTAACGGCCTGCATGGTTGTTTATATATACGAAGAGCCCACGAGGATTCTTGCCGATCAGGGGTCCGTTGTTCGTATAGGGGGCTTGTTATGGAACAGATGTGAAAATTGGCAGAGACGAGAGAATACCAGGAGGTCAATTGGTTACAGAGGCATTCCAGGTCAATTGATATCAATGGACAAAGATAACATGCAGAGTTGGATGCAGGGTCGAGGTACTCAATCTTGCATGTGTAGACGGATGTGTGCTGTGTTCGTCTGATTCTACACAGAAAGCAGGTCCCAGCCGAACGTCCGAGATGCAAAAAGTCAAGACGAGATGACGACAGGTACTTTACTGAACATGAACGTGAAAGAATGGAGACAAGAAGTGGGAACAACAACGGTGTGAAAGACGGACGGGACTGACGGAAAGAAAATGCTACCATGGTGTAAGCGGGCTCCATCGTCTAGACCGTTATCGGCGTAGCACCGCGGGCGTGCGACTGTGTTTTTTTTTCCTCTTCGGCCCCTAGAACACCGAGCAACGACCCTGAAAATGCTGCTGAAAATGAAAAATTGGTGACCGAGGCTCGAGCGAGGACAAAAGGAAGTTCCCCAGCACGATGTCATCATGCAGGACGTCACGCTTGGCGCCTTATGTCGACTGAAGCCCCATTGGCCCACTACAAGTTTTACAGAGCTTTGGGCAATTTTTGTGCTTGTCCCGTGGCTGAGTGGCCAGCAAGGTCCCTCCACACCCACACCCGATCCAATTGTTTACTTTGGATATCGCGATCGCGACTCAACTTGTCCCAGGTACACATAGCAATGGCTGGACCACGAGTTCTCGCGGCCAATGTCGTGCGGGCTGTGCCTCGCATTGGGGCTCGCTCCCATGTGATGACGGCCTCTGCCACGGCTTCGCTTTTGCGACTCAGCGCACAAGCTGGACGCGCCAGACTGAGCTTGACCAGAGCTCCCCGCCATTGTCTCCGAGTAGCATCTTATTCCTCCTCTGCAGGTCAGCATAATTTGTCTACTTAGCTTCCAGAAGCTCTAACCAGACTCGGACTCTAAACAACGCAAAACACAAAAGGTGGTGCTGCTAGCTCCCCTCCCCCACCTTCGACCCTCAACAGCTCGAGACCGGCGACGATCGAGGTCAATGGCAAGACCTACACCACCGACGAATGGTTCAACGTCCCCCAGACCGTCCTCGCTCTCACCGGCCGCAAGCTTCATCTCCAGAAAGACCACCCCGTTGCCATCACCCGCCAGATCATCGAGTCCAAGTTCTCCACGGCCACCTACAAGCGCTACAATGAGTTCGACCCGGTCGTCAGCACCATCGAGAACTTTGACTCGCTCGGTTTCCCGCCTGACCACGTCGGCCGCGCCCGCTCCGACACCTACTACATCAACGAGACCACGCTCCTGCGCACGCACACTTCAGCCCACGAGGCCGAGCTCTTCCGCGCCAGCGCCTCGGACGGCTACCTGATCAGCGCCGACGTCTACCGCCGCGACGAGGTCGACCGCAGCCACTACCCCGTCTTCCACCAGATGGAGGGAGCCCGCGTGTGGGACCGCACCAAGGTGCCCAACGGCGACGTCGTGGCCGCCATCTACGCCGACCTGGCCAAGCTGCCCACGCACGACGTCAAGGTCGAGGACCCCAACCCGCCGCACCACCCGGAGCGTAACCCGCTGCAGAGCGGGCATCATAGTCCTGAGGAGGCCGAGGCCATCGCCGCCCACCTCAAGCGCTCGCTCGAGCTCATGGTCGTCGAGATCTTCACCCGCGCCAAGCAGGCCGCCGCTCGTCAGGATCCCAACTACGTCGACGAGCCGCTGCGCGTCCGCTGGGTTGAGGCCTACTTCCCCTTTACGTCGCCTTCGTGGGAATTGGAGGTGTACTACCAGGGTGACTGGCTTGAGGTACTGGGCTGCGGTGTCAGCAAGCAGGAACTGTTCATCAATGCGGACCAGCCGCAACAGCTCGGCTGGGCGTTCGGTATTGGGCTTGAGCGCATCGCCATGCTGTTGTTCCAGATCCCCGACATCCGTCTCTTCTGGTCCAAGGATGAGCGTTTTCTGAGCCAGTTCACTGGCGTGCAGGATAACCTTGACAAGCTGAAGCGCTTTGTTCCCTTCTCCAAGTATCCGGCTTGCTGGAAGGATGTCTCCTTCTGGCTGCGGTCAACGTCCGCGGCTGGTGGGAACACTGCCGTGGCCAACGTGCATGACTTTCATGAAAATGACCTGATGGAGGTGGTGCGCGAAGTTGCCGGGGATGTGGTTGAAGACGTCCAGCTGAAGGACCAGTTCACTCATCCCAAGACGGGCAGGAAGAGCATGTGCTATAGAATCAACTACAGGAGCTTGGAAAAGACTCTGACGAACGAGGAGGCGAACGACTTCCATGAGCGGGTAAGGCAAGGATTGGCGGAGAAGCTTGGTGTTGAGCTTAGGTAGACACGACGTAGCAAAGACGATCGAGTGTATGATACGGTAGGTGTAGTTGCCGTGTTTTATGTGGAAGACCATGGCCATGATGTATGTATGGCTTGTTCTCTCCCCTGTCGAAAGAGTTCTGTTTGTTATGTCCGGTTTCCAAAACGTACTGCCACGAAGGGATGACTTTTTTTCTCCCAACTTCTTGATAGTCTCCCACAACCATATCATACCTAGCATCAGCGTCTAGCCCACACACCAAACGTTTCGCCTGCTTCCACACCCTAAATCAAACACCCAAAACCAACTAAATCTTACAACATCATTCCCCAGGATCAAGCCATCATCGTTTTGGACCCTCAAGAGGGGGAAGCCAGCCTCTCCAAATCCTTCAACCCATCAGTAGGTCTCGGCCCCCCTTTTCTCCTCCTGTTCTCCTCCGCCCCACTGGCCCTCCACGCACTCAGAATCAACCCAGCAATATGCTCCACGCCCACGCCCTTCTTAACCTGCGCAAACACCGTCGGTCCTCCCTCCCTCATCTTCCTCGCATCTCGCTCCATCACCGCCAAGTCCGCCCCCACCGCCTCCGCCAAATCCGTCTTGTTCACCACCAACAAATCACTCTGCGTGATGCCCGGCCCGCCCTTCCTCGGCACCTTATCGCCTCCCGCCACATCAATCACATAGATGATATAATCCGCCAGCTCGCGACTGTAGTTCGCCGCCAAGTTATCGCCGCCCGATTCGATCAGCAACAGGTCCGTGTCGAATTCAGCCTGCAGGTCCTCGAGAGCAGCCAAGTTGGCAGAAATGTCCTCGCGCACGGCAGCGTGCGGACACCCGCCTGTTTCGATGGCGCGGATGCGCTGCGGGGGCAAAGCCTTGTGGCGGGTGAGGAACTCGGCGTCTTCGCGCGTAAAGATGTCGTTGGTGACGGCGGCGAGGGAGTGTTCGTAGCGCAGGGCGAGGCAGAGGTTGAGCATGAGGGCTGTTTTGCCGGAGCCTACGGGGCTGGATTTATGGTCGACGGATATATATCAGCATATTGAGAAAGGGAAAAGAGATGTAGAAAAGAGGTAGAGATATGTAACATACCCGCCAATACCAATGGTGAAAGCTCTCTCGTCCCAGTTCCTGCCCTCGACAATGGGCATCTCGCGGCCCAAGAAGCTGCCTGGTCCATCAAGGATCTCGTGGCTGTGGCCGTGCTCCTGGGCGTTGAAGCCGCTCTGGGAATTGAAGTCGTGAGAATGGCTGTGGGGGTGGTGGCCGCCGTCGCCGTGGTCGTGGGAGTGCGTGTGCGACATCTGGATGATTGCTTGGTTGCTCTTGTTCGTGCTACTACTACTACTCTCTAGTTCTGGGTATGTGTAGGACAGTTGTATAAGAAGGAGCTAGAGATGAAAGAAAGAGCACGTTCAAGATAGAAAGAGCAAAAAAGACGAGTCACACAATACCAAGACCCGATCTAATGCGCCGAGATGTTTCTCAACAGCAATGATATCGAGATAAGGTGGGGAGGGGCCCAAGCGATTGACGCCGGCGATAACATTCAAGTGACATCAAGGAGGGGTAGCTTAGTCACTGTAACTGATAATGGGGATCCACTATAGCTTCCTATCTGACAGCGGTACCGGCCGAATACGGTGGGGATGTTCATGGCCCGTTTGTTTACTTTCCCCCTTTTGATGTGCCGAGAAGGATAAAAAGAACACTCAACATACAGAAGATCATAACACCAGCTTTAAATGTGAAGAGGTATCAAATTAGCACTTCGCAACGTACAGGCTTTCTGAGGCTATTCATCAACTCGTCCTACTCAGAAAAGCCTTCATCAGAATGCGAGCGAAAAAAAGGAAGAAAGCCACAAAAAAGTTACTCGTAACAAATTGCCATATCGATCATCACTCATCAACAAACTCAGATTCAAGCATTGTAAGACTCTCCCTTTCCTTCCAAACCTTAGACCCGTCCATGTTCCTATCATTAACGCGTTTGGAAGAAGAATGGTATTTATGGACGAAAAGAATGGTAACCTTCCACCGCCGGCGACCTATCCATGGTACAAAAACGAAAAAAGGAATCCCATATTAGCTTCACGACTGTTTTAAACCTCCGTCTCAACATCCGGCGTCCGCCCACTCAGGCTTCCAACCTTCTTGAGCCTGCGAGCGGCGAATAGGGCCTCGTCCTTGGCGAATTGGACGTTGCGCAATGGTTTCCTACCAAGTATCCCTTTAGTACGCTTGAAACATCAGTCAAAGGGAGGGACGAAAAAGAAAAACTTACCATTGCATCAGCCCCCTATGCTGACGATGCAAATCCCGACTGCGGCTTCTATACTCCTTGTACTGCTTGATGGGATTCTTGCTGCTCGACCCCGAAGCCGACTTGATCGACCGTCCGGCCGAGGTCGCCTGGGTATCCATCGACTGTCTCCCCACCATGGACGTCGCCGACCCGTTGGCGTTGTTAGGATGCTCACCAGCCGAGCCGTTACCAGCATTCAGCCCCGAGTTCATCCCGCCATTAGCGTCCTCTCCTCCCGCGTTATCGTTCATCGGCCGCGCGTTTTCCCCATCAGCAATACCCAAGTCCGGGGTTGAATCGTCGCCATCGACCGCTGACCCTCCGTTACCAATGATGCCGGCATCGCCATTTGCATGGCTCTGGCTATCGTGAGACTCCTCATCACTGCTCTCCTCATACTCCGTGCTCTTCCCTTCGCTACTGTGACTCCCTCCACTCACCGCCCTGACCCTTCTCCTTCCGTTCTGCTCCGCCAACAGCTCCTCAGGATCCTGCCCGAACGCCCCAGTCCAATCTGTTCCGTCCTTGGCCAGCCACTTCCTCTTATCCTCCTCCCTCGCCGTCTTTAATACGTCCCTGCCCTCCGTTAGGCTCTCCTCATGCAGTCTCTGCACGATGGGGGGTACCTCGCTCTCGACGTGCTCAGCTCTGACGCCCTCAGCGAAGCACGCCTCCCACGTCTCAATCGTCTCCCGCGAATCATTATCGCTAACGAACTTGAGGTGGTCGCGATCCGTTCCGGGCTTGAACTGACCCCTGAACCTGAGGCGGCCCAGCTCCTCGATTTGGATGTCGGGAACAGACCTATAATTCTCCTCGGTGATGTAATTCTGCGACAGCCGCATGCCGTTGTTGCAGCGCCAGATGGGAATGTCAAAGTCCTTTTCTTCGTTGTCCACCAGGTCCTGCAGCCAAAAGGCAGCAAACATGTCCGTGTTGCGCTTGCCGGAGCGGTGGAACTCAAAGAACACGGGCGAGCGGTACCGGTAGCGCACGGGCAGGCGAATCTTCTTGGAGTGCTTGTTGCGGTCAGCATCGCCCGAAATGTCCCACGTGATGCTGGACTGTTGCCCGTCGGGCGTGTAGGAACAGACGTCGCTGGGAACCTTGGCCGACGAGCCACCGGTGCGCAGCTTGATCTTCATCTTGTCCGTAGGCGCGAAGCCCGAGGTGGTGATGTTGTCCGAGGTGAACTCGAAGGTACCGATCTCGCCGAAGCCGAGCTGGGGAGGAGGGAGCTTGAGCTCGACGGAGCGAAAGAGGAGCGAGATGCGAATGCGGCCGAAGCCGATGCCGCCGTCGAGCGGGTACCAGCGCGTGCTCTGACTGGCGGTATGGAACACGTCCGAGAGCTTAAGTGGGACGACGCCAATGATGGGGTCGTGCTGGCGGTTGCGCGAGTCGCGAACGGTCACGGTCACGATGGACGAGCGCCAGTCGCGGACAAAGCGCTCGGTACCGGCTTCGAAGATGGGCTTGGAGGAGACGACCTTGGTACGGGTCTTGTAGACGAGCTCGTCGTTGATGAGGATGGTGCAGTACGAGCTGGGCAGCTTACCGCCCGACTCTTCCTTTAACTCACCAGCTTCGGGCCTGGCGGGCTCGTACTCCTTGCCCTTCCTCTTACCCTCGGATCCCTTGACGTTCTCAAGCTCAAGGTTGACAATCTGGTGGACAATAATACTCAGAACACCGCTAGGCCACAACGGGTCGGGAGGAGTATGAACAACGGCATCTTCCTCCTTGCTCTCAAGAGTGCCCTTGTCATCCTGAAGTTCAGGCTTGTCGCGGAGTTCCTGGGGCAGCTTGTGGTCCTTGCCATCCGTCCTGAGAGCCTTTCTGAACTGGGTCTTGCCAAAGAAGCCAACCTCCCAGTGAAGCTCGCCAGGCATGGAGCTGCCAGCTTTGACACCTCTGAGCTTGGAAGTCTGGGGGAACATCTGGCCGGGATGCTGGATCAACTTTTGGATGCTGAGCTCAACCTTTCCGACGACATCATCGGCGGAGCTGCGGTCGCTGTCCCAGAGCTCGAGCGAGAGCTGCTCATCAGCCTTAATGATATCGGGGGTGACGAGCAAGGCGCAAGTCTCGGAGAAGACGGGGTTGAGGTCGTCCTGGATGACGCGAGTGCAGTATTGCGGCTTGCCGAACTTGGAGTAGGAGACGCAAATGTAAGGGTCGGAACCGCCACCCTCGCTTCCGCGACGGTCTTGCTTGCTCAGGCCAGTGGCCTTGTGAATGCGAAGGAAGAGGACACCAAGGGCCTGGGTCTCCTTCTTGATAGAGTCTCCCTGAAGCATCTTTCCAATGTCCAAAGTCATGGACTTGGGCGCAACGTACATGCCAGCGGCAGTCGCAATGGCCCAATTGACAAAATTGGAGATGAGAGGCAGGTTAAGAATATTGGCTCCCTTTTGCATGAGGGGAACACAGCTGGCTTCAACCTTGGGCAGGCCCATAAGAGTGAAGCTGAGCGTCTTGATGAAGGGTGGGTCGGGAGCCATGGCAATTCTGAGTCTGCAAGTGGCGACAAGGCCGTTGAGCTCGACCCAGACGGGGAAGGGAACTCCAAAGAAGCCCTTTAGACCGAGGTAGAAGACCAGTTGCATGCCCATGTTCTTAGCCTTGGAGGAGACATCTCCGGAAGAAGGCAGAGAATGGTAAGCAACAGTGGCTTCGAGATTGTAAAAGTCGCCACCCTCTTCCTCAGCCGCCAGCTCCTGGGGGTCCTTGTTCTTCTCGTCCTCCTTGCGAATTTCAGCCTTCATGTCCTTAACGTGGCTATCGGGCAAGGCTCTCAAGCTGAGAATGCGGAGCGGGTTGCTGCCCTGGTTGATGTCGTTGACCTTGACGTTCTCAATCACTCCGGGAACACTGGCCTGCATGATATCCTCAAGGGTGTCGGCAACAGCCGAAAACATTTCCGGGTTGATGAGGCCCCAGATCAGGCCTACGGCAGTGTTCAACCACTCGACGCTTTCCGGAATCAGGTTGACCACGGCGGTCTCGCCACGCTTCTGCTCGCTCGACCATTCCATGTCCCGCCCCTGACGGATCAGGTCCTTGGCCCACAAGAAGACGCCGCTGGCAACGCACATGCCCAGGGGAAACAAACCCCAGAGACTGCCGCCCAGCACCTTTCCAATGAAGACGATACCGATGAAGACGAATGCGCAGAGGACGTTGGCGCGGGCCTCGATGGACTCGAACATGGGCTCAAAGGTGATGGAAGGGGTAGGGTGGAAGAGCACGTTGGTCTTTTCGCCATGGATGGGCACGTCGCTGGTGGAACCATTGGCGATGGGATCAGGAGGCGCGGTAACATCTTGGGCTTCGCGGTATTCCTCGCCGGACTGTGAGGCTTTGGTCTGGACGGTGGTTTCCTTTCCGAGGTTTGCGTTGGGGACGGTCAACTGTAAGGGGGACGCTGGTTAGTTTGGGCTTCTTATCATCATGCGTCACGTAAGTGAGTATAGACCGACACACCTGTGGATCCTTGGCCGTCTTCATGTGCATGCTTTCGATATCCTCGATCTCGACATCCTTTCCGGTTACTGGGTCCTTGACAGTACGACGGTTCTTGCCGGGTGTTTGGGTTGGGACATGGGCCTGAAGCTCTCCATTTTGGTGATTCCGGCGCAGATCGGCTTCGAGTTTGGCATCGCGTTCCTTCTTGTCCCTATCAAGACTTTCGACAAACTGCTTAATGTTGGGGATGCGGTTGGTGCCCGAGTAGGGTTGGCCCCCGGGGTAATGCCGTGATTCCGGGACGTCCATGTCTTCCTGCTGTCCTTCTGACAAGCTCACAATGTACTAATCTCCTTTGGATGGTGGTTGGACATGAAGATGATATTTGCTGGTTGGTATTAACTTGAGGGAAGTGGTCGATATAGGAATAGAGACAAGGTTGTGGTGATGTAGAGTAGGTACTTGGGGATGCAGCGGAGTACCTATCGAAGATGAAAAGAAAAAAAAAAAAAAAAAAAAAAAAAAAAAGACGTGGATGGGACTGCCCGGTACTTGTGGTACTGGAAACGTTCATCAAGATGAAGATGGATGGGAAAGTGTGAATCCAGTTTATACCTACTAGCTGACCATCCTGTAGCTCTCCACAAGTGGTAAGGGTGTTACGTAGGGGGCGCATCAGGGCCATGGCAGCTGCAGTAGTTCTCTACCCTATTAAGTGGAGGTTGTGGAAAAGCAAGCAGGAATCAGAGACATGGGATGAACCAACGGAATGGCAAGATCTCAGAGAGGAGCTTCCCGTCAATCCACTTGGACAGATGCAGTGGTGTACTACTTACAAAGAGGGTTGTACAGTATCAAGTTGAGGATTCCCCCCTCCCTCCTCTGATAGCTCTCTTAGGACTACTTACACTGCCCCAGCCAAGCCCCGGTCCAAGGGGAAAAAAGCAAGAAGAGGGACATACCTAGGCATGAAGTCGATCCGATCGCCGTCATCAAAGACAAATCCAGATCACTCGACTGTCATCATCGTTGTTTGAGATCCCTCACCTTTGCAAAGACTTGAGAGTCTTGGTATGAAACCCAATCACCACCCAACTAAGAAATCCGTCAGGGTCACTGCCATGGGTAGACAACGAATTGTTCCATTGGTGAACATTTCAGAAATCAATGTGGTTGTTTGCGTGCGGTCAGATGGATGGATGGACGGATGGATGTTCTCGTACGAAGAGGGAGAGGTTGTGGTGGGGGAAGATGTACAAGTAGAGCTAGGTGGGTATGACGTCATTACCACAGCTACTTCCCGTCAATTCCTTGTGTGCGTAATGTCATTCATTCAACTGCCAAGCTACAGCGGGCTTGGAACTAACAAATGCAAGCAGCACCCACCCACCCACGACCACTCACTGCTGACTGCACAACATCGGTTCACTCCGGCTCGCTCCCTGCCGTCTACACTAGTTCCACACTCATTCTCTCTCGTTCTCGGCCTTGTGTTGTCTCAAGGTGTTGGTCTGGACCTTTGCGGGATGATGTTGGCAAGCTGTGGTTGTTAGAGGTACCGACAAAGTTATTTCAAAAGAAAGAATGACAGGGAAAGACTGTGTAAATCAAACATACACGGCTTGTTCATTGGGGCGCGCTGGTGTTGAGGTTGTGATTGGCCTGTCCTACATGTTCAAAACTACGTCTTTGCTTGCTCCCCCATATTCCCCCATGTTGTCTTCCACCATGTCATTCAGACAACAAGGTTTTACCGTGCGCTTCGAGAAGCTGGTAATCATCACCACTGAGCCTGAACTATAATGCAATGTATCCAAACTACATGGTAAGGTAGACAGTCCACATCACACATGTAAACATCCAATGCAACGTGGAGATACCGGTGGATTAGAGACCAATGGCGTACACAGTATATGCAGTGATGAGAATATGGAAGCGAAGAAGGAATCACGGTATGATGGATGAAAAGACACAGATGTTGTGTGTACACCAAATGTATGTGAAAATGCTTTGTTCGATTTACGCCTTCATATTCCCAAAACGAGTTCATTTCCATCCATCCATCATCATGTTCATGTCCATGTCCATAACCATACCCATAACCATATCAAAACCATTCCCTTTCCATATCCCTTTTACACCTAAACCCCAAACATGATAACAACCAAGTAAACAGTAGCTTAACCTCCCATAACCCAGTATCCATCTTATGCTCTTCCCATCCATCTAACCACGCTAGGTAACTAACTAACAAATCCCCAACCCCAACCTCTCCACCGCATACCCCGGCCTTCCCCCAACCGTAGGCGTATCCATATCCATATCCGTATCCATATCCGACGAGTGGCATGGCTGATCCACACTTGCTCCTCGCTTACCACCATTCACTTTCAAGTAGTTCATGTAGACGTTGTTGTGGTTATTGTTCCCATGTTGTTCCTCCCCATCCGCACCACCACCACCACCAAACGTAGACTCGTTATCACCAGCAGGGTCATCATCATAGCAAACACTGCTCGCATCCGACATCTCCACGTCCCCGTTGTACACGGACGAGGTGTCAAAGACAGAGTCCTCAGACAACATGGACTCGGCTTGGGACATGATGCTCGTCATGCTGGTGACGGATTCCATGCTGGGGGTGTGGGGTTCAATGTGAGGGAGGGTGGGTTCAGGGGTGAGTGTGGCGCGGGACGACTGCTGCTGCTGATGGGGCTCGGATTGCTGATGTTGCTGGGGTGGTGGTGGTGGTGATTGTTGTATTTGTGTTTGCTGTTGCTGTTGCACCAAGGGCAGTGCTGGAGCAGCAGCAGCCACGGGCGTAGACACTGCAGGTACAACAGGCCCAGGAACAGCCAAAGTCGACATGGAAGAAGGAGGCAAACTCAAAGCAGGCCTTAGCCTCCTCCCGCTGCTAGTCGGCCCCGGCACCGGCAACTGGGGTATTTGCAATGCCACAGTCGCAGCCGCAGCCGCCGCCTTGTTCCCAGTAACAACAGTCTGTACCGACTGCGCCTGCGTCTGCGCCCTCGTCCTCGCCCTGCTTGGCGGCACAGGCACCGCCAACACCGGCACGCCCACCATGGCCTCCTTTCTTTCAGCAGCAGCTACCGCGTTCGATAGCTCCGGCCTCGCCGTCCACGGCACCACCGGACTCCCGCACTCCTCCAGTTCCGCGTCCTCGGCGTCCTTCCCGATCGTCCACACCCACCTCCGCTTCTTCTCCCTTTTCTTTCCTTGCAAGCCGCGGTTCTTGCGTATCCCCCCGCTCGTCGGCGAAAGCGAGATGGGCGTCGACGCGTGCATGCCCGCCATGCGCCTGCGCATCTCCTCATAGGGTCCCGGAGTCTGGCCCCCGTCGCGGGTCTCGTTGCCGCCGGTGTAGGCCATGGTTTGGTCTAGCAGCTCCTCGCCCTCTGATGAGGAGGAGCATGATGACGAAGAGGACGATGAGATGGATCTAGCCCCCGTGGGCGTGGTGGGCGTCCCAGAGTCTTCGGCCAGCAGGTCCACGTGCGACTTGGTGTACTTGCTCGTGGTAATGGTCTCGCACAGCGGACTGTGGTAGGCCACCCGCCGAGCGGCCTTTTCCTGGAGCCGGAGCGACTGCCGTCTGGATGAGTTGGGGGATTGGCAGGTTAAAGGTGCAAGAGGGCTGTTGCGAAGGATGCTGCGGAGGGAACGCGGGTGGGTGTAGGGGAGCTTGACGTTGGATGGAAAGGTGGTTCGCCTCCTGGGCGTTTCTGAGCAAGAAGCCATCTCTGATGCTTGTGAGGTGGTAGTATTGATGCAAAGTGACGGCTGTGCCATGCTGTAGTTGTTATTTGTGTTGTTGCTGGAATCAAAGGTGAACACGCGAGGGCCGTTCTGCTCTTGCGGCTGGGCGGATAGTGGTGGTGTCGCCGTCATGGCACTAGGGAAAATCATCTGGCTTTGTGCTGTTGCAATGGCAGGTGACATTGGTTGCGCCGTCAGAGGAGTGTCGAGATATGGGCCCAAATAAGGCGTTTGTAGACGACGGTCCTTGGATACTGCTGCTCCGCCATTTTGGCCAGCCTCCTGGGTTTGGAGGCGCAGCATCGGCTTCCCCCCTGATAGCGCTGTTGCCGGGGCATGCTCCTGGATTGGCGTCGACCTATCCACAGCGGTGGCGTAGACATTCGACAGCGTGTTGAAGGCTGTAGGAGACTTGACATCCACGGCGGCGGCCAGCGTCCTGGATGTCCTGACACTCGAACCATTAAAGGTCTTGATCTGAAGGGAAAGCCTTGGCCTCTTGGGCGGGCTGCTGGGCTGGGATTGATGAGTCGACATTTCCAGAATGTCGGGTTGGTTTCTCACTCAGTTTGTTCCGGTTCCCGTGCTTGCTTCTCTCGACCCTTGTTGATTATAACAGTTTGCAATGCAAGTGCTTCCTTCGAGAGAGAGAGAGAGGCAAACCAAATTCCACAGAGTCGTCAAAGCCCACCAACTGAGCAACTGGCAGGCTGGAGACCCTCTTTGAGGAATCTAGAACCGGTAAAGCGAAAAACAACAGAGAAGAATAGAAAAAAACGTGCGTAGGGGAAGGGGGGATGCCGAGGGGGGACACGGGCGGCTATATAGAACGGTAGTAGTATAGTAAATGATGTGACATGATGGGCCCAACGAGCAGCAGATCCTTTTACGTGTGCCGGATAGTAGTGTCACTATGTGGTACGGGTGCGTGCTGGTGGCGACGGCGGCAAGTATGTAGGGTGGGCGGGAGGGCTGGCGGATCAGGGAGGGCAACTATTGACGGACGGGAGACCAGTCGTTGCCAGTTGGTGGTAGATGAGTTAGTTAGGTTGGTGAAAGATACTGTACACTAGTCTATGTTGTAGTGTGGTATGAACATATGGGAGAGAGGGAGGTCTGAGGAGGGGAAGCGTTGTGGAAGCGCCATGAGCCATGCTCCTCCCATGCTCCTCCTCCTCCTCCTCACACACACAACACCCGCCTAGCAACAACAACAACATTCTGAACCAACGGAGGACACACTCCTCGAAGCCCCGTCGCCGCGCGGTCCGTCATCCATGTCCCCGTCCTCGAGGCTATCCTATCCACACGCATGCTCCGACGGGAAGTCTAGGAAGAGCTGGTGAACCCGAAATCGCACAGTAACCGGCAACACCCAACCGGTTCATTTCTGTTTGTCTGGATCGATCCAGTCGTGTGTGATGTATGACAAGCTCACAACTCACAAGAAAAGCCCCTCGGCCCCCCCTCCTCAGTACTTCCAGCTGGGCGTACAATCCCTTCCATTTCCCCTCTATTCCAATGTTCCTCGGTGACGACGACAAGGATATGGGGAAGAAAAGAAAAAAAAAAAAAAAGAACAGAACAAGGGAACGCAAAGGATGGTGACACCACTGTGAACGCAGACGGACAAAGGTCTGTGGTTGGTTGGTTGGATTTAGGCCCCCTCTTCACCACCACGCCTTCGTCCACCAACTGTCCACCACCACAGTCCATCACCAACTGAACCCCCCCGGCTCCCCTGTCGATGCCTTGTGTATGGTGCAGGCGCAAGCGCCCACACTGACCAATAGTAGCCACAGATTTTGGGATGCGGACGCTATGCGGGTACAAGTCACATCGCGTCTAATTCTTATTTTATACATAGAAACCGCACTTGGCCGAATTCGGGAGGTGGCTTGGAGGATGGGCGGCCCATCTTCGACACCTCAAGTCCCATCAGTTTCCTGTTTATCGGTTGGATCTTCGAACTGATAGGCGCCGCAAGCTGAGACTCCTTCCCAGGGATCCTCACTCGGTTCTCGCCGCCGCCGCCGACAAATACATAGCTTCAGAGAGAGACACACATTGCGGTGGAATGCCATGTTTCCCGCTGACGCTGCGTGTGTGGATGAATCAATCGTCTTTTGCCATCCAATTCTGCTCACGAGTCGACTTTATAAACGCTCATCTTCTCCTAGACTCCGGCGTCGTTAAACCTGTGGCATCGACTTTTTCTTTCCCTTTCCCACAGTATGTCCCCACATGGCCAAAAGTCGACCCAGTCTTTTCCCTTTTTTTTTTCTTTTTTTTTTCGCCGAGGTAGAAAAGGGTTAGAAAGATCAGATGGTCATGAGGGCACATCATCTTCATTCGCCATCAGTGCAGTGTAGGATTACACTAGATGTCCTCGTGTTTAAAAATACTTACCTACACTCCATAGGCATGTGAACAGGAACGGAATATCCTTACGTTAGCACGCCTTCGCCAGAAAGGAGAAGAAGAAGAAGAAGAAGAAGAGGTGGAAGTTTCCAAATTTGGCATCACAGGTGCACTGGAAGGTGAAGAACAAGTGAAGACCGAAAAAAAAAAAAAAAAAAAAAAAAAAAAACGTGCTGTCCAGGCCTTGTGTTCGTTGTCTGGGCACGGACACGACGAGGGGCGAGACCTTGGGTTGGGGAGAGACAGCCGAGCCGAGAGACAACCACACCACCATCACCACCACCACCACTACCACCGATATACATTGACTGACGACGGATGAACCCTACACTATAGCTTCGGATGCGGCTGAGATCCACATACATAAGCAGACCAGACAGAGAGATCCGTACACAAGATACGGTGTCAACTGTCGGACGAGTGAGCCATCCAATCCCCCCCAAATCTTCACTCCATGTCCCAACGTGTAAAAACCCATGGCGTTATCATGGCTATTTTCCTTTCTTCCGTCGGGCCGCAGTGCTTAAGTCAATGCGAAGAATCTACATACACTAAGGTAGGAAGTCGATGGAAGGCCACGTAATGTACGATTACGTCTGTGGGCGTTGATGACGGACAGGGAATAATAATAATAATAATAATAATAATAATAATGACGAAAGCGCAAAAAGAGTGAAAGAAAGTACCACCGGACCGGATGGCTTACTTTCCTGTGGCGTCGTTGTCGTCGTTGTTGTCGTCGTCGCATCGTTGGTTCCAGCCTATCCAGCTCAAGCATAGATAGTTATCGGTTGCCCAAGATGGGAAAGTTCCGATATGTCTTCCAGCAGTCATGATTTGAGGGTATCTTCATCGCAAGTCGGGAGGCCGAAGCTCCGTCTGACTGCTGAGCATGTGGACTACCTACTCCCGCCATCCAGCCTGATTACTCTTTTCCGCCGAACGCGCCGATGAAATCCGACCAAGCTTCTATTTCAAGCACAGACGATTTGACCGCTAAAAGGGTTCGCTGTGTGTGCTGTGCAAGTGTTCCGCATGTCCTGACCACGTGGCTGGACGAGCCGCATTCGTTCATGACTTGTTATCTGCAGCTATCTCCAGCGGGCCGGATAAATCGACTGTGTGCCCAGATAGATCCCCTGTGTGGGGGCCGCCCGACCAATGGCAAACCATGTCAGCGCCCGCCAAATTTGCTAGCGAGCAACATCGTGTGACATCTCTGTACCTCAGCAGTAACGATTGAAGCAATTGAGCACATCGCCGTCGCCGTCATTATTTACTATCGAGCCAGTGAGTGTGGTGTTGAGGGGGTCATACTTATCGAGATTACTAACCGTGCGCTGTAGAAATGCCTGAAGTTATCGATCTGACTGCCTCCTCCCCAGCGGGCTCCCCCATACTCGCGCGCGCGCCCAGTCCGACCCCCTCAATTGAATGGATCAAGACTGAACCGCGCGACGATGACCACGAGTTTCTCGATATCAACGACCTCATCAAAGACGAGAAGCCATCTCCATCTCCAGCTCCGGCCCCAGCTCCAGCGATCCCCGTGTTCCACCGCCGCCGTCGCTCCCCCTCAAGCTCCTCGAGCTCGTCGTCGTCGTCGAGTTCTTCCTCGGACCAAGACAAAGAGACAGAGAATGAGGAGGAGGTTGGCAAGAAGGAGCCCGCCCTCGCCGAGCTTTCTTCTCGCCAGTGGACCGACGTCGACGCCGCCGTCAGAGAGATCAGTGACATCGCCAGACAACTCGGATTTGGTGTTTCTAAGAACCGTGCCAGTAACTACCGGACAGAGGGAGCAACTCGGTTCCCTTGTCGGTACGATATCGAGTGTGTTATGGCGAAGAAGCGCGGGGGCAAGAAACGCGACAACGACGCCCCGCTCCAAAGACCGTTGGCAGCGAGTATGAAAAGAAACTGTGAGTGGCAAGCAAAGCTGGTATTCAGCACCAAAACCAGGGTATGGCAGTTTACCCTCATGAGGGGAGACCACAGCCATCCCCTCGACCCCAACAGCGCCAGTTATCTCGCCGTCAATCGTCGCCAACACCGCACAGAGGAGGTAACCGCCAGTATCCTTCGGTTGGCCAAGCAACCAAAGACTTCCTCGTCAGACATCGCGTCTACTATCCGTGACGAGTTCCCTGGTATTGCCATCACGCAACGCGACGTACTCAACGTACTGGCGGCCAACAGAACGAAGCAAGCGGGTGCCCTCACACCGACCCAACAATTTCTCGACCGGTTACAGTCAACAGAGGGGATTCATCATGAAGTCTACCGTCACAACGGCGAGGAGTTTGGTCTGATTGAGAGAATCTTTTGGACTTATCCATGGTGTATTGACCAGTTGAGGAAGAATCCCGAAGTCATGAGCTTGGACTGCACGTACAAAGTCAACAAGTTCGACATGCCTCTCCTTCAAATATGTGGGATAACGGCCATGCATACGACTTTCAATATCGGTTATTGCTTGTTAAGTGGCGAGAAGGAGGCATGCTTTACATGGGCATTTCAGCAAATCGATGCCATGCTCTCAAAGTATGGTATCCCCCAGCCTCTAGTCATTGTCACCGACTACGATAAAGCGTGTAAGAGAGCTTGCCGGGCAGTCTTCCCCATAACCCAGCACCAGATCTGTCTCTGGCACGTGATGAAGAACGTTGCCTTCAACGTCAAAAAGAAGTGGGAGGGTAGTCTTGAGGGTACAGCGTTGGGTAACCGTGGCAGTGACGGGAGTCATCTCCGTGAGGATCACCATCATATGGATATCAACCCCGCCAACGAAGACTCTACTGCTCGCCAAGTCGCCGCCCAGTTGTTGAATGGAGATGACCGGAATCACCACCTCGAGTCAGGGACTAAGAATCCCTTCATTCAACCCATCAACGGTCGTGCCCCCCATGGTTCAAACCGTGAATGGATCGACAACGCGGATGGGATCTTAGCCGCGTGGAGGGCAGTGGTGTACTCTGATACAGAGGAGGGATTCTACCAGCAATGGCGGGTGTTGTTGAGGGAGTTCCCCAAGCAAAAAGGTACGATTATCACATCTTTCTATTATTATCTGTATAATTACTAATCCCTCTTTTTACAGCCATAACCGACTACCTTCTCTACGTTTACCTCCCGTTGAGGTACGAGTTTGCCCATTTCGCCATCAGATCATACCGCAATTTTGGTATACGAGTAACCTCCCGCACAGAAGGTGCCCACGGCGTCTTGAAAGCACTACTCAAGAATCGTCGTATTGATCTCAACCAGTTACTGGGCGCCATCACCGAAACCCTCAAGCGGTTGAAAGAGAACTTCACGATCAAATACACGTATCAGATCTCAAAAGACGTGGCGAAGTTCAGGCATACTGCTCTGGCGGACTTGAAGTTCATCACCAGCTTCGCTTGCCTTGAGTTACTCCAACGGCAAGCTCAACTGGCCAGTGATAATCTCAAGCGCTCACAGTCTGACTTGGAGGGACTAAAAGCAAAGTGCTCTACCCACTTTACGAGGCAGTATGGCTTACCCTGCTGGCACGGGATAATTGATATCGTACGGTTGAACGGTACCATACCTCAAAGTATGGTCGATAAGCACTGGTTGCTCAAACCAGACACGGTAAATAAATATCCCTCTCTTAAATATCATTTATCTAGTGCGCTTACTAACCGTGTCTTTTACCAGCCGTTGTCTACAGAGTGGCTGTCACTACGTAGGGAGAGAGACCCTCTCCCAGTTGTCACCAACCGCTGGAAGGCTCGCAACGGTGCCCAGCCCATGCCCGCCATGCCCGCGCTCCCTCCTCTCCCCTCCTCCAGCGTTAGATGCGATCCATCTCATGATGCCCCCCCCAAGGCTTCACAGCCTCCCAAGAAGAAGAGGATGACCAAAGCAGTACTGGCCAGTCAGAGGGAGCAGGAGGCAAAAGCGGCGGCAGAGAGCGCGAGGCTGGAGACAGAGATATTGAAAACACAACTCCAGGAGTTGAGAGAGTCACGGCAAAGAGAGGCACAGCTGGAGGCACGGCTGCGAGAGCTCACGAGTCAACAACAACGAGCTCAACCCCCGCCGCCGTCACCAGTATACCAAGGGTATCAACAACAGCAATATCACCAGCCCACCCGCCAGCTGATGATGCCCCCCCCTCCCTCACAGCAGCCGCTGTATCTAAATCCTTACCAGCCGCCACCATCTGGCCAACAGCAGTCCCAACAGCTGTACTGGTTCTCCCAGTCGAGCCAGCAGTACCAACACCAGTAGATTATATATACCAGTATAAATATAAACTCTACGATTTCAGCATATTCATGTAAATCAGCATCTCAGAAAGCCTCGTCTGTGTAAATCCTTGTGCAATTTTGGTGTGGATGTTGCACACATGTCATTTTGGTGGAAATTTGGCGGGCGAGAACATGGGTGAATCATTGGCCAGACCGGTTCCACACAGGGGATCTATCTGGGCACACAGTCGATTTATCCGGCCCGATCTCCAGTGGGATTGGTACGTTCAAATATAGATGAGTGGATGGTTAGCTTCCTTTTGCTGCGGTGGACGATCAAGTCTATCCCGTGATTTTGCTCTGCCATAATGTCAGATCATGACTGAAAGACGATTCTTTTTTTTTTTTTTTTTTCCTATTATTACAGTCGGTCGTAACTTGGGTATTGAGCGGTGATCTGATTGCTTGCTGCCACGCCGCCAAAGCCAAGTTCTCTCGTTTCATACCCAAGAGTAGGTAAATAGTAGAGTGAGAAACGGACTCCCTTTTCACAACAAGCTCCGATGCAGCTTGACATTCGCAATCTGGCGATCCTTGAACGTCTTCTCCTCCCCTTCCTTCCAGTATTTATTCGGTCTAATGCCTTGCTCCCGCCACTTCTTGGGCGGCTTCACGCCCAACTCGGCATACCTCTGCCAAATCTGCTTTCCACGCTTGAACCACCTCTCCTGGCGCTCAATCTCCTCTTCCGGGTCCGGCCGCCACTTGCTCTTGAGGATCCTGCGGATCGCCTCGGGCGACACCTGGAACTTGTTGGACAGCACTTCGGTCGTGTACTCCTCGGGGAACTGCTTATGCAGCGCCCGAATGCCCTCCAGCGCGTCGGGCGACAGCTTCTTGAGCGGCTTCCAACCCTCAGGGAACTTTTCTTTCAAAGCGTTCTTCTGGTGTTGCCAGCTCTCTCGCCTGGGGTGGGCCGGGTTGTGCTTTTTGGGCTCCTCGAGTGACGCCCTCAGCTTTTGCTGCTGTTGCTCTTGCTTCCGCGCTTGCCTCTCGGCCTCGTCGGGCATCTCTTTGCCCATTTTGGCATAGAGTTCTCGACGCTCCTCTTCTGGTAGGTCTCTCCACCTGTTCTTCTTCTTTGTAGGCTCTGTGTGGTCTCCTTCTTCTTGCGATGTGTGCGCTCCATGGTCTCGCCTGGCTTTTTTCAACTCTCGAGGCTTGTGGTCTTGACGTCTTGGAGGCTGCTCTCCCATCCAGTTCGGGTTGGCAGGGGCATTGGTTTTTCGGAAGAGCAGTTTCGGGGCTTTCGGTTTCTCTGTGGCCGTTGATGCCTCCTCGGAGACATGCTCTGTGGAATCGCTACGGGCAGCGCGCGTTGTGTGTAGAGATCGTGTATGGAAAGGTAGAGATGTAGTAATTTGCCGGTGGAAGCCAGGAAGCGCTCTTGGGGTGACTTGTTGAGATGAGGGTACTTGGATGTTGGCGACGTTTCGCACAAAGATCCGCAGCGCGGCGGTGTTGCAAGAGCAACTCATTGTGATATGACGGGCAGTAATATTGAGGATAAGGTAGAGGTGATTGTTTGGGTAGTCAAATTAATGGCGGCTCGATGGGAGAAGAGCCTGAGGTGAGCGCGATGGCTTCAAGTCTTGCGGTTCTGAAATTGTCCAAATGATGGCGACAAGGAAACGATGATAAGATATCGACGTTGGCGGTTTTCGAAAAATTTCCCCAGGGTCCTCGGACGCGAGAGGCCTTGCTTGCTTGCCTGCCCACTGAAACTCATCCCTATGGGGCATTCTGTTAGCGTGCATCGGTCTCAGCACTAGCGCCCCACCAGCCCCGTTTTCCTTATCTGTTATAAGTCTTATCAGTACCTTAACGCCTCACCCGACTGCGTCAACTCTGGTTGCTGACAGTTTCTAGCATCGTTTACTTTGTGTAACCTCAAGCTTGAAGCTATCGTGGTCGTCTCAACTAAGACCGGTGACACTCTTCACTTTTATGTTGATGGCTTTAACTCCTCACCATAACACAAGAGGACCGTGGACTGCATCTGGCCTCGGGCCATGCTGGGATGTCTTCCCTTGAGATCACCAAAATGTGGGGAAGATGGCATCAATGAATCCCTCAACCATCATGGTTCCACGGCATATAACCATAACTTGGAGCGGGGAAATATGTCAAGTGAATATCTGCATAGTACAGCTTACCGTTACTGGTTGACAGACAAAGTAGTTACCAAAACAACTTATTCTACTCCGGCTCTTCTACCCTACATCGACGTGGACATCGCAGTCCCGACTATTGACAGTGAAGATCTCACCGAGAAAAACGACCTGTTACCCCAACCAGCTCTTGGTATTTGATATCATATTGATCTCATCCCAACGAGGCCATAGTTAAACAATCCTGTCTCTTATCTTCTCGGCTTTCTCTCCCTATTTAGGTTTCTCAATGTCAACAAAGACAGACAAGTTCGCCTAGTCAAGCTTCCAAGTGGAAAATGTCTCCTCGAAATTGTCACAACTTGAGTCTCTGCTTAAAGAGCTTCGAACCCCATCTGATCACGACTCCGGCCTACTGTTTACATCTCGACTTTACACTTTAAAGTCTTGTCCAGAAAGTAACCCCTAATTCCATTGACCTACAACAACAGACACCTACCGCAACATGTGCTCCAACAACAACAACAACAACCCCAACCACAAGAACATCTGGGGCTACACCTTCGACTGGACCCCTTCCCACCTCACATCCACCGACCTCCACCCTCTCACCCTCTCCTACGACAAACTGACCAACGACTGTCTCGACGAATTCGACGCCCTTGGACTTACCTCCTCCTCTGACCCTTCCCCTTCCCCTTCCCAAAATAGCCATCAATGCCCCCTCCACCACCACCACCACCACCACCAACCCATCGACTTCCTCCACCTCCTCCAAACTTACCACCACTCCTCTCCCTCCCTCTCCACCCTCTGGACACACCTAACCACCATCCCCGCCTGGGTCTCCTACCCGTCCATCGCGCGCGGCCAAGCGGTCTTCTACCGGTACGTCGGGCCCGCCATTACTTCTTTGACTTTCCATTCTCTCTTGGGGGGGGATGGCTTCAGCGCGTGTGGTCGAGACACTAGCAAGAACAGGGGGATTCGGGACGCGAGTGGCTAGACGGAGATTGCTGGAGACGTTTCAGCATATTTTGGATGTTACTGAGGGGGTGGGGTCGATGAGGCCTGGTGGTGGTGGTGGTGATGGTGATGAGAGTGGTAGTGATGGGGGAATGGGATGGAAAAGTACGGTGTGAGTGAGGTTTTTGCATGGGATGGTGAGGAGGAGGATCATGACTTTGGCTGTTCAGGATGATAGGGATGGGAATGGAGGAAAAGGAGGAAAAGGAGGAGGGAAAAGAGGGTACTGGGACACGCAAAAATGGGGAGTTCCAATTAACGACCTCGACAGCATCGCCACCATTGCCTCCTTCTCCTCGGCCCTCATCTGGATGGGCCTACCCCGTCAAGGCATCTTTTTGACCTCACAAGAGATCAACGACTACTTGGCCTTGTGGCGATACGTCGCTTATCTTATTGGCGTGCCCGACACCATCACTTTACCCTCTTCTTCCGGTGGGCAACAGAAAATCACGCCCTTTGGAAGCGCCCAGGAAGCCAAGGTGGTGATGGAGTCAATCGTGCTTTCGGAACTCAGCCACCCCAGCGAGACGTCCGCCGTGCTGGCCAACAACATCATCGCCTCCCTAGCGAACCAGCCACCCTTGCGCAGCTCCGAGTCGTTCTTGCGGGCGCAGGCGTACTGGTTGAATGGTTCCAGTCTGTGCAAAACCTTACGTATCCCAAAGCCGGGAGTGTGGTATACCATGTTGGTTATCAGTCAGTGTTTGTTTTTTATGGTGTTTTGCTATTCAAGGCAGGCGCATTATCTTTTGTTGAAATGGGTCCCATCATGGGGTGGTGGACCCCAAAATGATGGGACTGAAGTTGTTACTGGGGAGGAAAGGTATAAGAGGGTGAGAAGGTGGATGAGGAACGTGGTTGTTGAGATGGCAGGTGGGAAGGAGGCGGACTTTAGGTTTGAGTGGGTGCCGGAATGGGGAAAGTATACGGGTGCTGAGAGGGGCGAGGAGGAGGGAAGAGGTGGGAAGGGTAAGGGGAAGGGAAGGGGGAAAAAAGGTTGGAGGGACTGGATTACTAGCAGGAATGGTGGCTCGGAGTTCAGGAGTTTGAAGGCGTTATTGGTTGCGAGTACAGTCCTGGGGTGCCTTGTGTGTATTGGAGTTAAAGGGTTGTTGTTTGGAACGGCGCCGTTGTTTCGTCGATGATGGTTTAGGGGTAGGATGGGGCCCTATCATGATATCGGGGGAATAATGGTGATGAACTTGCGGAATATAGACCAACGAAAGGTGGAAGAGATAGCTAAAGCCATAGTCGGTTGTCCGCCATCACACCGTCATATCACTATAGAACAGCATAGATGTTTACATGCTAGAGTTGATATGCACTAGTTTGACTGTATCTGTGTACTATCAAATGCTCTCGGTCCATGAGACCTATGCTCCAGACTAGAGACCGGATAAAATCTTGCAAACCCAATTTTTGTTTACCCTTTACAAATATGCAAACATGCTTTGATAGTGCCCGTGACTTGCTTTCCTCTGACCCCATCCACTTTGTGCGAATGCTGGTAATGGTGAAGAATATGTTGCTCGTCCAGTATGTCCGGTGATACTAACACCTAAACGCCCACGCCCGCCAACCTTGACATCCGATTATGTGACTGATCCTTTCCTTGCGTGACAAAAAGTTGATAGAATATGATGAAGATCGTGGAAAGAGAGTATGAAAGAAAGAGAATAGAGTCGCTAATCAGCTTGTTCAAGCATCATGCATCAACTCGACAGGCGGCCTCGCGGTATGCGCAAAGATAGGTCTCGTCCTGGGCGAGTCTGACACAGGGCTCATGTCGATATCGCCATCGGCATCCGCCTCATCCGTCATATCGTCAACGGTGACACAAGGCAAGTCGACTGCCGGGCCGTTAGCCTTGCCATTGCTAGTCTGAGCCTTCTTGTCAGGCTGGAAGATGAGCGTCGAGCTGCGACTCCTGTTCTTCCTCGCACCCTCCTTGAAGTCGCCACCGGCACCGGGCCTGCTGCTGCCGCCATCGGAAGCCGGGGAAACGGGGGCCTTGACATCGGCATCAATGCCGTTGGGGTTGTTGTGGTGCCTCAGCTTGGCAAGGGCCTCGGCGAGATCCTCGGCGTGCACCATGGTGTTGGGGGCATCCTCCATGCGCTGCTCCCAGTCGTGGGGAGGGCTCGGGGGCGGGCTGATGAAGAAGAGCTTGCCGGCGTCGGGCAGAGCCAGATGCTTATCGGCGGCGGATACGTCGATGGGGGTGGGCTGGCCAAAGTAGACGCGGCAGCGCTCGCCGAGGATGGCCTCACCGTCCCAGACAGAGCGGACGGCAATAGCGGCTTGCTCGTCGAAGAAGGTGACGATGATGCGGCGGAAAGACTTGAGCGGCGACCAGGCGAAGATGGGTGCCGTTTGGCTGATGAGGTCGCGGATGGTCTGGAGGTTGTCGGCGGAGAAGACGTCGAGCGAGTTGATGTTTGTAAAGATGAGCGTGTTGGAAGGCGGCGTGGGCTGGCTGAGAGGAGGAAGGTTGGAGAGATCGAGGCTGAGAGACGAGCCTTTCCTCGAGGAGCGGCCGGTGGAGGATCGAGAGAGGGAAGCAGGGCGGAGATCGGGGGACTGCTGGAGCGACTGCTCGCTGGGCACTTGTTGCTGTTGTTGTTGGGGCTCCATCGTGATGGTTGTGGTTGTGTTGTGGTGGTTGGGAGTCGTGGATGTAATAGCGGCGGGGGGACTTGGCTAGGTATTCAATGCTCGAGAGTGGTGTAGTACTATGGTAGGATAAAAGCTCGAGTTGTTGAGGAGAAAAGGCAGGAGAGAGTTGGATGGGTATCCGAGATGTGTTTATATTTGCGGTGATGGTTGATGATGGGAAACGGAAGGTCGGGTTGTTGGAGGAACAGAATGGAAGGCAGGCAAGCACGCAGTTTAAGAGTCGTTGGCGATAACAGCAGCAGCACAGCGGAGTCGGCGTGCGTACCTAAGGAATGCAAGGCACGTTTGAATGCCCTCTGCGGTGAAACGGAAGAGGCGCCCGGGCGTGCATGCCGCCCGTGTGGATTACAATTTACAGTAGAGGTAGGTGATCACCCGCTGGGATGGGGAGGATGGAATCGCCGTACAGGGGGGGCGCGGACGGGGGAGGTACCTGGTAAGGCCAGCAAAGCCGCCCTGGAAGATGGGGTTCACTGGATGGTGATGGATGCTGGTTGGATGGCTGAGCACGTCTCTCCAGAGGGGGTGACATGTCTTCGCCAATTGTTCGTCTTGGTCATCAAGCATTAGGTTGGATCTGAAGTGTGCCAAGCTAAACCGTCCAGACATTCTATGGTAGTGTAGACATCCGGTCGTAACCTCCTCGCCACTTCGTGCTGTCAAAGTCTCATCAGCGAGACGCCTCCCTCCGCCCCGGAAGGGAAAATGGTTCGGAGAGGCCCAGACCTACCTACCTATTCAAACGCCCTATCCTACAACGAGGAAGTTGCAGACATAGGTGTTTTGCACAGCCTCAGCGGTACCTGCTCTGGACTCGGCGCCCATCCGGATCTTCACTCAACTTGCTGAGTCTTTTGTTCGGATTGCCCGGCGTGCGTCTCAGTATTCTTGGCTGTGGTGCACTAACATGGTTGCTGCGCATTTGCTAGGGGATCTGATGGGAATGTGGGATAGCGTGCCGGTGCACTGCATATCCCCGTTTGCACAGCAGTGCCTGCGAAGGGAGGGCTCCCAATCTGCAGCTGTTAGTGGATACTTAGGATCAGTACTCTTCAACAGCGGTAACCCCTGTATATTGCTAACATTCCATATCATCATTCAAGCTTAAATCTCAACCTCATCTCCGCCGCCATGCTCAGCACGCTGGTGACGAGGTTCCAGGTTTCGCCTGTCAACAACAACAACAACTCCCGGAACATATTGTGGGACATTGGATGCCAATGTTGAGGCTCCTGAGGCTCAGACTTGGCTTCGCAATTGGATTCCTATCATTCAGCACACGTGCAATCTCCACATTACCAGCCAGCCCCATGGACTTCCCTTGGGCTGTTCTCTCATGTGATATGGGCAAATATTGATGAAGAAGACCACAAAGCCACTCCCTCTCAGTCCATCAAAGCCTGTAAAAACCCCATAGTCTATATCCCAGCCCAATAACTGAACCCACCGCTATAATTGCCCCCCCGAAAGACCCCCCTATTTTCTCGAATTTTTTTACTCAGCCTTCACTGTTGGGCGTAGTCAGAGGGCTCTGCTCTGGGGCTAGACAATTCCAACGACTACAACCCAGAACCCAACTAAGACAAGACATCCCGGTTGCCATATGATGATATTCCAAGACACAAAGTGTAGTCATTTGGACAACGCCAACAGAAACAGGTTAGTGCCTATAATGTAATGTACCTAGATTTCTCTTTCTTCCGATCGATGAGGATCCGATTTCTCCAGCCAGACACTACGGGTACCTCAAAGTTGGGACGGACAGTTAACTAAAGTGAACTGAAAAGAAAACTACTCCGCTCTCTTTTGCACAGCCCCCTTTTCCCCCTCTTCTTCTTCTTCTTCTTCCAACAACCTTGAACAGCTACAATAGTGTAGGTACCTCCCTAGACCTGGTAGCACTTAATAACATTCCCAATGACTTTCATACTCTCTCTCTCTCTCTCTCTTTTACAACTCCATTCGATTCGATTGGAGTCCTCAAACCTGAGCCCTGTCTGTACCTGTACCTTTATGGCGAAAAAAGCAAGGCAATTAACGAACTTATACCAGGGCATAACATCAGGTGGCGCCACACAAAACGTATCATATGTAATTCGCCTTCATATGAGGCTTGACGGCACCTCGGGAGATTGGATACAGCAAGGCGCAGCAGCAAAAAAAACCTAACCAGCTGAGGTTTCCAGGAAGATGAGATCAAATTGTTGAATGTCCAGCATCTCAACATAACACACACCTTAACACTACCTTATCCTACCTAGACGTACTTACGTACCAAGTAGGTAGGCAGGCAGTTGGTATGTACATTAACATAGTTAAGGTAGCACGTACATATTGTACTTGCATGTATGTAATCCGGGGGTGGTGGTGTCGAGGTACAGTAGTATGTGGTGTAGTATCCATCCCACTGGTACCTACCTACCTAGGTACATATCTTGGTACCTTGCCGTTGGGACTTCGTTGCTCTTTACGACAATTCCCCTCAGCCTCCTTCCCTTTTCGTCGTCAGCTACCTAGTTACCTACCTAGCTAATCATTGAAAATTATCTCTATCACTGCACTACGTAGTGTACAGTGCATGCACCAACCCTTTCGGCCTTGTCCTACTATCTATTAGGCCGAAGACACATCGAGAAGACCAACATACGTATCGGGGCCGTTTGTGGATTAGTCTACTCTTTTCCTCTTTTTTTTCTTTTTTTCTTTTCAGTCTGTGGGGGGTTTTGCCAACGTTATCTCCAATGACAGATAGATCGAGTAGTAGGTATGTGATATGCTGTGACCGTATCGTGGCTGAGCGGGAGGGGGGAAGTGAGGAGGAAATGGGCTTGGGTCACGGCGGTTTGGGATGGATATCGAGTACTCGGACAAAAGGTGGACATCATTGTTACTTACTACTATCTCGCCTGTGTAGTGTAGTGATATCAAGTGAACACGGTGTTCTTGCCCCAGGTTCATCTTTGGGGTTTTATCTTGATGACTAACATGAGATAGAGAACATGGGAGAGGAAAGGATTTGATATATGACAGACGACATGCGGTTCAATGATCTCAAACCTATGTGTAGACTAGGTTGTCACAAGACTTATAACCCAACTGAAGCAACATGTCGACGGGCATATACACACAATCAACGTACAGTTAACTTATCCAACAAGGCGTGAGAAAAGAATGAATGCATTTCCCTAAATAATATATATGACCCGACCAAAGTTAAACCAACGCAAGATATCACTCATCTTTTTGTTCCCATCAAACGCCGTTCATTAAGCCCTGTTCTTAACCCTTGACACGCACGTCTAGTCTATTAGCCAAACAGACATGAAATTCTTCCTCTATTCCGCATCCATAGCGTCCTCATCAACCTCCTGCTGGAGCGCCGCGGCATCCAGCAGAGGCGCATCCAGCTGCTTGGCACTCCGGGGCCACACCCTCTTGTACAAGCTGACGCCCACAGAGTCCTGAGGGTTGATGCGCCCGTCAAAGGTAGCCTTGAAGTAACCGTGGGTACCCAGCGCCTCCTTGATGAAACCGCTCCTGCCACGCCTGGTCCACAGAGGCAGAGCCTTGAACCACTCAACGTCCTCCCTGTTGAAGAACATGTAGCGGATGGTGACAATCTTCTTGTGGATGTGGTACGGGTGACCGGTCAGGATGGCGCGCTTGGCGACGACGCGCGATGTCGAGGGAGGCAGGGCAGTGCCGGTGGCGACGAGGCTGAGCGGCAGGTTGGAGACGGGCTCGCCATCTTCGTTAAGCACGGAGCCCGGCACTTGCCTCTTGAAGAAGAGGGTGGGTACAGCACCCCATGTGACAGGACCCGTAAAAGTAGCGACAGCCGACTGGCCGGGGTGCAGGTACCGGCAGTACTTGTGGACGTCGTTGGGAGTGTTGCCGCCCTGGGAGAAGAGCGGGTTGATGACGAAGCGGCGGGGACCGCACTGTATGATCAACTCCTCCTTGGCTTTGATGGGTGCGGCAGCGTCCGCGCTCAGGTTGATGAGGAAGTTGACAGCAGTCTTCTTGTACTCGTGCCTGAGCAGGGAGAACAGAGTGACGGGCTGGCTGGGGTTGTAGGATTGCTGGATGGTCGCGGGCACGTCCTTGAGGTAAACGTGGACGCGGGTACCAGGAGCAACACCTCCGACAAGGGCTTCCCTAGACGCCCTGATCTTAGAGGCCTGGTAGTCTTGGATCTTCAACAAGCGCTCCCAATCCTCTGGCTGGTATGCGCGGTCCTCATCCTCCTGCCAAGGGCTTGACCTCAAGCTCTTGAGACCTCTGTACTTGGCTAGACGTTCACGAGCAAGAACGTGGGGGTGGAGCTCGATCTCATCAGGGAACTCGAGATCATCCTGAGCCTCATCCCGCTTTTGCTTGCGGAAAGCCTCCAGTTGCTTGGCATCCTCATCAGCATCAGGTTGGATGAAGCCGCCCTCGGTTTGTGGGTACTCGGTTTGTCCGGCTTCTGTTGGCGCGTAACCAGCAAGACCCTCCTCGCCATCCTCTGGCCTGGCGGCCTCCTCCTCGTCGTCGTCCTCCATCTCGTCGTCCTCTTCCATGTCTGAGCCGGAATCAGACACATCGTCGTCCAGGTACCACGCAGCCTGGTACTTTGATGTACCCTTGGGAAGCTTCTTTGGCGCAGTATAAGCCTCAGGCTCCTCCTCTGAGAAGTAGTGGTGGTCGTCCAACAAAACACCCTTCTTTGAAGTCGTCATTGTGGTCATTCCGTCGTTCATTTCGTCATCGTCGTCGTCCTCCATGCGAACCTCCTCGGGCGCAAGGTCGACAAGATCATCGCGGTCGTCGGTAGGCTGGTCGAGAATCTCCTCAGTGCCCTCCTCCACGTTCATGCCCTCCTCTCCACGTTTCCTCCTGGCCAAGGGAGCTGCTGTGATCTTCTCAACCTGGAAGGTGCCCCAATCGCCAACCTGCACCAGGCGGTCGGCCTTCAAGCCCTTGCCCCTGACAACACCGGTAAGCACGGTAGACTCGCCAAACTTGACCTCCTCCACAAGCATCCAACTCCTCTCGTCTCTCCAGCGAATGCCCTTGGGTGTAGTGCTGCATAGCGAGCGCATGAGGTTGGAGCATTCCTGTCTGTTGTCGAGGCTGAAGACCTTATCCTGCTCGGGGTGGAAGTGGGTGATGTAGGACTTGAGAGACGCAAGAACGGAGAGTCTCTGCTTTTGAGGCTCGATCTTGTTGAGGCCCTGGACGACGGTGAAGAGAGTAGAGAGACCCTGGCTTTCAACGCTGCGCAGGATCAGCTCGCCAAGTTCATCAACCTCTTCCTGGGCGGACAAAACGAGAACGACATAGTCGGCGACTCTGGCGGCGTCCAGGCAGGCGGTAAGGTCGCGCTTGAGGGGAAAGTACTGGAGCTTCTGCTTGAATCTGTCGACGGGAACGCGGAATGCGCCCTCGGGCACCTCGGTCTCGATATCGATGCTGGAGTTCAGGCTCTTGATGGCTTCGGTGGCGTCACCGTCGCTGCACAGGGGGATAACGGCCACATTTCTGGGGGCGCCATCCTTGCCGGCGAAGATGGAAGTCTCCTGGAGATGTTCCTTGTGTTTTTGCAGCTGAAGCTGCTTGTTGCGGTTGCGACGGTCGAACTTGGACATGACTTGTTGGTGGGGGGTCTTGCGCACACCTCTCTCCTCGGCTACCTTGCCTGTAGAACGTTCAAAGTAGTGTTAGCGCTGTGTAGATGTTGTTGATCTCTTTATGTCTGCTCGGGCTCGATGCGCCAAAGTTGGGTGAAGTAGAGTATAGTTCAAGGCAATAACCTCGGCATGAGGCACGGTCTGATATGCAATCCGTACCTTTGGCAGCATTCCGGAGGGCACCCTTGGTAGAATGGCGTGACTTGAAGGGCTTGTTCGACGCCTTGGTCGTCGGCCGATGCGAGTGGCCGCTCACGGCGCCGGGCATTTTGCTGGAATCGCCGCCTGCTTTGAACCGAAAGGGGAGCGAGTTTGACGCCAGGATGGTTGACCTGAGGAGGCGCTAAAGAGAAGAGGCTGGGGGTTGAGACTGAAGAGAGATTTCGAGAACCTCTCTGGTCACAATCCGTCTATCGAGTATCGAATAAAGTGATGGGACAATGTCAATGGCGGGGCACTCGTTGCATTTTTTTGAGTTGTGCGAACATGGGCGGCCGTCTCGCTGCTTATCTTATCGGAATCTTGTACTCAGTGGAGCCAATGATCGCTGCGGAACAGCTGCCCCATCCAACTTTTTAGTGGGTCCGGTCCCAAAAAAGTTGTCGAGGAAACGGAGGAAACATTCAAAGTGCCAAAGCGAGGGACAGACACGGGCAAACCGAGAAACCGCCAGACCAATCCATATCCAGTCCCCATCAATATCCCGTCGCCGATCCAATTGTCCTTGCCCACCACACATATTACCCATCCCCATTGAGTCGCGTCGACCCATTGGCACCATGGAGACCACAGACAGGGCCGAAGTCTCCCTCTCGAGGGCAGAGCAGCCCAGCGGCGCCGTCGCCATCAACAACGTCCGGAGCGAGTTCCGATCAAAGGCCGAGGCCAACAAGATCCGCAAAGTCAAGGCAGCAGAGAAGTCGTACGGCCGTGGTCGCAAGATCGACGTCAAGAACGTCAAGGACAAAAAGCTCAAGCGCAACCTTACCAACCTCGAAGAAAAGTACCAGACGGCCACGCTAAAGGCCAAGGAGGCTGAGATCCTTCTCGAGAATGCCGGTGGTTTCCTCGAGGCTGAACATGAGCTTGTGAGTAGCTATGGATTGGAAGTCTATAGCCTCTTGCGCGATACTAACTGCGCTGGTCACGATAGGAACGCACATACAAGGTTCGCCAGGAAGACATCGTAAGCGAAGTCAACATCGAGGTCGCCCAGAAAAAGTTCGACCTGAAGCTCGACCAACTAGGACCCTACATTTGCGATTTCTCGAGGAACGGCCGGGATCTTATCCTGGCAGGACGAAAGGGTCATGTCGCTACCATGGATTGGAGAGACGGCAAGCTGGGCTGCGAATTGCAGCTGGGAGAGACCATCAGGGACGTCAAGTGGCTACACAACAATCAATACTTTGCCGTCGCTCAGAAGAAGTATACCTACATCTACGACTCGCAGGGTGTCGAGCTCCACTGCCTAAGGAAACACGTCGAAGTCTCCCACCTCGAATTCCTCCCCTACCACTTCCTGCTGGCCACCCTGGGCACAAACGGCCAGCTCAAGTACCAGGACACATCGACCGGTCAGATCGTCACCGAAATCGCAACGAAGCTGGGCACACCCGTTTCCATGACACAAAACCCCTGGAACGCTATTCTCCATGTTGGTCACCAGAACGGCACAGTAACGCTATGGTCGCCCAACTCGTCAGAACCTCTGGTCAAGCTCCTTGCCCACCGTGGTCCCGTACGATCCATGGCTGTCGACCGCGAAGGCCGCTACATGGTGACAACAGGACAGGACTGCAAGATGGCCGTTTGGGATATCCGCATGTTCAAGGAGGTCAACAACTACTTTACCCGGGCGCCTGCTTCGTCCGTCGCCATCTCAGATACCGGCCTTACCGCTGTTGGCTGGGGCACCAGGACAACGGTCTGGAAGGGTCTCTTCTCCAAGGAGAAGCCTGTACAAGAAAAGGTTCAGTCTCCCTACATGACGTGGGGCGGCGAGGGCAAGCGCGTCGAGCGGGTGCGGTGGTGCCCCTTTGACGATGTTCTCGGTGTCGGCCACAGCGAAGGGTTCTCGTCCCTCATCATTCCCGGCGCCGGCGAGGCCAACTTCGATGCCCTGGAAGTCAACCCGTACGAGACCAAGAAGCAGAGACAGGAGGGCGAGGTCAAGCAGCTGCTCAACAAGCTCGCGCCCGAGATGATTGCGCTCGACCCCAACTTTATCGGCAACCTCGATTTGCGGTCGGCGAAGCAGCGGGAGGCGGACAAGGATCTGGATGCCGGGCCGCCGGATCTGGAGGAGGAGATGCGCAACCGGGCCAGAGGCAAGAACAGCGCGCTCAAGAAGTACCTGCGGAAGCAGAAGAAGAAGAACATTATCGACGGGAAGAGGCTCAAGGCCGAGGAGATGTACAAGCAGATGCAGGAGAAGAACGGGGAGAGGCACAAGGAGAAGGTGGCCGAGCTGGGGCCTACGCTGGCCAGGTTTGCGAGGAAAGAGTAAAAAATGAAAATCGGTGGGAGTGGGGGAAGAACATACATGATGATACCCAGAATCAGCCACTTAATGAAACTAGAGACGGTCAGTCGACCGGATGCTGTGCTGATGATATATTTGTTCACTTCAAGTGCGTACGTGTATATGGATATTCATCTTTTCTTTTGGTAATATATTCAGGAGTAAAGATCAAAACCTGCGCCATGCATGCATCGAAGTCTTTACCTGACCGTATCGCTCTCTAAGCCCAATGATGCTTTTATACCGTCCCCCTTACGCCATTTTTCGTGCTTCTCGTCCTTCTCTTTTTATCTAAGTTCATGCTACCGTCAACATTGCACACTTTCTCCATCCTCTCCCCGCTACAATCTCTTCCCCCTTTACAGCAACTTCAAGTGACCAGTGATCTCATCAACCAAGCTCTTAGGCGCCGGACCAACGCCCAGCACAGTCCTGGACCCAGAGGCAATCTGCGTACGGCCAGCATCCTGAATCACCTCAGCAGTGACGCCCAAGCTGCGCGCCTTGGCCATCAGCTCCAGCATCTCATCCTCGGTCTTGGTCTGCACGGCGATCTTGGCCTGGCCGTTGCGCTCCCACTGACGGAGCAGGCGGGCCGACAGCGACAGGGGCTCGAGCTGGGCGGCAGAGAAAAGGCGCTTGTAGCAGGCGAGGGTGGCGTGGGAGCATTGGGCTGCGATTTTGCCTGTTTTTTTTTTTTCCACCACAGCAACACGTCAATAAACCGAAGGTAAGGGGCAAATTTGTGAGAAGGTGATATAAGATAAAAAAAAAAAAAAAACATACCCTTGGTCATGCCCAAATCCGTCCTCACAACCAACACCAACTTGCACTCCTCAGTCGGATCCAGTCCCAACTTGGGCGCCGCCTTCTCCTGCTTCTTCTTCTTTTTCTTCTCCTCAGCGGCAGCAGCACCGCGCGCGCGCAAGCCCTGGCGCTGATCGGCCTCGAGCCCGTTGGCCCAGTTGGGCGCGTGGTCTAGTATGTAATCGTCCTCGTCCACCTCGGACTCCTCGCTCTCGACGGGGTCCTGAAAGTTGCGGCGCCGCTCCTCCTTCAGCTCGGGCGGGATCAGGTAGCCGCGGATGGCGTAGACGCCGAGCACAAAGCCGGTGATGAGCGAGATCATGGAGGTCGAGAGGATGACCATGGAGGGCATGGCGTTTGGAATGTCGGACATTGTGGCGGTTGTGAGGGCGGTGGTGATTTCTGTTTTGGTGGTGAAGGGTCGGCGGTGATGTTGATACGGCGGTGCTTGATGAAGAACTACTACTCGCGGTCTGGAGTCTGTGATGGTGGTAGTTGTTGTTGTGGCGGTCGAGAAAGCGAATCGATACTTCTTTGTGACACTGACGGAAGCTCGTTGTCGTGGAAAATCTAGACGGACTCGGAGTGCTGCTCCTGCTGTTCGAGTTGGAAGAAGGGGGATGACGTGCATGGGTTGTTGACAGCCAGGGCAGCAGGAAGAAGCCAGCGGAATGGAAAATCCCACAGGGGGGGTCAATGTGCTAGAAGGCGCCTAGAACGATATGGAGGAGTGGAAGGCAGTGTCAACAAGCCTTATCGCTTTGGTTGGTTCCGGCAGGCAGGCGATCCCCTAACAACCCTTGGCTTATACGCGGGGAGGTACGTACCGTTTTGGTTCCTTTCAAGGAAACCACCAATAGCAACAACCCAACGCTGGTTCAGTTGTGAGCACCTCGCCCAAGGATTCTGAACTGAACCACTTCTTTGACTCTTACACTTTAGATAACACTCCCACGTAGTCTTCTTCTTATTTCTTTTTTTCCTTTTTTTTTTTCGATACTTGAATAGACTCCCTCTCCATGACATAACATCGCGGGGTCGAACTGGAGCTCAACTACACCTCAACACCTCCACACTCTTTCACGATGTTGGACCCAAATCAGAAAGCCGTCGTCATCGGAATCAGCGGATGTTCCTCGAGCGGCAAGACGACATTGGCTCGACTTCTCCGCGATATCTTTCCCAATACCTTTATCCTACACGAAGATGATTTCTACAAGCCCGAGTCCGAGTAAGCTCCCTCTCCTCCTAATTTCATATCACTCTAGAAGTAGTCTCTAACCACCGTTATGTGTGTCTCAAATGAAAAGAATTCCTATGAAAGATGGCCTCACAAACTGGGACTGTCCCGAAGCCCTCTCGATCCCCGACATGACGGCGGCCCTCGAGCACATCCGCGCCACGGGCGAGTTACCAGTTAGTACCATGAATCTTACCAGACCCTTTCTTTCCCGGAGACACACCCACGGTAGTAGTACTACTAGTAGTAGTTATTACCCTCCATCGTCGTCATCAGCAGCCAACAAAGCGCCGCCCAAACAAAAAACGGGGCCTGGTAAGACCATCACCACTGCCAAGTCAAAGTCGCTAAGCAACAGTCCGAAACAGCCCACCCTCGACTCCAAAGAAGACCTCAACTCGGTCGGCCCTTGTCCCATCACCACGGACTTTATCAACAAAATCAAAGCCCGCGTGGCCGACTGGCTGCAACCTTCTTCCCCCGGCCATCGTGTCCTCCACTTATCCTCTCAACAACAACAACAACCCCTCAAAATCTGCATCATAGACGGTTTCCTCCTCTACTCCCCGCCTCCCCTCCTCCCTGCCACTTTGCTCTCCCAAATGGACATCAAGCTCTTTTTGTTGGTGTCCAAAGCCAAAGCCCTACAGCGCCGCGAAGCAAGAGATGGGTACGTAACCCTCGAAGGATTCTGGAAAGACCCGCCGGGCTACGTGGAGAAGATTGTTTGGCCTGAGTACGTGCGGGCGCATGAGTGGATGTTTGAGGGAGGGGATGTGGAGGGGGGCAAGGTGAAGGCGGAGGAGGTGAGCAAGAGGTTGGGAGTTTTGGTTAACCAGAAGGAAGGTGAAACCAAAATGGACAGGGACTTTGGGGAGACGTTGGAGTGGGCGGTGGAGAGTATCATGAGGGAGTTGGAGAGGTTGGTTTTGGGGCACGAGGATAAAAAGGAGGAAGGGCAGAAGGATGGGGAGAAGGAAAAGGATGAAGAGGCGATTGCGCTGAATAGTTTTGCGATGAAGAAGAAGTGGGCGGCGGCGCAGAGGGAGAGGAATGCGCGGGAGTTGCTGATTAAGGAGGCGCAGGAACAGCAACAGCAGCAAAAGGAATAATTAGAGAATAAGTATTGGCAATGCACTTAAGTTATCGTTGGGATGAATGCTGTTGATGGGGACCTTCTACAAAGGCAGTCACTTTCTCATCCATCAAACATTGATGCCAGTATGTACCATTTGCACATATGTGTTATCCATGAAATGTCCCCTGGCAGGACCAGCATGACCCAAGTTCTTCTCCTCCGCAAACACCCCCTTTCCCTGACCTCCTTTCTTTCCAACCATAGAGCGACGGGCCAACCAACCATCCATCCAACCGCCATAGCAGCCACCCTAACAGTCACTTCCATCCCACCTAGTAAAACTCGGCATCAACCCGTCCATACCTAACCCCATCAACCTTGAGCTCAAACCCCAAGCCCGCACTATCGACAATCATCTCGAGCGTAAAGTCGAGGTTATCAAACTCCACCCCTTTTGTCGTCGTCAGTCTAGTAAACAGGCTCCTCGGTACAGCAGACAAGTCCGTCGTCAGCGTGCACACCTTGATCAGGTCGCGCGTGTACGACTTGGGCGGCTCGTCTGCCTCGCAAGCGATTAGGTCGTCCGTCACCACGAGCGACTGGCCGGGCCGGAAGTTGCGCGTGTAGTGGAAAGCTATGGGATTTTGGGGGGATATAGTTTCGCCCTGAATTTTGGTTTGTTATGGTCAGTACTCGTTGGGGAAAAAGAAAAAAAAATGACGCCTTGGTTTGGGTTGGGGGGGGGAAGGAAGGGGAGGGAGGGGAGGGAGACAAAAACACACCTTGGCAATATGCCACTGCATCCGATCACTAACCATCCATCTCTCCCACAACGGACTCCAATACCGCTCCGTAACGCTGTGTTTCTCTTCATCATACACCGTCGCGTACGACGTCCCGTAGTGCATCCGCGCCTTGCGCGAGATGACCATGTTACCCTCTAGCCCGCGCAGGACCGCGCCGCGCACCACGGCCGTCCATGCGTACACAGGCTGCATCACCTCGATCGAGTTACTCCCCAAAGCCGCGGCCAACGTGCTTTGCTGTGTGGGTGTTGGGGTGTAGGGCGGAGGGGCCGCCGTGCTGGTAAAGTGCTTCTTGAGCGTGCGGTAGAGGTAGTCGCTCTGGCCGAAGCCGCCAACCAGGATGATACCCGAGACGGTCTGGCCCTTGGCGCGCAGGTTGTCGACTTGCCCCTGGACGAGGTCGCAGACCTCCTTGACGACGGGGTCGAAGATGTCTTTGACTTGAGCCGCGGTCATCATCAGGAAACCACAGTCGAGACCGATTTCTTCGTCATCGGGGAGACCGGGGAATCTGTGGGTCAGTCTTGTCAACATCGGACTTCTCACTCGAGGGCGGACTCTGTCGGGGAAACTTACGGGACGTTGATCTCCTGATGCTCATCTTCGTTAAAGTTGCGCTTTACGAACTCCTCGAAGTACTTGAGCGCCATCTGCCACGACTTGCCCTTCTTGGTCTTCACCTCCTCAAACCGACTAGCCCCCAACCGGTTCTTGACGTGCTCCTCAAACCTGTAGTTGAGGAAAGCACTTCCGCAAAGCCCACCTGTGCCGACAGCAGACTCCTCGACTCTGATCGGCCCTAGTGAAACGATCTTGTATGCAATTAAACTGGATGAAGTCTGGTCAGTACACCACTTCTGCAACCCAATTTCAACAAGCTCAAGAGGAGTAAACCCACTCGACAGTACCACCACCGCCATCACAAACAATAAAGTTGTCTCCAATCTTCAGATGATTAGGCTGTATAGCTTTCAAAGTATACACTGCCGCCGCCTCCGGCTCACTAATCATCTGAATCTGCGACTGAGCGCCCATCCCGGCCCTCTCCGCCGCTTGGAGGGTCGCGTTCTTGGCCGCATCCGACCACACAGCCGGGCACGTTAGAACAAAGTCGACCTTTGTCGACGCCATGAACGACTCGCCATACCGCCGCGTTAGCGTGTCCATGGTGTGTTTGTAGATCTGCGTGAGGTAGTCGCTCACGGCGTCAATCACCGTCTTCCTGTTGTTCTTGAGCTGCGTAGCCGTCTCCTTGGGGTTCACGTAGAAGGGCAGCTTCTGGGACCGGTCGAGGAAGAGCTTGACGCAGCGTATCCGCGACTCTTCCGGTCGGAACTGGAAGCCCCATTTCACGGTTGGCGCGGTGCCTGGCGGCGCATTGGGCGGGACGGCCGCATAGGAAAGCTCGGTAGGGACCTTATCGGACGTGATGCCGTTCCCGCCCGGCCAGGTCTTGATAATCTCTACATCATCTGGCGTTCCTGTGTATACGGCGGCAACACTAATGGACTATGTGTTAGTTTGGTTTGGTTTTGGTCTCTTGGACCTTAAGCAAAGAGAGAAAGTGGGACGCAAGCAACGAAAGCTATATCCCTGGTCAACATTTTGTTGGGACCGCCCCCAAGTCACACAGATGTTGCTGCGTAACGGTTTCTGCAGCTGCCCGTTGGCAAAGTCCGGTTAAGCGATGAGTATAAGAGAAGAAAAAAAAACAATGGACGTACCCAGAGAAAGTAGTGCCAAAGTCAACGCCAACAATCAGCCGATCACTGATGGGAGCCAACTCCTTTGTCCGCTGCCTCACCGGGCCATTGATAGCCTCGGTTGAAGCCGGGGGGCTATAGCTGTTTGTAAAGTAATTCCTACTATCTCTGTTTCTCTGACTTGTTGGAGAGGTTGGCGGGAGTATGGGCAGATTAAAGCTCATGGTGACGACGTTCTGCCTCTACCCCTATCCCTAACTCTCAGCGTAAAGTTCGTATTATATGATCGTACTTTGTTCTACTCGTTTGCTTTTGGTGTGCGACGTTGGGTCCTGAACCTCCGCTATCAACTTGCAAAGTGCAAACCCACACAGCCTTCAGACAGAGAGACTCTGAGCCAGTCCGAGCAAAGGAGAAGGAGAATCTGCCCACTCGTACCAAGAAGCGTGGGGGCTATGTTGACGGCTTGTTGGAACTCGATTCGCAAGCGCAAAAGAACCCCGGACGTAAGTCTCTCCGCACACAACTCTCCAACGGTCCAACTCCAACAAAGAAAGGAAGGGCGTAGTATAGGTACGGTATGGTGATACAAAATGCAACGGTGACAGCCGCTCGACTTTCGAAGCGCAAACCCGGAGAGAGGGAAGATCCAACTAACCCAGCTGAGTGGAACGGGAAAGATAGGTAAGAAGATAATGATCGCCCGAATCACCGAGATTTGAGCAAAAGGAACAAAAGTCAGAGATGATGATGGAAGGAAGGGAACAAGGGCGCAGCAACAGCCCTAAACTCAAAATCCCACAATTGAGTTCCAGTTCCCTGAATGTTTCCACACCTTCGCCTCGCACCACTGCTGCAAGGTTCTCGAGGCACTGCTCTGTTAGCCCGCAGCCGAACCAACTGAAATAGGGCCGTGACGGGGATGCTTGGCGGGGCGGGCTGAGCCTCTTTTCACAGGGCGGAAGCCAACGGGGGATGCTTTTCGAGAAGACTCTTGAGAGGAGTGGTCCCCGAATTCGAGAACGTGATTGATTTGCTTCCCGCACTTTTTCTTTCCGCGCGCGCGCTCCAATGACGTGGAGTCTCTCTTCCTCCCTTGCTTCTTCTTCTTCTTCTTCTTCTTCACCGTTGCCGTTGCCGTCAAACTGTCAGGACCCCGTCCGAAGCAGGGAGATCTGTTGAGCCACGCAGCGGGATGACGTACGGTACAGCGCTTTTCCTCTTCAATTGAACAATACCGTCCAGTCGTCGATCAGAACTGCTGTGTTGCAGTGCCCAAAGACATGGACGTGGGGTCAAGAATGTCGAATGATGATGGGAGCCTATGTTTTGTGTGGTTGCGATGTCGACAAACTTCCTTGGCTCGTAAAAGCTGCTGCCTGCCTAGATATTCTTGGTGTCACCCAAGAATGGCCCAGTCCTGTACCTAGGTAGGCGGTTGCGTGGTGAAATCAGCCAGATCGATGTATGATGTGTCTGGCTGCTGATGAATGGCTTCAATCTGTGGCCGCAATGTATCATGCAAGGCGTGGTGGTCTGCTGAGTGCTGACAATGGCTTGACAGTGGATGTGAGGCCCCGTAAGACCGTTCGGCGACATGGGCGGTAGGGCGGGACGGGAGATGCAGCCTCACAGTGGGGGATGACAGGGGTCACATTTGGAATCAAATCCTCCTCCTCACCTTGCTTCACCTGGGCTTGGCCGCTTGGCTATGCTAGCAAACATAACCAACAGCAACAAGACATGGCTTCAAATTTGAGTAACCGCGGCGAAATGCCACGATACTGCGAAGGAATAGTGAGCTGGGCCTGATTACGACGTTGCCGAGAGCAGGACTGCGTCAGCTGTGTGCGCGTCCATCTCGTAGACTGGATGCATTAACCAGCAGATGATTTGGGATTCAACACGGTATCTTTCGTGGTCGCACTCGGGAGAAAGAACGGAGCACATACATACCTCTATAGGTACCTACCTCAACGGGCACGTCGTCTTCACACTTACTCTCGACGTCTTCAATTCAACGCCTCGGCAGCTCAGCTTGACAGATGACCGTAAGACAAAGACATGGTCTCACCTCCTTTTTCCATCAAATCCACATCCGGCAGCAGAACCCATGAATCGCCAAATGTTCATCAACCAAGCAAGCAAGTTGTGGTGGATAGGTAGGTAGATAGGTAGGTAGTCTCTCCATTCAACATCAGATTGCCTGCATCGATGTCTCGGAACTCCCGAGGAGTCTCAGTTCAGATAGACATCCATCTGTAAGTTGAGTTGCAGGCTGTCTCTGATCTGTCTCATCCCCTTCTTCATGGTAAACAAAGGCCACGCACTCCCCCCCATCTCGGTTATCGGCAAGCAGACCAACAGCACGGTACAGAAAGGGGTAAGGGAGCAGTTTACGGGGAGCGGCACGGAGCAAGCGCGGGGATAAGAAAAAAGAAAAACAAGTACAGCACGGTGAAAGCATGGTGAAAGGATGCGGGCGCATTATGCATACTGTACAGACATGTGGACGTTATGCGGATGCGGATACATGTCGGTGTGAGTTATCCGTCCCAGTGGAAAGATATTTCAGAGAAGGGGACGAGAAAAAAAGAAAGAAAAGCCTAGGAAAAACATTTGAGAATAGAAGGATATAGAAACCACCAAAAAGAAAGTGCAAAAAACAAGTTTAAATGGTCATCGTGCGACGTGGGCCTGATTCGAACAGACGCTCCCGAAGGAACAAGATTTCTAGTCTTGCGCATTAGACCACTCTGCCACCACGCCGAATGGTTGTTATTGGATGAAGCAACAGAGCAGAACTAGAGGTTATATAGGCACGTGCGTGCATAAGTGTCCACTTCGAACGAACAATGTCACACGGAACGGAAGGACAACATGTTGACGGAAGTTGTGAAAACGAGTAAAAGTTAAGGGCCTGGGCGCATATTTATATAGACAAGATAACCAATAGTTTAAAAATAAGACTGACATAGGAAACATCTTTCTTCTCCTCTCCTTCTTCCTATCTTCCCAATGACTAGAAACCCAAACAACGCGCACTACATCAACCAAAGCCCTCCTGTGCATCATGCTCTCCAGCCCCGTCATCATCCTCCTCTTCCTCCTCCCATCAGCGCTCTGATCGTTCCTCACGAATCCCATTCTCTTCTGGCAGATGTGTTGACTTAGAGGGACCACCTGCCATGAAAATGTCTTACTTTGTCTTCCATCGCGCAAACGACCGATTATTTGTCCGACCAGAAACGCGCTCCACAGCTCCGCCTGTAGTCCCAAACGCATATATAACTCAAGACAGCTCCAAATATCTATAAACGGTTGTTAGGAGGGGGTATTTCCAATGACAAAGACAAGGAAGACAGAAATCGATGTGGGCACACAAAATAGAACCATAGTGATATATGCGCAGAAAGGTGGTATTAAAAGGCCCAATATAGGTTTTGAGATTTGTAAGGCCGACGACACACACACGCCAGACTTTTTTCTTCCTCCAGGAGGGGTATTCGACACAAAGATTAGAAACAGATAGATGTCCATTCAACAACCACCACATAGTTTTTGTTGTGTAGAAAGAACCAGCTTCTGCTACAAGATCCCCATATATGTGTGCATGTGCGTGCGAGAGATATGTAAGATGCATGCAGAAGCAGCGAAAGATGAAAAAATAAACGTGGGGGGGTATGAAGATGAAAAATGAAACAAGAAAAAGAGGAGCAAAAAGTGAGACCAGCAACTGCAATCTCAAAGCAGTAGCCCGTCTCCTCCTGAGGGGGAACATAGGGAAGACCCAAAACAAAGCCCAGATACCGATAAGAACATGGTAATGATGCCATGCCGAAAGAACACCCAGAACACCATTCCACGTAAACACCACCCAAAAAGGAAACCCACTCATTTTCTTTTCCCAAGATCCGCAAAAAACTGCCCGCGCCCACCGTCAATACAAAATACGTCGAAAGAAGGAACTGTATCTAGCTAGATACGGCTCCCTGCCGCCCAGATACTGGCTGATGCCGACGCTGCCCAGTCACCCTCATCATTGTAGGGAGGCGTGGGCCACTTGTATTCTGACGACCTTTTCTTTGGTTCCAGGGATTGGGGAGTCAGAGCTTCTTTCCCGTGATCAGCAAAGAAGATGTTTTGGCCGCTGGCTGACGGTGATGGGGTTGGGTAAGGGTTCATGAGCCCTAGATTACTGGCCGATTGTCTGAGATGTTTTGTATCCTTCTCGAGACGCTTGATAGCCTTCCGGGTTGATGTGAGGGCCTCGTCAAGTAGTTCGTCCTCTTCATCGGGGGCATCATATTGATTTACACCCTGAGCAGCTTGTTGCCTCCGCGTCCTGCTTGAAACTGGCCCGGATCCCCGAGCACCCATCAACGGGTTATCTACCGACCTTGGTGTATGATGCGGCAGCGAATGGTGTCTCTTGAGTGTACTGTGTTGGGGCGCTCGGTGCGCTGGTGGCATCGGCGGAACTTCGGCAACGGGTTGGGGATCTCTCAGCGTCTTTTCGAGAGATTCGAGCGTATCTTTGGGGACGGGGGCCGGTGGCGGGCTGTCGATGACCATGGAAGATCTGTTACTTCCCCAAGGTCCACAGCCTACGCCGTGAGGTTGGGTTTCGACGTCGTCATAAGCGGGAGACATTGGTGTCTGGTGCCTTCCGGAGAACCTTCTCGCTCGCTTCCTGAGGTGCGAAAAGAAGCTCTCCTTCGTCCCGCTCGTGGGCGAGGCAAGACCAGTTTGTCCATTTAGCGCTCGTTCGGCCTGCTGGCGATGGATCTCGGCATAGTGATTTGTGGCAGATGCGACGGATAGCTGACGGCCAATCTTCTTCGTGGCCTTGTTTTCGTCGGCGGCACTCCTTTGCGTTCCATTTACGTAAGCATCGTTGTATGAAGGTGTTCTGCTGCTTGCCTGTGCGGTCACTGCGTCAGACAAGGGTGTGATTGGGCGGATGGTGGGAAGAATCGGCATGGGAGCGGCATTCGATGGACCGTTATTCCACGTTGTCCTCTTGCTAACAGCTGGCCTGGGCTTCGGGGAGGGAACTTCCGGTGCAACCTGCACGGGTGATGGACGGGGAGCAATGTTCACCTTTGCATTTTCTTGCGTCGTCGACACAGTAGCGACCTCGGTGCTGCTCTCGGAACGACCGATCAGGGATTTCCTGAACCACGATGGTTTCGAAGACGTGGGCGTGGACGTGGCCGAGTCCTTTCCGCGGCTGATATCCGATTGTTTGCGGCCGAGGATCCGGGAAGCGGAGGACTTGGGCCTCAAGGGGTCAACGGCGTCGGTGAAGTAGTCGTGGGCGAGGGCCTGGGTCGACGTCGGTCGGTTCTTGGGGTCCCACATTAAGCACCACGTCACAAAGTGGGCGAGCGAAGCCGGCCACTGGGGGGTTTGGAGGATGGTGTCCATGGAATGCGGCGCCATCTTGGGGAACGAAAAACCTAGCTTCCCAGCAAGCCGGGTACCTTCTCTCCATTCTCCGCCGCCGACGCGGGCTCCGGCCTTGTTGTACCAGTTACCGGGGCTTCCCATAATTTCGCAAACTCTCCACACTTGATCGACCTCATTTCCGCCCGGGAACAACGGCTTCAGCGTAGCGATTTCGACGGCCATGGCTCCGATGGCCCAGATATCAACCGGTGCCGAGTACTCACCAGCCCTGAGGAGGACCTCGGGGGCGCGATACCATCGGGTTGAGACGTAGGTGGTGTACGGGAGTTTCGAATGAGTCTCGCGGGCCAGGCCGAAGTCAGCAATCTTTACCGTATACGTAGGCGGCGTCGGTGGAGGGTTCATCAGCGCGGAATAACGGCGGAACGAGTTCGTGGCGTCCATATGTGAGGATGTCGATACTAGAATGTTTTCGGGCTTGATATCTCTGTGGAAAAAGTGATGCGCGTGAATGTGTTCGAGACCCTTCATGATCTGGAACAAGATGCTCTTCACGCTCGAGTTGTCCAAACACTTGTGGTCCCTGGCCTTCATCAGTTGATAGAGGTTGCCTTCCATATACTCCATGGCAATGTGAAGCTTCTTGGTGAAAGGATCCAGGAATATGTCGAGCGCTGGCACCAGATGGGGATGTGCAGGAAGCGTCCGCAAGAAGACTACTTCCCTGAGTTCCATGCACGGTCCTACCGACTCGAATGTTTTCTTCATTGTCTTAATGGCAATCTGTTGAGCACACAAGGGTTAGACTGAACCCGAGGTCATGGCAGAAGTATCCAGGTAACTTACGACAGTACCGCGGCGGGCAACGGTGGCACCTGCACTCCGGACTCTGGCCAACACCACACTTCCAAAACTTCCATCGCCAATCTCCTTGAGCACCTCAAACCTATCCTCAAGAGCCTGTCCTGAACCGATTCCATGGGAAGACCCTTGAGGGGTCAGTGTGTGTACGACGGTCATGGTGCCGAGTCACACAAAGATCGCAAGCGGACTTAATCGGAAAGACTGGCCAGTGTATCGATGTCTGCAACAACTTGCTGTTGTATAATTCTGATTTCCGTAGCAACGACGGACGGCAGAACTGAGTTGATGCCGAGAAACGAGGGGGGCTCTCCTGAAGAGCTGCGCACAATTACCGGGGCATTCAAGAAACCCAAATTGTTCTGTTGTTGTAAGATCGAAATCGCTTTCGTGTCTGTATGAGTGTAGTTCTGCGCTGTACCAACGTTTTAATCGGGCGAATGTGTATGTAGCGTCGAGCGATTGATGTTGCTGCTGCTGCTGATAGATGCAAGTCGACAGTGCTGACTCTTCCTTTTTTTTTCTCTTTTCCTCGCCGGTGTTTAGGATAGTGGTATGGAACCTTGAAGGAGCGAATCGGTTATGGTCAACCAAGCTGAGTAAAAGGAAAATTGTAAATGAATGGACGAGTATTTTTCCTCGAGAAATGAGCGACGTGAAAATGATGCTATGTATGATGAAGAAGAAAATGAATGGGGAAACTGGTGGAAAAGCAGGCCACCCACCAAGACGGGAGTGCGCCTGGAAAGTCGAGGAGGTAGGGGGCCCGGCGATGATGGAGACCCAGTTTGGCACCAAGCCAGCCTATGCTGCCCGTGAGCTGGTGCTGGGCTGGTGCTGGTGGGTGCTGGTGGGAATTGCACGAGGCGAGGGCCCAGGATCTTGTTCGGGGTGTGCGGGTCGTCGCGGGTCGAGGGGATGGAGCCTTTCGTCTGAACGATCGGATCCCAGGAAAGGAGCTCCGCAAACCGTATTTGCAATACGTACGCCCGCTCTAGCGCGATCCGACGCAATGGATTGCTATCGATCAGCTCGAGGTTGCGTGGTTCTGGGTGGAAAGCCCCTGTTTTCGTGAGGTTGTTGCGACGATGGGAGAGAGTTTGAAGCGAAGCTGGGGGATTTCCAGTCCCAAACTGAAGTCCAGCCGGGACAGGAGTGGAGAGGGAGCGGGCGTGATTCGAATCCAGAGATGAGACGGTCATGTACAGGTGAAGCTGTTAGCTCTGACAGGTGTCGACACAGCGAGTGTACATAGTAGAGGTGCCCGGTAGCCAGAGGTGGTAGTGTAAGAGGTACGGTATTGATGGATGTCTCGGCTGTATGCCCGTACCTCGACTGAAACTCAGCTGTATTGACGGTCGCCAGACAGTGCAAATGCGCTGTTTCGGGCCAACTAACAAAGATACTGGTGGAGACAGGGTTCTACATGCGGGCTGCGAGGTAGACTTTGATAAGCTGCCTGTACCTGCGAGCGTACTGCGTAATCTCGAAATCGAAATGGGGGATGGCCAGGGTCTGTGTGGCAGCAGGGCCCTGGCAGCGGGCAGGTCGGTACCTTTTTCGCCTGCACTTAACTGCTCGGTTTGATCTCCCACTTCAGTCCAGGGCCAGGCACGGCGAGATGTCTAGCTCAAAGCACAGGTCAGCTTATGATGTATTTAGTGTAGATGTAGTGTACTCCAAAGGTCAGCCTCTCTTGTTCGCTGTTGCGTTGCCTGGTTGCGTCTGTCTCACGTTCTGCTTGTCCCCAATGCCCAGGGCCCATAGGGATATGGTGTTTCGGTACGGTGATTGATGGACGGTGGCGGCGACGGCCCTTCCGCGGCACCGGGTACCCTTGACTGTGCTGTGGCACACAGTAGAATTGGACTGAGGGACCTGAACTGCCCACTGGCTTCATGTTCTCGTCGCAGAACCGCCTTGGTAAGAAAGCTAAGCGTTACACGGTCGACAGGGTTCGTGAGGGGTGCGGACTGGTAGGAGACAACGCCGTAGTGTAGTAATCAAGTGGTACATAGCCGTAATGTATGCTACGTATAGAAACCGGCAGGGAGCGGATGACGATGGGTGGACTAGGCAAATCCGACCTTGGTAATGCTCATTCGCGCTAGCACGGCGATAATTTGGCGTCAAAGATTGCCTGGTGCGGACGCCGTTCGGTGGTCGAGATTGGGGAGTACAATTGAGATTGGAGGTGAAAATGGCCCCAAAAGTGGATGGAGCTTTCCTGCCTTCCTTACCTAGCATGAAGCGATGGGGCCAGGGTGCAGTGGGCTTCGAGAAGACGACAGGAGGGGAACCCCAATCTCGCTAGTGATTTGGAGGGGTGGTGCTCTTCTTGACGGCAATTTGAGGGTTCCATCCAACCTAGCCTGGGCCCCAACACACCACCATCACGGAGGGGGAAGACCCAGCACTGCAATAGTAGTGGAATCTGCCAAAGAACAGGGACGGCGAGGGTGTCAAAAGTGTAGATGGAGTTGAAAAGGAAGCAGAGGCGAACAAAGAGACAAGGCTGTACACGATGTGCACTAATACCCGACTACGCATATAAGCCGTGAGGCATCTCTTTTCCCGCTCGGTAGCGGATGTCATGCGAGAGTCAAGAATAGACCGACGAATGCTACAGGACAATGTGAGCTCACTGCTCGGACAACCAAACGGAAGGAGGAAGGAATGACAAATGACGGAGTATTTTTGGGGTCCAGTTCGTTCTCTTTGATAGCAGAGAGCGAGGTGAGTTCGGCAATACTTGGTGTACGTCCGGTGACTGGCGACTTCTGCCTTGAATGCTCGGGCATCAATCATCTTCGCGACTATTCTCAGCAACCTCAATCACGGCTGCTCAGCTCCGCCTTGTGTCTGGCGACGACACGAGAACACCTCTCTGCATCGTCCTTTGCTCTGAAATCCGGTTATATCTAGTACAGGCAGGATTCAACGTACATGATGCAGGATCGAAGGGAAGCTTCTGCCGGTGCCGCATAAGCTATGCGCAGTGATATAAAAAAAAGTGGGCTGTTAGAGAGATAGCTGTAGAAACATACAGTCCACTATCTACTGCGGCGTACCTTGCACGCCCGGGTAGCACTTTCACCTGCATGTGCTGTTGGAGGAGGTGGTTCCTTTTTTCAAGTGAGAACAAGCTCTGCATAGGTACCTCTATGAACGAATCCACGAACTCAGGAGAGGTTACTGTGATGGTATTGGAGGACTCAAGTGTGATCCCATCATGTGCTCTTTGTATTGAACCTTGAAGAGATATCGCCGGAGCTCTACAGTGGCTGGGACTGCCGGGCTCGCCAGGAATCGCAGACCACAAGACTACATTGGCCAAGAACTTAATGACGAACCCCTACCGTCCACCCCCCCCCCCCTCCCCTGCGATCGGACGGATTGTCGCAGGGCAGCTCTTTTCTGAACAGACTGAAACAGCATGCACTATTTTACGCCAAATGCTTTAACCAGTCCTTGTGGTCTTTTGACCTCGTGGCTTTGAAGAGGGCTAGGGGGCCCATCTTGTGGAGAGGGGACTGGACCAATTTGTTAGCACTTGGTTGATCACATACTGGGTGCATCAACACTCGCTGGAACCTCGTCATGCCAAAGGAATGGTAATTTCCCCATTACTGGGTGGCCCGATCTCTTGATATGAATGGCGAGGGTATAATATATAGGTGGGTATCTGAGCTTTCTGAAGCCCAGTCTGTGTCAGGTCGCGCTGTCCGTGATCTCGAAACAGTAGCGGGAATGAAGTCGGAACGCAGAACCGCGTCCTGTCGCATCGGGGGGAGATATATATCGCTACGCCGGTCCAATAGAGGGGTGCTGTTGTACACAGGAAGTCTTCCCATTTTTTTCTTCGGATGGGCGCGCATGCGCCATCGCATGAACAACTGAAGCAAGCCTCCTTCGCTCCGAATTCCCAAAGGCCGCCCGTCTTCCGGTTCCAATCTTTTGCGGTGGATTGGGCCCAGAAACCTAGTTACCATAGTTCCTTGCCTGTTCAGGAAAAGGACGTCGTCCGTTTCCGTGGACATCAAGGCCAACTGAAAACCGACCTTGCTCCGAACTCATGCCGTGCACTAATTATTACTAACCGTACTTGCCTCGTTACCGAAAAGAGGCCTTTCACGATGTTACCTTCCAATTTGCCAATCCACATCCACTGGCATGGAAGTCAAAATTCTTCAGGAAGAAACCGAAGAACCGAAGAAGACCAACTTCGGAAATCTTTCTAGAATACCGTCACGTTGCCATCATGATCTCTCGAACCCACTGCTTGGGAATTGCCGTTGGAACCTCTCAAAGACCCACTGGGAGGTCAAGATGTAGAACCGGACGGGAACATTGAAGACCACCTGAAGGGGAAGTCTGCTGTATCACGGTATCGGAACATAAAGCTTCCCCGCTCGATATATCGCTCTCTGGCGCCGCAGCCGCAGCCTTCTTCTTCTAGCTCTCATCCTTCGACCAGTTGGGATTTTGTCTCCCATGCTTCAGCCCAGCTCGTTCCCTCTTTGGTCCACGCCCAGCTCGCCATGGCCAAAGTTGGTGCACTCCAACGCATGCCCACCTCGACCTGTAGAGAGATGCGCAGGCACGCTTTCCTCTTTGAGATGTTTCACTGCACTATTCCCACCTTTTGTCCAGCATTGCACTGCCGTTTGGTTTTGGCGTCCAAAGCATCGCAGGCTGTGTTCATGAGACCAGCGAGTGATTCGCTAAAAAGATGGCCGTGGTGAAAGTCGTTGGAACTCGGGGCACATCCGCTTTCAGATCCTATTGGCCAATGTGATTACAAGAGTTCCACCCCACGTACAGAGAACTTTTAGCGTTATCGGTACAGGCTGCTGATGCACACATTTGCACACCAGATTGGCCGCGAGTGAGATTGCACTCAAAGTACTGAGAACCTAGACGAACTCAGAGTGCCAATTTTTAGCTTCCATTGGCGGGGCCTTCCCATCTCTCCACTTCATTTCCAGTTCTCTCCAACCTGGAACCGCTCGTCCTGCTCCAAATTCCCACTTTGCTTGGCCCTGACAATCCCTCTCGCTCGTTGTGTTCCAGCTGCGCAGATTGGACGATCGAGTCATTCAAGAACTGGTCGAGCAAAGACGACGTGCTTTTGCTTCGCTGTCAAATTCGCATCAGCAAGCAATGACGTTCGTCAGCTCCCTCAGCCTTCTCATAGGTCGAATCTCACGGGATTGCTGACAGCCGGGGGTAAACTCGAGGTAAGGTACATGAATGACAGAGGCGTCATAGGCTTTTCCACCACCAAGAAGATAATGTCCACCCCACTTCAATCCGATGGCCGCTCCCAATCAACATGTACTGCGTATGTCGATACTCAGCCTTCGCCAACCGGCTACCGCACTAAAAGCCTTCCCAGTTCTGGATCATCAAATCAACAAGCAGGGCCATTTCACACGGTTACCGGTTCCCATTCTCCCAGGTGCTGAACAGCGGCTCGGAAATTCTGGGGAACAGCCGAGGGTCAAAATAGAACAAACAGTTGATAAACCTTTTCATCCGCTCAATCTCAAGGGCCCGGTGTCTTGCAGATCTCATTACTCTGGACCCGTGTTTGCCTCTTGTGCCTGGGAGCCTGGCTCCTGGCACCGCGCCCACGCTTCCACGGCGGCCTTGTAATCCGGCCAAAGATTCCAGCGACCATGCCTCGTCCACGGTGCTACACCTAAAATATCAACGATACACCCATCCCTCCAGCTTCAGGAACGATTTATTACCCAGCCACTGGGTACGAGATACATATCATAATCATCTGGTGCCTGGCTGTAGTTTGTGCTCACGCCACTTAACCCATCGCTGCCCCGTTTCATCATGAGCATCAAACCGACTTGCTTGATCGCCAGAACTACACTACATGTCATCGTTTCTGATTTCTTCAACCAAGCCGAAGTTCTTGCTTCACTACCACACCTGGGCAGAGGATGTACATCTCTTGCCACAGATTCGACAAGTGTATGATGGGCTTGAGGGTGAAATCGCAGCCCAGCTCGCCCAGTGCCGTGGGGACATTTCAATGGACGATCTGTCGAGCTACAGAGGGATCACACAGCAAAAAACCTTTCAGCACACAGCCAATACTACGTCTAGTGTAGTGTATACCAAATTGCGATAATGGTCCGTGTAAACCTGGACATCACCACATGGTTATCTCTGCATTTCAAGCATCAGCAAAGATGAGCGCAGGGGCTGAGTCGTTGCCACAGGCTGGTATCACAGATTCGCAGTAACATGGCCGTACATCAGCATTTCGACAAGGGGAAAAGCAAAAACTACGATGATCTATAAAGTTTTCCGCCCCAGCCGGGTCTTCCGCGACTGCGCAGTTTCTACATTTTCCCCCACCCAGCCATTGCGCATGCCGCGAAATTGCCCCAAGGCGCAAAGTGACTGAGGAGGATTGTTGCGCCCCGTACGCGAATCCCTCCGCGGGGGTATCAACCGAGACGACCACGACTAGAACTCAAGTTAAATTTTAAAAATAGACCGAAACCGAGTAAACTATACAACAAACAATTTCCTTGTCGACACCCGACAACCGCTTTGTTAGTGCCTCTAGGTAGAGATGGGTCTTGAAGTCAACACCATACCACTGAAGAACTACACTCACGGCTAACGGTACCAGATGTGGAAAGCTTTCCTGATGTCAAACACGCTTCTTTCTGGATTCTGTCCCATCCGATGTATCCCTTGAAACCGCAAATCGAAGCGCCATCGGATTGTGGCATGTTGTGGTATATAAGGAAGAAGGATCCATGTGAATATGTATCTCTAGGTAGTGAACGATCACAGTATCGAATGCTACGTCTCCTGGTCATCTTCCCATTTCTTGACGAAACATGAAACGTGGAGGAAATTTATGCGAACCAGGATGGGAACAGGAATTTAGATCTCCTCGCTGCACTATTAAAAGCTCTGGTTGATTATTACCGGCATCTGGCATTGGTTGTCACCTGCCCAGCAGTGATAGTCATATCAGCATGTGATAACTACACCAACAAAAAAAAAAAAAAAAAAAAAAAAAAAAAAAAAAAAAAAACTGGCATGTGTGAGAAAGTTGATACTATGGTTGTTTCGATATTGGAGTGCCTACCTATGTAAGCCTCGGATGTACGGCCGCCGTCATGTGCTGACGCCGGCTCCCGAGAGTCTTCACATACTTGCACACACACCTAACCCGCCAGTACAGCCCCAAAGCGCTTCTCTGCTTCTCCTTTGTGAATGACAAGTGAGGGCCAGTGACGTCCATCTCTTTTTTTACGGGTTTCGAGCACTTCAGTGGTACGTGTATCATCAAGTGCGAAAGCTGTGACTGTCCAGTCTGTCACATTATTGTCACGCACACTCAACACAAGCGCTCCCTCCCCCATCACTCAATGTCGCTCGCAGTTGGACGGACGGACGAGACCGTATTGTGCGCAACAACAACACCTTCCCCTAGGCAAAAGTCCCTAGCCGGCTAACAAGAGCCGGAATGGTGAGTATCATCGTCAACTTGTTCTTTTCGAAGCGTTCTTCTCCTTTTTTCGATTTTTGCACCTTTCAACAAGTTCCCCGCCCCAGCTTTCCTTCCAGAGCCCTCCCGGCTTGCACTAGCTGCATCTGCAGCACCGAGCACTTGCAGGAGTTAGTGCCGTTATGGTTCCACCCCATGAGCGCACGCCATTTGAACGGATCCACTGGGCCCCTATGCGACCTGACAGCTGGCCAACGGCTGCCATGCATCCAACCCATGCGAGCTACGCCAGTCGACGGGCAGAGGCAGAGGACGTCTTGGAACGTGACTTGAATGGCTTCCAGGGGGGGAGGCACTGGGAGGATTGGGATTGGATTGAAACCGGGACCGCGGCGCCCGGCAGCTTTCCATGAAGAGAAAGAACTGCACGCGACAGACAGACAGACAGACAGAACCCCAACCGACTGACCACGTTCACACTGTTGGACAGGGCTCTGTCAGTCCATTTAAGACCTGCAAAACATTCATCATTTTAAAAAAGTGACTGGCATGGGCCGGGGGCCATGGTCGGCGATGATCACGTGAACCACTTTTAACGACAAGGCCCAACGACAAGGTCAATGACAAGGGGGCCTGATGGACTGCTCTGATGGAGTTCGTGACCACTGACTAGTAGGTACTGATCCGGACGTTCCTCCTCTTCTTTTACTTTTGGGGTTTCACACTACACTACACTACACTACTCTGCTGTGATGCTAAGCATATTGGTATGCCGACCGGTAAGACACCTCCAAAAAAAAAGGAGTCGAAACGTTAGACGTACAAAACTGAGTGCCGTGGCTCCGGGGCCGTGGATCATGTTTGATGATGAACGAAAGCGATTGACGAGCGAGTTTTCTTGTGGGTGCTGGGTGGTGCGTGCGCTTAAGTACATAGGATCTCCTCACTCACGTCACAGGGTTAATGCGGGAAAGTTCCGTCCGTTAGTGTAACTAGTAGCTAGCTTCGCCTCTTGTTGATCCGAGGGTCCAGGTTCCGGTTTATACGAGAGTTGCTACGGTGATGAAGAGTTGACAGCCACTGCAGTTTTGTGATGAAGGAAAAAAAAACAGGATTGTGCTTCTTTGAATCGGATTGAATGGTCGTCAGACGGTGGCAAACTATAAACCCCTAAAGTTGATCAATTTCAGCTATTTGGAGGCTGGGGACTAGGCACCGGTTGGGCATTGGATTATGACATTTTCCTTTGACAGAACAGGTAAAGCTAGTCAAGAAGAGTGAGACATTGATATTGCGGATCATCGCGGGAGAGGCTCTGGACTTCCTCGCCTGGCTACCGGCCCGGCTGGGCGGACGGGTGATACGGAATAGGGTAGAGGTACTAACCTTGTCAACTTTCTCCCTGGCTTGAGAAACAGACCCGGTGCGGTCCCTTTGGACTTGTACGGTAGGTAGCCTGAGGTGCTCGGTCGTAGGGGTTGACCTGATCAACCCTCGCGTTTTTCTTCCGAGCCGGTCGTTCGCTTCCGATGCGCCACTCGGGGGTTTACCGAACTGGTCAACATCCCATATTTCGGGCTTTTGGCCGGAAGGGGTGAACTCGGATTTGTGGAGCCCGTGGTGAAGGCGGGTATCTGATACAGAGGGCTTGATATCTCTCAATGGCATGTCCCCTCTCCATAACGGCTAGTTCGTGACCTGCTCTTTCTTTCACGTGTGATGGTCCTTTCGGAGTATTGACTTCCAACAGGCCTCACTTGTCCTATCTCTAGCGGGTAGTTGAACGAACTGCCACTCAAACCTGGTGGTCTTTCTTCTTTGATACAACTTTTTTTCTCCAGAAATCAGCGAGTGTCTTTGACAGATGTCGGTCGTTTTCAGTCTGGGCAGGATAGAGCCCAAGATGTCACTAATCGACACATCGGCTGATGCCTCCTTGACACTCCTGAATATTCCTTATTGTGAAAGCAGCTATTTAATGCGAAAGGCTAAATAGATTCCACTTATTGGACTAAATTTCCGTGTTTTGGTCTCTTTCATCATTTGTACAATGCTGGTCCGTTTGCCTTGGTCTAGAGTTGCAGGTACCAGTTTGGAGCTACTTCCCTCGAGGGAGGACAGGAAAGGAGGGAACTGTTCAGCGAGAAAGAATATATTGCTCGGCCATCCAATGCACCTATTCTGTAGGAAGTGGAGTGTCTCCGGTAAGCAGACACTCTGCACTTACTTTCCAGCTTGATTCTGCTGTTCCAAGACGATGGATGGAAGTACACCTTGCGTAGATCCTCTCACTATCTTCACAGTCATCATCCGAGATGGCATGTTGTGGGAGATATGTGTTGGGTCCCAGCTGAAGTGATTTCAAGACCGCAAATAACAAAACTTGCAGCCCTCAGCAGAACTGAATGTTGTGACTAATAACAACTTGAGCTTAGAGAAAGGCCAACATGATAACAAATGCTGTCGAGACACGTTGCTCGAGGCCAGTCATGGGATTTGGTTTTGGTCAGGTAAACTTACCATATCCTCAGTTCCATCTGTAGAGCAGCTGCGGTTCTTTCAACTCCAGAGCATGCCCTATCCAGAAAGCCAAGGAAGTCACCTCTAATTGCAAGGAGACTACCCAGCAGAAACCGGAACTGAATATGCAGGTACGATGGTCCACCGTTCCTTCCTCCCCCATCACCAATCGTGTCTTTCCCACAAAATTCCCACAACAACCCTCAGCTCATTCAAGTGCAGCGGTGTTTGTAGGTACAGTGGGCAGTCACCTTTTCGCGCCATTTTCAGGTTTCCGTCCCATAACAACAACGAAGTTTATCGTTGTCCTCGTGCCTGCCGCCTCACCAAGCAAACAGATGGGGGTTGCTCGAACTTCAATTTTAACCCTTCTCCCCTCAACCTCCTCCTCTCCTCTTCTCTCATTATTATCTTGACCACGAATCTTAAAAGGCCACTGTCGCCGCCGCCGCCGTCCACGCCCTATTGTTCTTACTACAAATCTCCATCTACGGAGCAACACAGGAGTGCTATTGCTCACAAAGCGTTCAGGCTTCACCTCGCTGACTCGACGAGTCCACCATGTCGGCGCCTCCTGTGCAGAGCCCGGCTTTCCAGGCCAGACCTGGAGCAGCTTCGACGTAAGCTTTTGGCCCTCTCCGGCAACTCGTAAGGCAGAAGTGAAATTGCTTTAGCTGACCATACCCTTCCCACCAGTGCAAACAGTCAAGGCAAGACTGGACAGTATGTTCTCACAGCACATCTCCCAGTACGTCCTGGATATGATACTGAGCTCTCCAACAGGATCCGATGCATGAACGGCAAGGAGTGGCAGGACCGCTCTGCTTTCAACCCCAAGAGACTTAGAGAGTACGAGAACATGCGCCGTTCCAACAAAGCAGTCACAGCGTACAACTCCTTCATCTCGTGCAAAGCCCATTCAGGACATGATCCTAGGGACCAGCAATGCCAGGGCAGCTGCATGCGTATTTTGCCCTTGGAGAAGTTCAGCAAGAATTCCAGAAAGCTGCGCACGTACAAGTGCATTGATTGCACTCAGCATCAGCTGTACCTCCAGCCTCATGCTACTGTTCCTGCTCCAAACACTCTTTTGACCACTGCAGAGAAGGAGGAGCTTGCTCGCGCTCGCCTCCGCCGCAAGGCCAGACTGGTTGCTGCTCTGGCTTATGAAGACGAGGACGAGGAGGATGATGATTCCCTCTACCGCGACGACCAGTCTGTTCTCTCTGCTGCCTTTGGTGCCGGAAGCTCTGTTTCGGGCGCTATCACTGGCAGCCCGTCTGTTTACTCTTCGAGGTATTCGGAGGCCGGCACAGGTTACAGCAGCCAGAATCAACCGCCCCATATGCGCAGCGAGAATGGCTTTGCCGCCACCAGCGCTTTGGCGGCCCGGTTGAACCAAGATAGCTCCTCTCCCAGTGTCAATGCCTGGCGCACCCAGGGTTTCTTTTCCGACAGCTACACTGCGGTTTCGACCTCAAGCAATGCAGGTTATGTCCCGAGTGACGCTCTCTTGACTGACGGACAATCCACTCTCGGCCCCGAAGATTCAGGTTCGGTTGCTGCTGCCCCAGACGATGACGAAGAGAACAACGACCGTCCAACCGCTCAGCGCAAGCTCATTGCCGATCACACGACTGTTACAGAGTTTTTCGAAGCTGAGGAGTCGTGGAGGGTTGATCGCATTAAGGAGTCTATGTCGGGTAATTGGGTCAAGCTGGTAAGTCATATCTGAATAGTATTGCTGTAAGTGTTCTAATCTTGGATTTTTCTGTCATTAGCCCGGTCGCAAAACATTGCCCGAAGTCCCTCGTTACCTCCGCGATGGCGAGGATGATTACGACAATGATGCGTACTCTTTTGATGGCGAGTCCGAGGACGAGCTGTAAGATCGCATCCTATGCGTACCCGAAATGGGAAATGCCAGATCATATACGCTGGTTCAGGTTCAGTTGATTGGCATCGCCAGTCTTGGAAGGAAATGGGAGTGTCGAAACAAAGGTCGTCGAGGAAAGGATTTTCTTGATTGACAACAGAAACATGGTCAATGGTCCAGCTGGATCTTACGTTTTTGCGTTTCTCTTTCTATGAGACATTCTATATTCAGCGAGAGGGTCGTGGAGTCATACATACTCATCTTGGTAAAGGAGGAAAACGCCCGAGGTAGCGATAGAGTTTATGCGAGAAATGCCAGCGTTGATATTTATGCATGACAACATTCTCGAAATCCTGGTTGACAACATCTTGCCAGCTTCGATTAACCTTTCTCCATGGTATAGGCAGATCATCACAACAGTTGCGGTACTTGCTTGGAGATGAATACAGCGTGGTGAAACCAAGATGACGAGACACTTGAGATCATTCCATTTCTTGAACGACGAGGCGGTCGTTGAGTTAAGCCCGCCAATCAGTCCCATAGGCATGTAAGTATGGTCCCTCAAGAGCGACCACGGACGAACAGTAGCACAACGGTGCACAGAAAAGAACAAACAAAGGGGTCAAATTGACAGGCAGAGCTCTCTCGGAGTTCGGGAAGATGTCTCATGGGTAAGGCGTGGTAGGCGGCATGATGGATAGCACAAAGTTTCTGCCATACTAACGACGTGTACATATGTGGCTCAGCACATCTGCCTTTCCATGATAACTACAGAATTTCTTCGGTCGTGTTGCTCTCTTAGCCCTTTTTAGCCATGGCAAACAGATGTGTCACCGGCCAGACGATAAGCCATACATTAGCCAGTTGCTGTCGTGTAAGTGCATCCTGCTCGCCAGCCCACCATGAGTGTTGGAGCGGGTTGCAAATGTCTTTTGTCAGTTTATGCTTCTCTCAAAGTGAGTTAACGAGAGTGATGCATCTGTATCTAAATGTCGGTTTTGTCATGATCTCTTTGGGTTTCTCCATGATCAACACTTGGTAGTGGGAAAAAATTGCGGACAAAGAGATTTAAACATCAAACCATCTCTTCTTTTCCCAATTCTCAACCGTCAAAGAGAAGAAACACAGATCTGGAAAACACTTTGCAGCAACCACAAGAGAGAGTTGTAACACGTCTGCCTTCGTGAACCACAATACACAACACAATACAACCTCAACATCCAACCACAAACACACTTGAGGTATGTCCAGAAACACCAACCACGTCACGGAACAACATACAACATACAGACAACATTCCAACTCGACAGAAAAGAACACCACTTCTCCAAGTGCTGGTGGTGCTGTTTGAGCCGCAGTTACCACCCTCCACCTCACCGACTAAGAGGGTTGTGCAAAGGCTGACTGACTTGAAGCTGTGTAGTGACAAACATAGTCTTTCATCGGCCCGCCTCGACACAGGAACACACACACACATAACACACAGTACACAGCCCCCCCTTTTCCTCGGGAACCAAGACTGGACACAGCCAAACAAAAGCAAAATCCCACGGGTCACTTCCCGACACAGGAAGTTTGCCTTTTTTTTCTGGTGGCTTTTGTCCTCTTTCTCTTTTTGTTGTTTTGATCCTTTCCTTCCCTTCTCTCCTTCCCAGCCATGTCCGGCTCTGGCTTTGGTAGAAGGACCACTATCCACCACAACGACGACCCAAATCGCTTTTTGGACATCATCCACGCTCGGTCTCCTCCTCGTGGATCTCGTACAGGATCTATAACAGCTTCACCCAGATTTAGACCGTCTTCCCCAATCCCGATCCCAAACGCGATACCGAGACTAAGACTGAGAGTGGAGAGACGAGTTAGTTTCGAGGAACCTGACCCTCCGTCTGCTTTTGAGTATTTCTCTTCTTCTGCTTCCTCTTCCTCTTCTTCCTTCTTACCTCCATCACCATCATCGTCATCATACCTATCCACCGCTTTCTCGTTCGACGGTAACGACGACAACTTCGACATCCTCGACAACGACGACGACCTGGCATACAACATCGCGGGCCCAAGCGGAGGAAGGGAGGGAAGAGGCAGGATCAGGATAAGATCAAGATCACGGTCAAGGGAACCGCGAACAAATACCCGCGTAACCTTATACCACGGAGTCCGCCATTTCTACCCCAACCGTAACCGTAACCGTACGCCGTCACCACCACCCCCGCCACCAGTTCCTCCACCACCAGCTTTTCTAGGTTTCCCACCAGTCGGTCGTATCCGGTACCTCCCTGCCCCAAGATACGTCCCTGCTCCGAGACGATTTCCCGCCCCGAGACTACTCATCCGCCAACCAAACCGCTCACCGTCCCCCGCCCTTCTGCGGCCTTTTCAAAGGGTACGGTTCCGGCGAGAGGAGGAGCGAGTTGGAGAGGACGACGACGACGAAGTGGATGACAGAAGATTGAGAATCGCCATCAGGACCATCACTAGTATCAGCAACGGGCTGCGAGCAGGACGAGACTTTCGGGGCTTTAACGACGACGACGAAGACGATAACACTACTGCCGTGACTACTAGCACTGCATACCAAGACGTAGACGCAGGCTTAGACGCAGACGAAATGCCTAGGGCGGCGTGGGGGGTGTTGTTTGATGAGGAGGAGAGGCCGACGGAGAGGCTGAGGGAGGTGTTGGCGGCTTTGGGGAGATGGGTTGTGAGTTTTACTTTTTTTTTTCTCTCTTCTTTTCTTCTTGAGTTGGTTATTGGAGGTTAGGTTGTTGGAAAGGCGCCGGGTTGAAACGGTAAATGTGCTAACGTCGAGGATTGCTTAGGTTCGTGAGATGCCTGGGGGCCGGTCGACCATGTTGGACAGGGAGGGTCTCATCAGCCCAAGGAGGATGAGGAGGTTTTTTGATAGGTATTATATGATGGGGCCGAGGGAAGAGGAGGAGTGGAGGTATTGGGGTGAGTGTCTTACCCCCCACTGTTTGGCAATTGTTTGATGATGGACAGCGAGTTTCGTGGGCTACGTTGGTGAGTTACTGACCTTGCGCATTAGATGTCTTCAGAAATGAGACCAGCGATGAATCCATAACTCGGGTCCAAAGACTCTATGACGACCTCGACGTCGAATACCGTCTTCGCACTCTACCGCGGACCACCGCCACTTTGCCATCTCCATGCCTCACACCCAGAGGTTTTGCCGAGTTCCTGATCAAGTTGATCCTCAGCTACCCTGATAGCCAGCATCAGTTCCTCTCGAATGTATTCAGGAGTAATCAGATCACCGCGCCGATGGACAACCTGAATAGGTGGGGAGCAAGAGGAGGAGAAGGGTTGCTACCCGGCCACCTAGACAGATCTCTCTTCCCAGAGTTTATGGACACCGCGATGGAAGCAAGAGTGAGACGGGCTCTGATGGCAGCTGAGTTTGGGACACCGGGGCGGGTGGTAGATCGAAGCGACTCGCTAGAGAGACTGAGGGAGGAAAGGGCACAAAGGCAGAGACGAGCTAATCAAGACAGAGCCCGGGAACGAAGGAGAGCCGAGTACCAAGGATATCGACTAAGAGGCGGCGGTAGCGATGACGATGCTGATGCGGAGCGAGGACGAAGCATGGAGCGACGTTCCTCAAGCCGAGTGGAAATCCGGAGGACATCCCGGGTCGCATCACCCGGAATTCAGCGAGTGACTACCGTGGTCCGGTCCCGTTCCAGATCCAGATCAAGGTCCCGTCATCGTCGCCCATCAGATAATCCCCAAACCTCATCGTCATCCCAAGACCGCAAAGCCGACAATCTCCACGTGCGCTTCACCTCTGGAACCAAGCACCCCAAAAGAAAGCGTTCTTCGGCCGTCCTCTCCTACAAGAGACCGCCAGCCGTCACCAAATGCCACACCAAGTTCGAAGACTATAGCTGCCTATTCCCGCCGCATCCAATTCCGACATCCTGCCATCCACGACCACGACCCAAAACACCCGTTGTTGCAGATTGTAAACCACCCAAGCCAAAGCCAGCAACGTACTATCCCCGTCTGCCACCCGGCCACCCACCCATTTCGTTCCCATCACCTCGTCCAGCTCCAGCTCCAACATGCCACCCTCCCACTCAACAAATCTGCGACTCGTCCAAACCCAAACCCAAAGCCACTTACCGACCCCGTCCCCGACCCGGCTGTGGTCCCGCAAAGACCCGTCCGGAACGCATCTACCGCGAAGTCCCCATCTACCACGAGATCCCCGTGCGTGAGATCCGCGAAGTCGAAGTCGAAGTGCCTGTTCGCGTCGAAGTTCCCTACGAAGTCCCCGTTCGAGTTCCGGTCGAGGTGCCTGTGAGGGTCAATGTTCCGGCGCCGTATCCGGTGCATGTGCCTGTGCATGTGCCGGTGCCGCAGCCTTATCCTGTTTATCACGGTGGTGGTGGTGGTGGGTATGGAGGGTATGGAGGGTATGGGGGACATGGAGGAAGGTATGGGGTGAGGGCTGATGAGGGACCTTGGTATCCGTTTAAGGCTGTCACTTGGCAGAGTGGACCGCCTTTTTAGGGGGAAGTTGGGGATGGGTTGAGGAATGGGACATGGAAATGGAAGTGTTGGGTTTTTGGGGATTTGGGAGGAGGAGGAGGAGAGGGGGTGCGTGGCGCGTGTAGCCTGACACGACAGTGGCTGCCCCTTGGTTTGGTGGTGCATAGGAAGGGAATTTCACTAGGCGGTAAACGTAGGAATATGGGAATATGGAAGCGCCTGTTCGAAAACAAACAAACAAGCAAACCTGGTGATTTCAACCGTGTTACAAGTGATGAGCATGAATTGAACGAGTCATGGACAAAACAAGGGGGAAACCAAGTCAAAACATGTTGCCGGATTGGGTTAGATCAAGCAGCAGCGCCTTAACAGAATCAGGCTGCGATCACACGCCCATGTGTTATTGCCGTGCTTAACCCCGTGTAGGGTAGCAGAGGTCCCCAGTTGACCCCCACCTTCCCCCAAACCCCAAACCCCAGACTTTTTGCTGACTTCTCCAACTTTTTCCTTTCTGTTCCCCGGACGATCGACGTCATGTTACCAATGAAGGCATTCCGAGGCCTCGCAAAGCTTGACTTTTACCACCCAACCTGGCTGCTTCTTTGCCGATCAGCAATCTCACCACAACGTTACACAGTAGTCCCGCTGCACACACGGAGCAACAGCCTGAATCAGGCTCGATAAGCACAACGATCAGCACCTTCACAGCCGCCGACACCCAAGGAAAAAGGCCCTCGACGTTGTGAGATCCGGGAAATGTGACGTCGATCGCGAATCACCCCGGATTACCCCGGATAATTCCCTCATGGCTGGCCTTGGCCGGTCCGAATTTGGGCTTACATCTGTGTCATCTCTCGGCTTTTGGATTTGTCAAGTGCTAATAGCCATGGCCAAGCACAAGCACAGGTCCCTGGCAGCCCGGGCGGCCATTGCTTCGGATGCCATGCAGAAATATATATATGTATCATGTACAGCCGAGCCATAGCGCCCAGCATCCAGTAGTTTCAGACTACAACTCATTTTCCCTTCTCACTTGTCTTGATGTTCTTGCCATAAGCTCAGACTACCGAGTGTCTCCAGTGAGAGACAGAACAACACCCTACCCGAGATGGCGTCGAACCCAACAAAAACCGCAGCCCCTACGGGTGGCCTCAACGAGAAGAAGCATGACCGCCGTTCAACATCGTCCGAATCCGTCTCGGGAACCGCGTTTGCGGAACACGCAGACCGCACCGGCACTTCTAACCAGAACGCTCGACTAGAGGCTTCAAAAAAGATAGCGAATCCTTTGGCCGGTCTGAGCCCTCAGCGTCTCGAGGCCATGGGAGAAGAATATGCAATGATGGCCGGTCTCACCAGCGAGGAGGACATCAGGGCCTTTCGACTCGGAGCCAGGATCGCCGGCGATGAGAGCAACTACGACCTCATCCCGGAGCTTACTGAACGGGAGAAAGAGGTATTGGTGCGCGAAACAACTCACAAGTGGTCTAACCCACCCATGCTTTACTGGGTTGTTGTTAGTATGTAATCCCCCCCCCGAATGATCACAAGAGTGAAGCAGTATAATGCTAACACCCATCCTTCAAGTCTGCTCTCTGTGCGCCGCCGTCCAAGGAATGGACGAGACAGTCGTCAACGGTGCCCAGCTCTTCTACAAGGACAAGTTTGGCATTGGTACCGATAGCCAGAGAGACACCTGGCTTCTGGGTCTCGTCAACTCAGCGCCCTACCTTTGCTGTGCCTTTATCGGCTGCTGGCTCACTGAACCGATGAACAGAATCTTTGGCAGACGAGGCACCATCTTTGTTTCTTGCATCATCTCAGCCGTAGCCTGCTTCCACCAGGCCTTTACCAACACGTGGTGGCACATGTTCATCGCCCGCTTCTATCTCGGCCTCGGCATCGGTCCCAAGTCAGCCACCACCCCAATCTTCGCCGCCGAATGCTCCCCTCCCAAGCTCCGCGGTGCGCTGGTCATGCAATGGCAGATGTGGACCGCCTTCGGTATCATGGTCGGCTACATCGCCGATCTCGCTTTCTACTTCGTTCCCGATCACGGCATCGGCTTGGGTCTGAACTGGCGTCTGATGATGGGCTCCGCCATGATCCCCGCCGTCATCGTCGTCTGCCTCGCCTTCCTCTGCCCGGAGTCGCCCCGCTGGTACCTCAGCAAGGGCCGACACCAAGACGCCTTTGGGGCGCTCTGCCGCCTGCGTTTCGAAAAGGTCCAAGCCGCCCGCGACCTCTTCTACACCCACACCCTCCTAGAAGCCGAGAAGCAAGCCATGTCGGGCGTCAAGAAGGGCAATCGCTTGAAGGAGCTCTTTACCGTGCGGCGCAACCGCAATGCGGTCATCGCCTCGTCGGGACTTATGTTCATGCAGCAGTTCTGCGGCGTCAACATCATCGCCTACTATTCCTCGGCAGTCTTCCGAGACGCCGGCTTCAGCGATGTGTCGGCGCTGGCTGCCTCGCTCGGGTTTGGTGTCGTCAACTGGCTTTTTGCCATCCCGGCCATGTACACCATTGACACTTTCGGCCGGCGCAACCTGCTGCTGACCACCTTCCCGCTCATGTCCCTCTTCCTCTTCTTCACCGGCTTCAGCTTCTGGATCCCCGAGGACTCCAAAGCCCACATCGGCTGCATCGCGCTGGGCATTTACTTGTTCGGCATGGTCTACTCCCCCGGCGAAGGGCCGGTGCCGTTCACTTACTCGGCCGAAGCCTACCCGCTGTACATCCGGCCAATCGGCATGTCCCTCGCCACGGCGACGACCTGGTTCTTCAATTTCATCCTGTCCATTACCTGGCCTAGAATGGTCACGGCCTTCAAGCCGCAGGGCGCATTTGGCTGGTATGCAGGGTGGAATATCATTGGGTTTCTCTTTACCCTATTCTTGGTCCCCGAGACCAAGGGCAAGACGCTGGAGGAGCTCGATCACGTGTTTGATGTGCCGCTGAAGAAGTTGGTCAGATATGGGGCCGATCAGAGCTTGTGGTTCTTCCATAGGGGAAAGAATGGAAAAGGAATGAGGCCGACGGCGCCTAGTGCGGAGATGTATCATGGGGATGCGGAGCGGATGAATGAGGTGGTTAGCGAGATGGGGCCTACCAGTGGGGAGCAGCAGCTTGGGGAGGGTGAGAGGGAGAAGAGGTGGAACAAGGAACGAGAGAGGGAAGGGGGGATTATGGGACGAGGGGATGCTGCTGGGAAGGTGTAGTAGGTTTTGTTCTGTTTGAGTTGGAGTATCAAGGAGGATGAGATGGTAATGATGGACGCCTTATGCGATATGACTCAAGACTTACGATTCGACTTCTCTGTATTTATATATCTTTTTTTCATTTTTAAGGATACCATTTAGACCTTGAGTATATGCAAAATCCAAGGCAGGCTTTGCCCCTCCTCGTTCTTGACAGGCTTTCCAGAAGATGTTACTCCCCTAACGCGACATGTCAACCATAACCACCAACACCACCACCACACAGCCACTTCATCTACCTTTTTACAAAACTTTACCCGACAACCTATACATCTACCTTGCCTTGGTGTTCATTGGACAGTTATGTATCATCTCCGTACACTATGTACAAATTTTCGGTGAGCGGGATGGGGCGGGTAACCAACCCTCAGGTTTCCGTTGCATGCACAGCCACACTTCCGTGCCCCTATCACCAAAGAGGATCACACTAGTCACAGCACAGAAGAAAAGGAGGCATTGCCAGCACGATCGACACGCCGTCCGTTGCCCTATTGAGAGAAAAAAAAATAAGATTGGGACAAATCAAACAAATCGGAGGGGAAACATAGAAAGCATCCTATTCGTTGTTGATGGATGCGGTGAGGTAGCATGGCATGGCATGGGCGAACAACTATGTACATATTTTCAACAAGGAAACGAGGCGGCCGCAAGGCAACCAGACTAGTGCCGCCAACAATAACGAACGGTGCGCGGGCGTGGGTAAGGGGTGTAAACATGTGAGTGAGCCTCATCACTTGAGTTCACTTCCGTGCAATATTTATTTTTGCCTTTTTTTTTTTTTCCTTTTTTTTTTTCCGGAAGCGATGAAAGCTTTTGCTGTCGAATTCATTCCCACTTGGTAGTTTACTTGGCCTCATCATGGTCTCCAACGCAAAAGTCCAGGAGCAACCTACTACATGGTTCGGCCGCCGCCCGTCGGTCGGCCTGTCTGCCTAAAGTTCTCCAAAGTCCGATCTGGCAAGTGGGATGTCACTGTCCGACGGCCTTTCTCTTCACTGATGAGTGATACCCCCTCTTTCTTACTGTAACTTCTTCTTCTTCTCTCAGCATCACCGGTTGTACAGCGGGGCATGAGGATGATACACTCAGCATCCAACAACAAAGTTCACGCATCACTCGAACCAAAACCGTCGAAGAAAGAAAAATTGATTGCTTCGTGAGCGATTGACTATGTTGACAAACCCTCGAGACCCGCCCGCCGTCGATACCAGTACAAAAAGCCAAAGCCAAAAGAAATCCCGCTGTCATCAACTTCATCATCATTATCAGTCATCATCACCCCAAAGAAAACGTATCAAAAATCTCGGCAGAAACAGATATCGGTTACCGAATCCCCTCAGCCAGCCGATCGATTTTCTCAATCATGATAAACCATCAAGCCGCGAAACACAACAATAACAAGATAAGGAAAGCAGTTGTCATCAATCATAATCATAATCATCAGCATCCAACATAAAAAGGCGGGGAAAGAAGAACAAGAAGGAAGACGTCAACACAACGCTCCACAGCAACAAGCACGAAAGCCAACACCCAAGCCCACCGATCCAAAACTCATATGTATCCCATCCGTCGGATATCCACATGCTTCTCGGATGTCTGCACCGTGCATCGCATCCCCGTCCGCAGGTGCAGGTGTAATGCAAGCAGCACCCGTGACAGACATCAATCAGGGAACATGATGACGTGTACGTCGGTGGCCGTATCCGAACTTCGGGAACAACGAAACGAAACCAAGGACGAAAGAATGGAAAATGAGAGAGCGGGAAGAATGAAAGGGGTATCGGAGTTTTTCACACGAATCTTCCTCCGTGTTTTGGCTCGACGATGGACCTGCCCAGACGAAGACAAAGACAAAACCGCCCCGAAGAAGGTTGACTGGATGAGCAACTGAGTCAGCGAGCGACTGACCGACTGACAACGGCCAAGGACCAATAACCAAGAACCAACGACCAAAAGCAAGAGAAGAGGTCAAGAGTAACATTTCTCTTTTCTTTGAGTCATGGCTCCGTTTTTTCTGTTCCTTCCTTTCAAGGGCGGTGACGTTCCGGCCTCCGTCTCCTGCGCTCTTGACGCCTCAACTCCTGAGGCGATCGGTACCACCCATCATCATTATCCGGCGGAGTCAGCGGGCCAAGTGGTCCGCTTTGCCGACTCTGGCTTTGGCCATGTTGGTGGTACCTATCATATGACACCGACCCGGGCGTGCCGGGGATCCTTAACTGCGGCGGCAGCTCCGTGTAGTTTCTGATATCCTCGTACACCTCATCTCCAATCTTGCCAAGGCGGTACAAGTGCGCGGCCATGAAGAAATCCGGCCGCATTCTCTCCCAAGTCAGGCGAGGGTCGTCAAAGATGTGCTCGCGGATGTGCCACATGCGTCGGAGAAAGTTCTGCTGGCGCTCGGCTCTGTCGGCGCGCTCATCGACGGTGAAGTCGTAGTCGTTGCAGAACCAGCAGACCAACTTGCTGGGCAATTGGTGGCTCAGGTGGTGCAGGTGGTGGTCGATCCAGAGGTTCTCTTCACCGATGTGAAATTCTTCGTCGCAGTTTAGAATGCCGCAGAACTCGCACCATAGTTCGTGGGAGTCTGGCTCGGGGCCGGAGGGCTCGTTGATTCCTACCCAAGGGGAATGGTCAGGAGCGCGAGTTGGGACGGTGAGGTCCGTGGACGATCGTCTTGAGGGTGCAGTGGATGTGGTGTAATTGGAATTGGTGACGGACGAGTCGTCGTCATCGTAGTACTTGTCACATGAGGACTGTCTTCTCTGTCCAGGGCTGTAGCTCCTGGAGTAGTCCTCTATGTGCTCTGCTGAGGTATGGTTAGACATCGCGGGGTTGGCCAGAGTGGGATGGCGATGAAGGTCAGCCGGACAAGCGGCAGCGGGGAAGTCTTGGATAGGGAAGGGCAAGCAAGTGTTCTGCTTCCTCCAACGTGGGGGTCCCTTCGAGGTCTGGAAACCAGGCTGGGTGGAACGTTCCGTTGCGGATGACGATGAGCCAAACCCGGTTATGAAGATGTCACTTGTTGTTCTCTGTCGTTTAGGTCAGAACATGGACTCTCATAGATAAACCAAAGCTGGTGACACCGGGAGAAGAAGAGCGACTGGAACTCATCTTCGACAGAGAAGCAAAGGCAAACAATAAAGAAGAGGGAATGTTAAGAGCTTGTTCTGGGGCACAGGCGTCGGGGCAAGTACTTGGGGTGCACACAACAAGGCCACCGAGGTAGCCAGCACTGTGTATAGGTGTCATTGCCGAGAGAGAGTGGGGGGATATGCATGGTTCTTACTTGAGAACGGGAACACTTACATTAGCGAATCGAGTGTTTCCGTAGGTGGGAATTGCAGTTGTGTACCACAAGCCCTTGAAAGCTTCAAGTGGCACTTGATGGGATCGAGATAGAAAAGAGCTGCTAGCTAGTAGCTGGGAGTCAAAAGAATTCGGGGTTTATGTTATCTTGGAGTAGGAAAAAGTGTCATCGGAGAGACGAAGAGACGTTCTTGGAAGACTTGAGCAACCGTAGGAAGCTGAAATATATAGCTCCGGAGCTTGAAAGTCGAAGGGAACTTGATGTCCGTTGTGGATTATGTCCTAGATGGATGTTGAGGAAGCAATAGTCATTCTTCCATGGAAAAAGGAAGAGGAAATTGGGCCGATGGAGATGTTATATCGCGAGCTCTCAGTCTTCTCACCTCTCCCCGGTTTCCCATTTCAAAACTTCCCGTCTTTTACCTGAATTGCACTCATATGACCACCTCTTCAAGCCGCGTATGGCAAGTGAGCCTAATGCGCGTCCACAACGTCAAACTCGAATATCTCCCCCTTCCACTCGCCGGCCCACACACCCACCACGAGTCCGTGGGGTGTATCACTATCGGGTCGGACCTCTGTTTCTCTTCCTTAGATCAGGACGGCCAGTTGGATATTCGAGATATTGTTGTTGCCCCGCCCTTTTCCCCATTCTTCCCCCATGCCGAGCTGACTCCCGTTCTGCCCGACTGAAATCTTGGGAGCTGGTTGGTTTCCCGGTTGTTTCGCGCGTTTTCTGGCCTCTCGAAGAGAGACAACACATCTTTTGTCTAGTAGAAATGAGTTTCGGGAGGAGGGGTAAAAGGGGCAAATGGTACTCGGGACGGAGGTACTTTTTTTTTTTTTTTTTTTTTTTTTTTTTTTTTTTTTTTTTTCTTCTTCTTCTCCAGGATGCCTACGCAGCAACCATGATCAAACCAAACACTTGACTGGCGACAAACATGTGTACCTCAGATGGGCTATTCCATTCGAGCGGAATGATCAACTTCACGATGAAACGTGATGTCGTGCCAGCGCCAGCCAGACGGGCGTGTTATCCGCATTTGCCTTTGCCGGTTATACCCTTTCTTTTCCATCTCATCTCTGACGACAGACAGGACAGGAGGAAGATTGGGCTACAGTTTCCAAGAGCACACGGCAAGGTTATCCAGGTTTAATCAACCGGCCTTCATATACCCGGAATGGAAACGCGGCGAGAAAAAGATTTGCGATGCCGATGCGTCTTCTACTCCCACTTTCTCGGAGACGGCATGCGACCCAAATGAAAGCCTGTAAGACTTTCTCCCAACCTGCTCTGCAACACAGCACCTGTTCGCCTTTTTCTTAGTCAATGAACGGGATACATGGTGGGTGTGCGGAGAACCTGCAGTGGACGCCGAACAAGGGGGAGAAAAAAAGAATGTTTGGTGAGGTGGCTTGAGATGATGTGGCTTTCGTTGCTGCTTCATACGATATGCAGGTTTTGGAAAAAGCAATGCGGTAGTGCAGCATACAATAGTCTGCAGGTTCAGACCCGTTCGTTCGAGGGACTGAGTGGATGTCTGCAGCAGCGTAGCATAACTGACGGGATGGAGACGGTTGCCGGATATTGATTTCACATCGTGAAAACAAGGAGCTACTATCAGTCATATCCAAAGTACCCATAACTCCACGCGGGTGTAAAACCCCTTCGTTGCGTTTTTGTTTGGTTGACCATTCAATTGGATTCCATGAGTGATGTTAACATTCGCTCGGCAGGGTATCTTCCCTTCCCTTTCCCCCCTCGTTGTTGTCTCTGCCGCATCTTCGGATCGTGGAACACGTAGCAGCGTACCTACGTCGTGAACCTCTAGTGTATATGGAATGTTCTGCGATGGGTTCAAGAACCCCTATCCCCAGAGGAAGCCAGACATATGCGACAAGAGATCACGCCTTTGCGTCTGGAGCACGTACAGATATCTACGTGGCACCTTTCAGTCGGCTTGCATATCTGGCTTTACCAGCCAATCCGTGTTGAGCATAGAAAAGCCAACATGTGAAGATAGTTAGTCAATCCAATCGCGAAGCTATCCAGTGCGTTGGGTAAGCATCGTCGCCAGGAGATTCTAAGTGTTTGCATCTTCGACTCGCATAGATGTGTTTGTGACCCATGGCTCGGTGTTGCGGATTCCTGATGACCATTTTGTTTGGCATCGGTCAATCCCAAGATAAGATGGATAATGCATATCAAGAAGCGTCGCATATTCGGAAAGGTTGAAACCCAGCCATCTCTTTAGTCGATCCTTTACAACCTTGCTTGGTATCAATTTGTGTAGGTCAACAGCTCACCCGGTGGAAAAGTATTCATCGTAGAAATTTCTTTCACATGAACTGCGAAGAACCTATTCCGATGCCATTCTGACCACCCTCTTCTGCTTTCGACAAGTAGGGGTGCACGGTGGGGGACGGGATCATCTCCGGGAGCTGACCCGGAGATGCAGAGAGACAAAAGGATGGGTGGGAAATGGGCAAAGCGGAATGGTATGTAGTCATGCCAAGAAGACCGCAAAGGACTCGGAAGACGTGGGCTTTCCGGAAGAGCTGGGTTGCATGTCACGGCGCCGAAATGGCGATCCCCTGGTGATAATCAGTAACCACCATCTGGCTTTTGCATCACCAACCATGTCAGTTGCTAGCCTTAAGGGGCATTTGCTAGTGCGGAAAAAATGGATATTGAGGCTCTGCTAGCCCAAATCAAGTGATGAAGCTGGCGAGTCCCATCCTCTGACAAAATGGTGATTGGTGCGTCAGTTATCATAGTTCTCCTCTTCATGCGTGGAAGATGTCTCCTGCGTCTCTTCAATCCATGTTCATGCGGATGGACACGCGGTGCTATTGCTGTCCTTGAGTGGCAGATGTTTACGGAGAAGAGGAACATCTCACAGACTTATGGCGTTCCTCATATCTGGAACTTCCGTCAGACGTGTTTTCGGTGGGGATAGTCGCTGCGTAACCTGACACGTCTTCTGGGGGGCGAGACGTCCACATGGCCTTGAGTTGAGAGGGAGCTGATTGAGATGTGACGTGAATCTCTCCGAGCTCCAAGAGACGCGAGGTTCTTCCCCAGATAGCCGACTCGTGCCCAACACGAAAACTATCGCCACGGCGCGGGGCTTGCATTTCTTCCCCATGTAGTTAGGCTGTCGGCCTCGGTACGTTGGGCATCAACTCATCAACGTGCCGAGTTGGTGGGTAACCGCTTCGTTCCGGGCCGCGGGAATAACTCCTGCACAACGTCCCTTCCAGAACCAATAATCGACATATGAAGAACATTATACCGCGGCCAGTAATCGCACCGAGCAGGAGTTGTTAATCTGTTGATCTTGATGCCGGATTCGCTCGCGAACTTTAGCTCGTTTCATCTGGGACCGCAAGCTCGTCAACCACGAAGCGGCAGACAAGAAAATCGCTTGAAATTATCGAATCGGTCGTTCCAGCATTGCTTCACTCTTCCGGACTGCAAAGCACCCTGGCTTTGGCGATGACATTGGTCCATTGGAGCTGCCCACCGCTTTCGTCGCCCTGTTTGATGATTCCTGGAAACGTGACGCAGCAGATTTCCCTATCCGACAAGCTCTCCTCGTCTTCGCCACCGATGTCTTCCATCGTGGCTGCATCGAAAAGCACTCGTTGATGTGGCAGGATTTCAGGCATGTTGACCTTGAATATGGCTTTCTGGACGACGAGAAGCCGTGACATGTCGATCGCACCGTTGACAAGATGTCTCAGCCCCTGATTCCGTGCCTCAATAGCTTTGGTATCGACTTGCGTGATGTCATCTAGTAGATTATTGGTTTTGTTGACGAAGGCGTCGATAATGGCGGCTGTCTCGGCTTGTAGCTTCTGGTCGGCTTCCCGTTTCAGGATGGAAAGAGTCAAGGCGCGCCACTGGTTGATAGACTCGGGTGTTGACACTGGGTAAGCCAAAGAGGTCAGTTTCAATCCCATCTCCAAGGGTGCATGTAATGTACCATACCGATAGCCCCAAGCATCCCCTCTGCCTCCCTAACCACTCGCTCCTGCTCTCCGGTCAACCCAACAAAATAAGCCCGAAATACCATCTCTACCAACAACCTCGACACCACACTCTGTATCAAGTGTATCTTGCCACCCATCCCTAATATCTCCTCAAACATGGGCACCACCTTCTCCAACTCCTCCATCCGCCCCCCCTCCAACCCTTCAGTCTTGACCTTGGCCCTCCTGAAATTCACCAAGACCCAATTTTGCAACTCATTTCCAAGCTTCGCCATGGCGGCCCCAAGCACCTCATCACTAACCTGCTGCGCCGCCCCCGTCGCTTCCGCCCGCGTGCTATTGCTCACCCACTCCTTCAGCCCGCGCATCTGCCGTCGCAGGTCGCGGATCTCGTCCTCGCGCTCGCGCAAGCTCTGCTGGGCGGCGTTCCAGTCAGAGCGGAGCTCGTCGCGCTCGGCGCGGAGGGCGTCGGCTTCCAGCCGTAGAAGGCGTAGCTCGTGGGCGGTGGTGGATGTCAGCGAGGAGAAGGAGGAGAGCGAGGAGGAGGCGTTGGTGAGAGCGTCGAGGGTCCGTTGGTACGAGAGCTCGAGGTGGGCTATGCGGTCGTCTTTTTGCTTGAGGAGGTCTTCGGTTGTTGTGGGTGTGGGTGTTGTTGATCTTGGTGCGGGTATAGGTGAGGGCGAGGTTCTCATGCTTGAACTGGAGCTGGAGGGGTCTGTTGTAGCTGTAGTTGTGTTTGTATCCGTAGTGGTACCTCCCTCCGTAACCATGAATCTAGTCCCGCGCGGCGTGCTTGTGCTACTACCGGGGGCATCGGGAGAAGGAGAAGGAGAAAGTGCTGCTCGCGCCGGCGGAGCTATGGCTTGGGCCAAGCTGCCCGATCGTGGACTACGAGTAGCGTTTCTTGACGGCGATGTTGACGGAGAGCCGGCATTCCGTAGACTGCGCATGAAGGAAGGACTGCGAGGACTTTCTGAAGAAACGCGGTGTTTCTCCGGGGTTCCCAGAGTCTTGCGAGGCATCTTGATGGTGTACACAGTAACTTTGTGTGAACCGGAAGACACGCTCGAGTAATTACCGTAACGCGGAAAGAAAAAAGAACGCGCTCTGATTTTTGCTTTGCTCGTTGCGCGACATGCTGATTTGCAATGTCTCGTTGTAAGATGTTATTGTTGTTCTCGTCGTCGTAGTCGCGTTTGCTGTTGAGGCCAATGTGGGCGATTGTTGTTGCCTAGAGGTAGAGAGCCGAGGTCCAAATATCGCACTCAGCGGCCTAAATCCCAGTATAGCAGCCTTCCTCGTGCCTGCCCCTCCCAAACAATCAATTAATAAAATCGAGTCACTCTTTCCCACCAGAACTAAGAGTTCTGTTCATCAGCTGGTTCGGTTAGCTTCCGCTCTGCGTCGTTCACGCCTGCCGTTAACAAGTCCCGTGGTCCTCTAACCCCTGTCAATCCTGCCTGCCATTTCACGGCTTCGGCACTCCTTCCAAAAAAGCGGGGCCCTTCGATGAATGGGACAGGACAGGGATCATGGTCTGTTGCCGTGCCTTCAGCAACGTTCGGCGGGCAGCTCCGTTGAACAAAACATGGCATCCAGGGGTTGACCCATGGAAGCCCCTCTGCCCCTCTCCTCAGGCCGAACATGTACACTACATAGTGTAGTGTATGTATGTGCCTGTACGTACAATGTACAGCTTCGGAGCTGATACACACAGTAGATACAACCGTGGGAAGAAGAGCCCAAGCACGATACATAGTGTACATGTAAGTACGATAGCCTAACGGGAGATCTACGGCTACATCTCTTTCGCTTCATTCCATCTCTCTCGCACAAGACGAGTTAGCGTGGCTCGTGGATCCCTCGGGCCTTTGTCGGACTGGATCGAGTACATCTCTTTCTTTTGACTAGTATATTATTGTGGTTCATCAATCTCTAAAGCCCGCAGATGTTTTCAAAACTCAATCTCCTCCTCAACCTCATAAGCCTCGTCAACCACCACCCCATCAACCATCTCCTTCTTCGCCCCCATCTTGCAAATAGCCACCTTTTCCACCTTGACGCCCTCCATCCACGTATACTCCTCATACCTCTCCAGAATCTCCCTCGCGTCTATCGTCAGCCTTTCCCTTTTGTTTCCCCCTCCTCTTCTATGGCCGTGGTGACCGTGGTGACCATGGTGGCCATGGCCTCCCTTCTTTCCTCCTCTGTTGCCTGCTGCTTGCTGCTGGTCCCGCCCCTTGACGTAAATCGTATTAACCACCGTAGCATGCAACAAAAGTGGTCTCCCGCCTTCTTCTACCATCAACCCCCTCTGCACGAACTCGGCTTTAACCTCCTCGCAAAAGCGCTGGAGGTGGCCAAGTGGGTCAACGGGCGGGGCGTAGAGTACCGCTGCCTTGGAAGGCGATTGCATCGAGTGAAGACCCCTTAACGTGATCTTCGGATGTTCCTCCTCCTTCATCTCCATTTCAGACAGAGATCGAGGTTGGACATCCCTAACAACCGTCCCCATCCCGGCCTCCAGCCCCTCGTCTGGAACTTCTGCCGTCCCAATAGCAATAGGCGCACCACCACCATTACCGTTTTCAACATCCCGCGGCACCGGCACCGCCGTCGCCTGCGTCTGTGACTCCCTCAGTACCCCTTGCCAAATTTCTTTCAGCTTCAAGCTCTTCAGCAAAGCCTTGGCCTCCTCTAACTTCCTCAAGCCACTCAAACTTTCACTTTTTCCACTTCCACTTGGTTCCGGCTGTTCCTCATCACTGCCACTCCTACTTCTGCTCCTGTTCCTACTCCCGCAATCTTCTTGCGGCCCGTTTCTTTGCCCCTTTCCAGTACCCCCGGTCCCGCTGCCAGCTCCTCCTCCTTCTTCTTCTTCCTGCCCCTGCCTCTGTCTAGCCGGTTTCCCAACCTTGGGCTCCATAAAACTCATAACCCCCAATGTCAAATGCACAGTCCCCACAGGCCTGATGGCTTGCTCGGGCACCGGCAGCGCTCCATATGCGCTAGAAGGGTTGGGCGCCGTCACTTCCTCCCTAAAGGCGGCTAGGCTGCGTGCGAGGTGAGGCCGGGAGGCCGTGGTGGCGAGGGGGATGCAGAGGAAGTGGGTTGGGGGTGGTTTCGGTGGCATTTTGTTGGGTTTCTTGGTTTGGTTATTTTCAGTGTTGTCGTTGTTGCCTTTTCCTCCACCTTTGCCTTTGGACTTGGCTGTATCCTCGCCCGCAGGCTGTTGCTCTTGCTCCTGAGGTGGTGCTAGTTTTGATGGTGGTGATGATGATGATAATGTAGACGCGGCTGGGACTGCTGGTTGTGGCTGTCTCTTTGACTCTTCCATTTTGGTAGTGGGTGATTAGTTAGACACCTGGGCTATCTCCTGGTTGGAACAATGATCTGGTATGGTAAAAGTCCAGGGCTCGTTGTATGGCTAAAAAAGTAAATCAGGAAGCGAGTTGGAGGAATTAATGATTGATTTTGTTTGAGTGTCCATCAATATCCGGTCGTGGATGTGGACTAGATTGGTCGGCGAACTGGTGTAGATCTGGGTTCGGTGTTCGATAAAGTTGATTTCATTGCCGGCCGGTGGACAATCAGCCGGAGCTCCGTCTTGTCGCTGGTGGCGTTTCTTCCATGTCGAGAATAAACGGAGTTGAGGCCCGTGCGTTTTCGAGCCAACCATTTTTACCGGAAGTCTCCGAGCCATAATGTCTTAGACCTTGCCTTTTTCCCTTATCACAAGAACGAACTCAAACAGTTAGCCCAACCACTACCCCTGATGGACAGGACAACTTGAGGATGTTACATGATATGTACTATCTGTATGAACCGGATCCGATACCCGGGAAAGCGCTACTAACAAAGGCTACTCTTGTCTTTAAGGAACCGCGACTACCTCCCTGATCCACTAAGCGACAAACAACGTATTGAACATCCCGATATTCTAACAAGCAAAAGGGTCCGAAACAGAGACCATGCTGGAATATCTTTCCCACCTATACCTCGGGATGGTAAGCCTGCTATTTCTCGAAGCCTTCCCGTAAACATCCCACAATGCCCTTTTCAGCGCCCCCATGAGCCAGAGCCGTGCGTCTGATTCGCAGAACGCCGTCGGTGCGCAATGCCCACGTGTAGTGATCATGGCTCCCATAGCTCCAAGCCCTGCGGAATGGCTAGATCTAAATGGCCCCTGAATTCTATTCCGATTCGCGTCTTCTAGACTGCTGTACCTTTTGTTTTCCTCCCGCGCCCTGACATCTCGACCTACTCGCCCGGAGGAGTGCCATACTGTTGTGTCGCCGAAGCTGTTCCAACGTAGGCAGGCAGGCAGGCAGGCATGCTTGCCGTCGTCGCCCAAGAAAAGCGCCAGATACGAGCACGGCAAACCAGAGGGAAGTGTTGTGAATCATCCTGAATCCCACTATTCGTCATCTGGCTGGAAGAAGCCGTGTGTTTCGTTCAACATCATGTCCGCCAGCACGTTTTTGTCGTTCCTGGCTGTCTTGAGGGCAGCCTGAATCTTCTCCAGGCAAACTTGTTCGTTGGGCTCCGCAGCTCCATCGACAGTGAGCTTGTGACCGTATTGTTGGATGATTTGGCACGAATCCCTGATCTTGTTGAAACCGAGGGTGGCTGAAGAACCCTTCAAGAAATGGCCCAGACTCGACAGCGTCTCGAGCCTCTTGCCGTTGTCGAGCTTCTCATTGTTCCTGATCAAGCAACCCTCGTATTAGCTCCGGGGGTCCTCTAGAAGCATCAAGTCAAGCTCGCACAGCATGAGAGGCGCCGAAAGAGGACAGTACGGCCCTGATCCGGCCCAGAGCACTTACAAAACCTCCTCAATCTTGACAAAGGTCTCCTCAGCTTGGTCAAAGAAGTTGGTGACCAAGGACTTGCTGAACTCGCGCTTGTCGTCATCGTCCATCTCTAGGATCTGTTCAAAGATCCCATTGTCGACGTGCTCTCCGAAATCCGGCATTATGTCTTGATCTTCCTGTGTATTTGCGCTCGTGGTTAGTTGCAGATCGGAAAGAGGAGTAGACCCAAAGCTGCACCATGTCGACGAACCCTATCGTCATCGTAATGTGAATGCATGGTGGGCTGCGGAAACCGAATGCAATGCAAAGCGCGTTGACGTAATGGAACCAGAGAAAAAAAAAAGTTTGGGAGAGGAGTTCAACCCGGACAAGACCGGATAGGGGGGAGGGGAGGGGGGAATGGGGGGGAAAGGGAGGGCCTTATTTTCTTCTTTCTTCTCACCCCGAGCTGAAAAGTGCTCGCGACTCGTGTGTGAACACACCAAGGTGGAAATTGTGCATGTGTGTAATGTAATGCCTGGGGACTGTATGTGGCACGAACCTTGTGAAGAGGGGACCCGGGCGTCTGCTGATCTGGAACGGGGAGGGATCGGGGGCGCGGGGAAGATGCAGAATACAGAAATGCAGATGGAGAAGAGGCTCGAAGAGGGAAGGCTTACACGACGGGGTCGAGGTCAGTTTCGAGGTACAATGGAAACTGAAGAGACAGCACGGTGACGAAGATGATGGGAGTGCGGATGTTTTGTCGAAAACGGGCGGCGTCACACAGGAGAAACTTACATGTACAGGCCGTCAAAGGGACGGCGAGCGGGCTGGACAAGAGGCGGGCGGCGTCTGACGGACGGACTAGCGACAGCAGATTGCGAGAGGAGACGGCGTTGACAGGGGTGAGATTTTCGAGATTCTTATTTGCGCGCGTCACCGGAGACAGCGAGGAGGTGCGGAGTGAGGGTGGGGCCCAGCTTCTTAGTATAACGGCGACAAGCACACTGAGGTGGAAGAAGGGTTCAGAGCAGATGCTGGAAAAGGCAGCACCAGAAAAAAATAAGAGGGTCACTTTTTTGACGGAGGCGACGAGAACCCGTTCAGCGGCTAGGTCCTGGGCGACGATCCCACCGGAACGCAGACCAATGGGCAACAACGGGCAGGGCAACGAGGGCAACGGCGGGGGTACACTTGGGAGGGGCTTTGGCTTTGTCGTCGGACAACAACGGGCAGTCAGTTGGAGGTTGATGAGGCAACACAGCCTTGACGTTTCTGGGTTAAATATGTCAGAATGTTTCGAGGGGCGTGGTCGATGTTGATGTTGATGTTGATGTTGGATTGGATTGGTGGTGGTGAGCAGGTTGGGAAAGGTCAGAGGCAGAGAGAAAGTGTGCTCAATGACGAACGAGGTGACGGGAAGTGCTTGGTCTTGAGGGTTCAATGTGACGTTGGGTTGAATAGAGGAACTCGCACAGGAACCTGAAAAGGGCACGGGCAGTCAACAGCTGAGGTGCTGAGGTTGGGTCAGAAGAGACGGAGATGGACCTGATACCATATGCCTGGCGTGGGAGATGGGCAGCATGCCCGGACAACCTCAACGAGACGGAAGATGATGAAGAAAAAGCGAAAAAGGGTCCTCCTTCCCAGGGCAGCAAGACCCTCCTCCCGTCATGCCTCGAGGTTCTAACTGCAAAATGTTTAGCTTTACCCCTCGCATGGTCGCGTGGTGGGTTTGGCCCAGAGGTTCCAGGTTCCGTGTGGAATTCTGGCGCCGGTGGGGTGGAGCGCCTAGTCGGGCTCCCTGGTACACTACGGACCACGCAGGGCAGCCACGGTACCTCAAAGGTACAACCAAAAGGCACAGATTGAATTGTATAGGTACTTTTACGTATTAAGACCACTGCAGTAATACCTACCTCTATATATCGCGTGCCTCGAGTATGATGACGCCCTATGATAGGTATCGGGCTTTGTCAAACTTCCTAGCCGCTGGCGCCGAGCTGAACCACCTGAACGATCTGACTCAACTGCAAAACGATGATCAAAGACTGCGAGGTTGTCACTAGACACTGAGGTATCGGAATTGATGGTTCATTGGCGATTAAGAAAGGGAAAACGATGAAAGATCCAGAATGGAGGGACCCCGAAATGATACGTCAGTTCCTGGTAGCCTTTCCTGCAGTGGCAGAAGCAGGGGAAGTGGAAGGATGAAAAGGAACAATGAAAAGAGCAGCAGGTTGCTTCCACATCGTTACCCCAATTTCAATGTTAGCAATTTCGGGTACATTGCACGCATTTCACTAACTGACTCGGGCCAATCTCGACGCTAAGTACCTGTAGTATGTACACACTCACACAGCCAGCTCGTGTGAGCTGCCGCTTACATAGAAGGATGGTAGGTACCTACCTCTGTCCTCAGCTACTTCCAAGCTCCAAAAATGGGTGCCACAAATGTCTTAGTTGTGAGTTCAGGGGTCCCAAGTGGTAGGTTGATTGCACATCTCACATGGCGGCGTTGGGCGCCGTCAAAAACAAGGCATAACATTTTCCATCTCCTTCTTTACTGTGCAAGTCAGGCCACATTTGCAGGAACCATTGAGAAAAAAGTAGGATAGCGGCTTGTCCTTTTTTTCGTAATAGAGTTCGGACCCTCGGTGCCCTTTTGCCCTGGCCACGAGTCCCAAAAATCCAATTCGTCCGCAACATGACTCCCATTCCGTTTTCGGGTGGCACTTTAAAGTGCTTGGTGGCAGGCTGGTCGTGTGCTGGTGAACAGGCTGTCGATTATTGCAACGTGGGACAGCCTTGGGGGAGATGAAGATCTTGATGGACGCCGAACCGCCGCCGGTACTTCCTTCTCCCAGTCACGACGTGATCGGAATTAGGACGCTACGTTACTTCACCTTGAGATCTTGGGAAACTTGCCAACAGACTTGCTCAACCTGCTGGACGATTTTCCTTCTGCTGTTGGTACTGTTTGCGGCTTCCATGGGGCCATACCATATAGAGTGGTCGAACGTGCAAAAACTCGGCTGTGTGCCACAATTTGTTTCTCGGTTGATAGCGGTATCCTCAGCTACCTGTGTTCATTGTCCACTTTGCCAAGTCAACAGACGCTATCACATCGCACAACGAGACATGCCCACAACACAAGCTTTGGCGGCCATTTGATAGTCTTGTAACATCCCATAATAACGCCGATAAAGATAATGATGGGACCGAAGCATCAATCTGAACAATGTATTGTGTGAATTCATGTACCTTCTCGCTCGCACCTTGCAACTCAAGCCAAACCAAGAACTTACCTCTAGGTACCCAAGATTTCGATGACACATTCTTCCAACCGCTACATCAAATTCACTATATCCCGACACAATACTGACCAGAGCAAAAAGTCCCATTGTGGCGCGCTGAATATACTAGCTCAATCCGTTTTTCAATGTAGTGAATTTCCGTAAAGTTGTGCTAATTCCTCGAAAATCAAAATAGAAAAAAAAAAAAAAAATCAATAAAGAAAAACGACTAGGGGATACTCGTCATCTACATAGTATGTACTGCGTATAAAACCAACCGTCTGACTACCGTACTGCTTTTTGAGTCGATATGGTTTTACTCAACCAATCCTGTCACTGGATCGTTCCCAAGGAAACCTGCTGCGACCCCCATCGCTCACCAGCAGATTGGTCGAAGCCCTTATTATGTAGGTCAGATGTTCCTGGCGCTTTACCTAGTTTGACTGAATCAACATCGAGTGAAAATCAAGCCGTGCTTCACCCAAACACAGATGCAGCCGATGTGAGTTGGGTTTCGCGCATCCAAACCCAAGTTCATCTTACATATTCACAATGGAGGGAACCTTCACCGGCGAGATGGCGGGAAGCCGGGGGTGGGAACGAAGAGCGCACAGTTCCTGTGTTTCGGGAGATAAGGGAGGAGCACCGGGGCCGCTGCCGGGACCGGGACAAGGACCGGGCCGGTAGCTGGCGACTGCGTATAGTACCGATCTCCTTTTGGAACATAGACCCGACATCAAACTTTCAGCTTGGTGCAATTCCCGTTAGTGCAGCGTCACGAACGTAGCCCCGGATGCCCACATACCCTACCTACCCTCAGCCATCTAACAAACTGGGCCTCATCGCCGCTCAACGCAGGGTCCATACCTCGTTTTCACTGTTACACACCTCCATGCCGCACACCCACCCTGCCACTTTGTCCAAGCACGTTAACCTTTAGCAAAGAATGAGTTTAGACAAGAATCTGTGACCTCAAAACGTCCTTCACAATGCCGTGGATGCTTTCGCCGAATCTTCCCGATGTCTCACGGTTTGAGTGAAACAAGAGTTGAAGTGTCGAACTAGTATGCTACGAGAACCGAGGGGATGCAGCTTCATCCAGCTTGTTAAAAGCGACTGTACTGGACGTGGGATCAGTCCCGTCAGTGCAAGGGAACTATAGTACATAGCATGTGGAGCCATACAAATCGCAGGCCGGCCGAGCCAAGAACCCAAGCTTGGCATCAAACAACCACCAGAATTAAGACCGCGAAAACAACGCTCAAAACTCAGCATTTTCGACCGACAAAGATGATTTCAAGAAGGAGGAGAAGCCTCTCGCCGGCTCTCCGCAACCCCGGAGCTAATCCTAACCTCTCCATAGCTTGGCGTCTTGCCTGCTTGCCCGGGTGCTTGTCTTCACACAGTCGTCTTGACGCATACCAGTGTAAGTCGGAGTCTCAGGATAGGTGACGGGACGATGGACCTCCGTTGCCTGACCCAAACACCACCAACCACTGCATCACCAATCCACAGCACAACGAAGTCCCTCAAAGACAATCACTACACATTATAATCCCTTCAACGATGAAAAGGGCCATCTTTGCCAAGAATCACAAGTGGCTAGTCGGATGGCCTCCCTCTATCCACCTGTACATCTGTGCCCTGCAAATATACCTATTGACGATACTAACTTTTGCAGCATTTTGTCACTGCAGGGGATGTCGTGAGCTGGTACGGAGAGGCCAGGGGTGTAGTTGACGAATGGCCACGCCTGAAGCTGCTGCATCAACAAGTCGCCAAGTAGCTCTACAAGTCTCTCTCTGCAAGAATGGTCCCTTTTCACCGTCAAAGGAATTCTCACGCATGCTTTGCGCTGGCGGGGATGACCTTGCGGACGGAACTGACGGTATACAATCCTAGTAAGAGACGATAGCTGCACTACACCATCCGGAAGCGTTTCTTTTTCGTTCCATCCGCTATGCTGCGAAAGGCTTGAAACCTTTGCGATAGTAAGGCTTCCTGTCCCTTCCCTTCCGCTCCCGCTGCCACCCGACCCGACGCTATGACAGGCGCACACACAAGATCTCGTTTTGGATCAATAAAAGCCAACTTCACCTACTATAGCTGGTGTTCCAGCGCCGGAAGAAAAGGAATTAGTCAAAGAAAAAAAATGGGATGAGATGAGGGGTCCAACATGGGATTCAACCCCACCATCAAAGGCACTCCACCTACCCCTCCGTGAATCCCCACTAAATCCATCGTGCGCGAAATCTGGCGGTGATGAGCCAGTCAAACGCTGGGATGCAATTGGCGGTTCTCTCATGCATCCTGTCGTTGCCCAGGGTGAGGTGGGGCTTCCCGTGGCCCATCGTACCCACCCCGGTGAACGTTGTCTTTTTTTCCTCCCCGACGTCATTCCGCCTCTTGACGGAGCATTGGCGTCATTGGTGGCACCGCTTATGCATGGACCCTTAGCATAACCTTCTGTTGGTTTGGCGTCCCGCTAAACCAATAACCCCTTGGGCGACTCGACCAAAACGGTCCGAGCTTTGCCGCTCACCGTCCAATTGGACTTCCGTTTTGGCAGCTCGTCCAATCACAGCCCGCTGTGCAAGGAAGGAACGACTTAACGTCCTGAGCCTTCCACTTCCAAGTGGAAGTCACGATGACCTCTAGGTATGCCTTCCAAGTTGTGGGCTGTGCCTTCCAAGTTAGCTGGCCTGGGAAATTGAATATAATAACAAAAAGGTAATTCAGCAAATAACTGAACTTTGCTGTTGCTTGGAATCTCCATGTTCATTCTGCACCATGTCAACTTTCTCCCAAAATTCGCCAACCAAAAGACGAACAACTCTGGTTTCGCTTCATCCCTAACCACCACCAATCTTCAACAGCGAAACTCGTGCGTGCGTGCGTTTCACCTGACTCAAGCGTCGACCCGACATCATCCACCGTGACAGACATCAACGGAGCTTTAATTGTTCTTTCGTGGTCTAGACCTCGCCGACCGGGTTCCGGCACAGCACGATGACGGTTTATGGGCACTCAGCTTACACCATCTTGGAAAGTCCGGCGAGGATCATGTTTCTCTGGCAAGTTCATGCCCATTTCCGGCCTCGCAACAAACCGACGGATCACACGCCCTGACGCCCGAACCGACACCTTGTGTCCATCGCCCATCCTGCCAACCGCCCGTTGTGGGACCCTACTACGGCTCTCGTCGCTCCCATGGATTGGATGAAGGATCATCATCATCGTGGCCGACCTCGTCAGTTACGGAGCACAGTACCTACGGTGCAGACTCGGCTTTGCAGTGTATCACCCACAGCGTCTTGCTACGAGTCAAAGACGTTATTCTCATTCCCAGCCCAAACTTGAGTGGCGGAGAAGAAGCAAGACCTTTTTACACTACACGGGCCTCATGCGCTGAGCCAGCACAGTATCCGATAGTTACAGCTCTTGGCCAACCGCCCCTTCGGTTAATGAGACCCGCAAGGGAAAGCCTATCGGCTCCAAGGCTCTCGCGTAGGGCTGCTAGAGTGTGCTTCAGGAAATGCTCTACACTACCAGTGCCGCGCCAAGGAGAGATACCTCACAGACATTTATGAGACGGAACGGGAATGACATCACAAATGGCATCATGCTGCAACTACTCGGGATTTGGGGTGAGAAGGTTTTGTCGACTGGCATGAGGCGAGTGTCACTCCATCCACTGTTTGGTGTCCCTTTCCTTTCCCATTCCGATATATATTTAACTCGGTTTTGTCCTAATCTCTACGGCTAGCTAGGACGTGCAGCACAGGCAGAGAGTTTTTTTCCAACCATTCTGCGGGAGCCGGAGCTGTCGCCGAGAAAGAAAACGGTCCGGGGTACCCCGTCGGGATGCTTGTATCGGATCGTATCCTGCTAAGCACTGGCTATATTGCCGTCACAGGTCATGAGGCACTAAGCATCGGAGGCGGCCATAAGCTCCGCCCACCCCGTTTGGCGGGGAATGCGTTAACACGGTAGCTGACATCCCCCCAGTCTCCAGGCGCCGTTCAAGGCCTCGTCGGCGGTGGGCAAGGGATTTGAGATTGGTAGCAGCCTTAGCCTGCCTAGCCGGAATTCGGTCTGTCGCGTCGTGGGATAAGCACAATTCCATCATTGCCAAGTCCGCGACAAGGGGCCAGTGGAGAGAGGGATACAAAACCCAAAAGCCACCGAGAGATATGTTAACAGCCAGCCTGTCCAGTGGCTAGTCGCCGATAGATTTCGACAAGTCGAATAGCCTACGTTACAGACACACAAACTCAAAACACTTTGCGTTCGAGAAGAGGGGAAGGGTGAAGCGGTCCACAATCCCGCGACCAACCTGCATGCATAGCAACACACACACATGCATAGTAACACCTTGTTCCGAAGAAAAAAAACCTGTTTTTACCCTCCGAGCCTCCTCATCCGGATCCAGCTGGGCAGCAATCACAATCACGCTCTCTCCACATTTGCCGGGGGGGGAAGGGGAGCACAAAAACCGAAGAGAAGGAGCATATGGACCGGACGGAAGAGGAGCCAAGGAGAGCAAACTCGGCAAGGTAGGTGAACGGCAGTACGGCACGCCGTTTCTAGTCGAGGAAGACAACCGAGACAGGACCCACGGAGACAGGAAAGGTAAACGGTAGGTTCGGCAGATTGCGATCAAGATAACGGAGGTACGTCAGTTGAAGGAATGCTAAACACAGCTGGTCGGGACTATACAAAGTGAGAGCGCGGCCTCACGAGCTGAAAAGCCTCATGGAATGGGGACAAGAGATCTGAAGGGCAAACAGAGAGAAGCTGTTGTTTGCTGGGAAACCTTGGTACTACAAATATCAAGGCCTTGAGAAGAACGCCAAAAGGAAGGAAAAAGCCACGGGCGACTTATCACGGTAAGAAAACCGAGCGCCTCTTTTCTCATTATATCAAAGGATGGTCAGGATAGACCGGAACAAAAATGGTTTTCCAGCAAGGAATCGGTAGCAGAAGAGCTGAACATGCACTTACATCGACAAGTGAGTAAGGTGGTGATTGGGAGCAATACTTGGAAAGAAAAGCAGCCCATGCTATAGGCCGTGACCTGGAGCACTTTGTTCACAGCCGTGCCTCCTAGCCCACCACGGCCGGGCCGTTCAACAAGGCGCTCATCACCATGTCAGCCTCTCCATAGTATAAATCCAGTGGGGACGACTCCACGAGCTACCGAACAAAAGCTAAGTAAACCACTCCACGGTCTGGCTCAGTTATCGCAAGCCCACACTTGACGGAATACAAGACCACCAGGAAAGCTGCCCAAGCCCCTTATCTGAGTCAAGGGAAGAGACGAACTAGCATGGTTGATCAGACAGGTGATTGACAAATCCATATAGTGTAGCAATAAGAGGAGTGATGAAAATCCGGCCCGCGGCCTGGAAACAAAAATTGTGTATAATGTAGATAAATGTCAAAGCTACTATGAAGCCATGGCGACGATCATGACATAACACCCAGACCCCTGGACCAAACTGCGCAGTCGATCAGTATCGGCGTTCCTGGTGTAGATCGGAGGGATGATCTTGAGTGGTGGGTCAAGCCTACTTACGTAGGCAGGGTAGGTATGGGGAGGTGAACATCGACGACAACAAGGTGAGATCTTTAGAAAAAAGTTTTGAGGAGGGCCACCACAGCTTGTGAAATCCCTCACTACATACACTACACAGTACGGTCTTATCGATGTAACACTAAACTTTTCTTTCTTTCATGTATTGGATTCCGAATGCCCTCAACCCATCTCACTACATAGTGTACGAGCCAGGACCGTGATGAGCCCAGAACCGAGAATGGGGATCCCTACATACTCCGAAACCGGAATCTTGGCTCATATCGATCCATACCATACCATATACATACCCGTTGTGTCATGACATACCTACTTACAACATTCAAATATATACATTACATATATTACATACATACTATAAACCATTCATCAAAGCGAACGCGCAGCGCAGCAGAGCAGTCTATAGACAAGCAGGTTTAGTTTTACACTACCTAGCCAAAGTCTTAGGCGTCGCTATTGTTACCTACCTATCCAGCAGTATAAACTACAAGGTAAGTATCCACCGTTCTGTAGTGTAGTGTATAGTATCCAGATTCTCTATAACAGCACTACTACCACTGCTGCTCTCTGCTCTCCGCCGCCTTCCTTCTTCCTTACCTAACCTGGAAATACATGGTAGACTGAGTACCTAGACTAAGTAGAACTACTATACTACCCTACGGTAGGAAGCAGGGTCAGTGACGAGAACGTGTTGACATGGATCTAGACATGGACATAATCATGGACACAAAAAAAGAAAAAAGCACAGCTAGGTACCTACCTACCTACGTGCCGTGTATCTTCTGCACTTGGACTCTGCTGGTTAAGATAAAAGATGATTGACTAGTTAGATGGAGGGAGGGAGGATGGCTGATTCTGATATACATATATATATGTATCAAAAGGAGAAAGGGGATACAGAACATGCGTGATATCAAACTCAAGCTGATAGGAACCACATGGTTTCGATTTGACTGATGGTTAAGCTGGATGGCTGACAGTACCTTTTTACTCCAGGGAGAGATGACGTGGTTATTATTGATTTACTGGCTTGGATGTAGTTTGTTCCTGCTTAGAGTGTTTTTCCACAAGTGGTGGAGGGAATTGTGGTTGAGAAGAGGATGTATAGGTATATAGATATATGTATATCAAAAGGGCAGAGGCTACCTCGATTGTGAAATATTGTGCTTGTGTTGTGGACTATGTACAGCCAGCCAGTCCCTTGACAAAAATAGTTCTAGAGTCAGGACTAGGTGGCGACTAGGCGTAGTGTAGCCGAAGAGTATCTACTCTAGTTACCTCTAACCTTTTTAGTATCATGTACGTTCTTCTAGCCCTGTCTCCCCCTTGATTGATGGCGGAAATGAAGGGACCTAAACCACAGCTAACGTAGATGATTCAATGTAATGATGGTTGATAGGTAGACCCTTTGTCCAGAGATATTTGTGAATATAGGGTCATCATTCATAATAACCGATATGGGCGAAACTGTTTGTATAGGTACGTGATTCGTATTTTCGAAAGGACAACCGTGACCTGATCAAGTCATGAGATGACAAAGTAAACAAAACCCCCTATATACACATGGAAGAACAAAACCAAGCAAACCGCCAACCCAAACTCCATTTCCCGCTTTGTATTCCTAACTTCTGTCTCTGTGGATTTCAAACCCATATCTTGGTCCATCAGAAAATGACCTTGGAAGCAACAGTCAACAACCAAGCAGCATCATGCCACGTCCCACCCTCCTCCTTGGGCGGGGGCACCCGCTCATCCACCAGCTTGGACAACTGCGCATCTTCAAACCGCCTCTGGTCCTTCCTCTGCTTCTCATGCGGCCTCCTCCTTTCCTCACTCGACGAGTCTGTCTCGGTCGTCGAGCCACCGTCATCTTCCGTCAACTGTCCCTCCGAGTGTTGTCTGCTACTGCCATACGCCAGATGACCGTCGTCATCGTCATCGCGGTCAGAGTCTGAGGAATCCTCCTCGTCGTCCTCCTCCTCTACGGCAAACAGCTGTACACCCAGCACGCGCCCGAACCAGGAGCCGATGTTGCGGTCCTTGACTAGGCGGCGGACGGCGATTTCGTCCTCAATGATGGAGGACGCGGCGTCACTGTCGAGCAGCAGTTGTTCCTGGTTGTAGTGGGCCATTTCGAGCTTCTCGTCGAGGTTAACAAAGTCCGGACCAGGCCCGTTGTTGTCCTCGTCGTCCTCTTCCGTTATGCCCACCTCGTGGTGATGATGATTGTTGTTGTTGTTGTTGTTGTTGTGCACGCCGTGGTGGTGGAAGTAGCCGGCGCCGTGCTCGAAAGCGTGACGCTCGTTGGGGGTGCGGGCGAGCTGGGTTCGGCTGTGGGAGCGGCTGCCCAGACGGCTGTGGATGGGTGAGGCGGTGGTGTAATACTCGTCGTCGATCATGTTGGTGTTGTAGCCGGTGTTGATTACCATGCTACCTCGTCGCGAGGCATTGCGGCTGGCGGCTCGACTGGCATTGCGAGAGACGGCGTTGGCAGCGGTGTTTTGAAGGAGCAGTTCACGCTCGCGGGCAAGCTCTCGCTCAAAGGCCTCCTCTTCGGCATTGTGCAGGCCGGTCAGGGAGGTTGAGCTGGCGCGAGAGACGAGCCATGATTGACCTTTAGACTCGCGGGTCTCGGTAGAGATGAGGGCACCGGCGCGGAGGAGCCAGTCGGATAAGTTGCGTTCGTTCTCGGCAGCGACAGCAGCGGCACTTCGGCGCTTGTGTGTGGGGGAAGCGGCGCCGCTCTTGCTGCCGAGATGGGTGGTGGACTTGGACTTGGGTAGTCTGGCGGCCGGAGCAGACTTGCCGCGGGAGTGGTTCATACCGGTGCCGGTCATGGTAGCGGCGCGGGCGGGGTGGGGACCGGGCGAATGAGAGATCAGACGAGGAGTAGTTGGGGCAGATTTGCCCGCGAGGTAGGAAGTGCTGTGAGGTACGTGCTCGAACTGCTGGTGGTACTGCTCCAGGAAGTCATCATTGTCGATGGGGAGCTTTGGGGTCAAGGGAGCAAGGGAGAGGTAGTTGAGGTTTGTTGAGGACCGGTTTTTGCGCCGGGCGGCGTTCGAGTGTTGGTTGTAAGCCACGTCCATGATGAGTGATGACGGTATGTAGTATGGATTCAGTTCACTCCCTGGAATGGGTATGGGTATAGTTGGAAGCAATTGATGGATGTACAAGTTGACAGGGACAGTCCGGGGTACATTAACAAGATAAGAAGAATCCGGGGAAGCTGGTGATTCAGATCGATAGCTAGCCAGCGGTGTAACCTCCCGCAATTGGTGTATGATTTGACGTATGGATGCGGCGCGCGGGGATGCGGGACAGGAACGACGCTCCCCAAGCTATTATCAAGCCAGGTTGATCCCCAAAGATCAGACAGAGATCCTAGATAGCAAAGATGTACGTAAGATGCAGCAGAGAAGAGGCCCGTCCGCGATGTGTCGGCCGGTGGTTGGGTATGAATATCAGATTGGACTGGTCGAGTTTGGACGATGGCCGTGTTGGGCCAGGTGCAGATATGTATGTACTAGCAGCACACAGGATGGATGGTCGGGTGCAATGCTCCGACCGACGTGTAAAGCCGAGTTCGTCCCGGTCGGTTTCGCCTCGTTCTTCGCGTTCTCGCTTGATGGGTTTTGATACTACTGGTTGTAGTCGTCAAAGTAGGGGAGAGGGAGAGTCTACGATGGAGCAATGATGTGACAGATGGACAGAGAGGGTTCAGTGATGAACGAATGGATGTGGAATTGCCTTGTTTATTTATTTGTTTCTTTTTGTTACAAACGATAATACAATTACTCCGCATCGTTCTGTTCCCTCCCGTCTTGGTTTGGTTTGGTTCGATGGTCGTTCGTTTTTGTTGGGTCGCTCTCCCTTTTTTGGTGGTGCAATAAGGTGGTTGAGGCAGGCAAATGGAGCGAAGCGGCAGACCGCGATGCTCTGCGATTGGCCAGACTTGAGCCGTAGTGGCGCCACAGTCTTGTCAAAGCTTCTGGACCTCGCCCAGCTGCACACACTTATATGACCTTGATTGAAGTACCGAGTACATGACAGCCGCACCATAGCATGCAGCATGCCAACGTACCCAGATACATACGGCAGACGTTTTCCTCCTCTCTCCCAAGCCCACAAATCTGAGACTGGAGCAGCATCTCCCTTGGTGTTCCTGCTGTTGTGACACTCGACGAACACTGCTATCAGTGACTGTCATGACTGTTCCTGGCTACCGGTGTATATCAATTTGCATATCCAGGGCATTCAACGGCGCCTGCCTGTAGCACTGCAGAAGCCCTCTTCCGATATCAGATGTTTTTCGGCCAGCTCCTGTTTCTGCAAACTGGATTTACTGTCGTCTTCTGCGTCCTCAATACTACCACGGTCAAAACCCCATCGCTCGATCGAGCATCCATTCTCAAGTACGAACCCTTTAGTTGCATGGGTTCAGCGCAATTCGACCAACTAAGACCAAACCCCGGATTTGCCTACTGCCCGTGCCCAGAGAAGACCAAGTACATACCAGATCCCCGCCGCAACAGGCGCCTTCTCGACTGCGATTCGTCCAATCATCAGTCAATTGAAGGAGTCAAGGAGGGGCGAAAAAAGTGCGAAGAAATCCTGCAAGCAAGTCAGGAAACTGCAACTCCGAACCAAAAGAAACAATCAGGCAACTGCAACTGAAAAACACAACACAGGGGAAAAAAAAAAAAAAAAAAAAGAGGGGCAATTAGACCCTTCCACATTCAAGCGGCTGCTGCAAAGAAACATCGACAACCTGAACCCCTCTTTTCACCTCTAGTCTTGGAAGGTGACAGGGCTGCCAGCGTCTAACTGGTCTATCAAACTGATTTGTGAGACCGAGTTCACCACTCAGAGTCAACGTCTTTGAGACATTTCAAAGGGTTCATATTCAACTGGTAGGTACTGGGTCTCTTTTACTCCCCTCTACATTTCTTCGTTTGCTTATTGATTCGCTACACCACACACACAACACACGTCGTGAGAGAAGCGGGGGCTGTTGATGAGACCAACCGTCAAGCCTCACCTTGCAGAACATACACTGCTCATACGCTTGTTCATCCTGCCCTTACATACTTCCATGTACTTCAACTCAATGTGATGCAAAAGTTTTGGGATATTTTCCCTTCACATGTAATTGCCACTCAACCATTTTCGTGTCAGTTTTTTGTTTTCATTTTCACAGTCTGAAATGGGCTTGTCGTCGGGCAGTCTTTGAGCCGCCGAAAGTTTCCGACAATACCACCAAATACAGACCCTCTTACACGATCTCAGATCTCCAAAATCTCTGACTTTACCTTTTTCCCTTTTAGTCGAACCACATATCCGTTCATGCATCACCACCAAGGCTGGCCTTGAATCTCACACTAGTCTCGATACAACCTCTAGGTACCCCATCTGCCCATCCAGTAAAGACCGAAACGACTCCTACCCTCACCTCAGCCCAGCTGTCTTGAAAGCAGCTTTGTGTAGGTAGAGAATAGGCGTTGCCTGACACACATATCGGCCAGCTGCAATGCGGAATCTGCGCAACATCGGGCACGGCGCATACAGGCCGGGTCAAGAACAGCCCCTGCCCTCCAACTCCATCTCGGCTTCCTGCTGGGACGTATCCCGCGATGAGATCATCCTTGCTCATGGCCCTACCCAAGACTTTTCCCGAGTCGAGCTGGTGAGGCTCGTAAAGGACTCTTCTGAACCTTCGAACCTGTAAGACCTTCTTCACATACCACATGATGATGATTACCGTGCTCGTATTTTTTTCTTTCTTCTTCTTCTTTTGTTTGGATATTGTAGTTCAGTCATTTCATGGATAGAAACACTAGCTAAGCCTCCGTTCCAATCTTCTGTAGTGATACCAAACTTGTAGCATCATGGGATGCCGCGCCTGTCCTCAGACAGAATGGCTCGGAACCAGAGCCAGACACCATCAAGAGCCTGCACTACTTCCCCGACACCCTCACAACATGCGTCATCATGGCCGGCGGTGACATTATCACCGTTGTCGAGGACGACTACGGCGTCCCTGGCGAGGCTCACGTTGAGATAGTCGGCACCCTAGAGCCCTCCGTCGCCGGTGCTCGCTGGTCCCCCGACGAAGAACTCCTCATCGTAGCCACCGGCGACGCCAAAGTCCTCTTCATGAGCCGCACCTTCGACGTCATCACCTCCGCCACCATGACCGAAGACGACCTCAAGCTCTCCAAGCACGTCTCCGTCGGATGGGGTAAGAAGGAGACGCAGTTCCAGGGCAGGGGCGCCAAGGCCAAGGCTCTTAGGGATCCTACCATCCCGGAGAAGGTGGACGAGGGCAGACTTAGCGCCAACGACAATCTCCAAAAATGCAGTATCAGCTGGCGGGGTGACGGCGCCTATGTGGCTGTCAACTTCTTCTCTCAAGAGACCGGCGGCCGCAGAGTAATCCGCGTGTACAACCGTGACGGCGAGCTGGACAGCGTCAGCGAGCCGGTCGATGGTCTGGAGGGCAGTCTCAGCTGGCGGCCCGAGGGTAACCTCATGGCTGGCATCCAACGGTTCTCCGATCATGTCGATGTCGTCTTCTTTGAGAGAAACGGTCTCAGACATGGGCAGTTTACCCTCCAGATTCCTCAGGACCGGCCCGAGGTTGCTGAGGACTTGGCGCTCGAGTGGAATTCGGACTCGACTGTTCTCGCTGTCATCATGAGAGATAGGGTTCAGCTGTATACCATGGGCAACTATCACTGGTATTTGAAGCAGGAGCTTCCTTGTGCGGAGTACGCCCAGCTCGCGTCGCAATTCCAGGGTGAAAGCCGCTGGACACTCCCTTGGTTCTCGTGGCACGCGGAGAAGCCGCTTCTTTTTGCTGTAGGCGCTGCGGGTATGTACACCAAAGCATCTAATCAAGCATCTCTGTTCACAGGCAGGCTAACGACTCCACAGAAAGAGCGGTATGGTTCGAATTTGTCTTGGCCATTGCCCGTGGCCCCATGTACGGCGGTATGGGAGATGTTGCAGTCATTGACGGACGCACCATCAAGTTCACTCCTTTCCAAACGGCCAATGTTCCTCCCCCCATGGCTCTTTACGACATTGAGGTGGACTACCCTGTAACGGACATTGCCTTCTCCAAAGATGCTTCTCAGATGGCTGTCTTGCACCAAAAGGGCATGCACCTCTTTGCCCTTGAGAAGCAGGGCCCTACTGGTCGCCGTGCCGCTCCGAAGCTGATCAAGACTATCTCGCTTGACAACTTCGAGAACAAGTGTCAGCTACAGATCGCCTTCGCGGCTCCTTCCCAGGTTCAAGTACTCTCGTTGGATGATTTCCAGCTACAGATCACCGCCTGGGACTTTAACGAAGAGCTGATGCTTGGTGAAGTTGGCACTGGTTTGCAGGCTGTCACTCTTACTTCTGCTGATGAAACATCGGTCGAGGATGGCACAGTCGTTCAGGATCGCCAGGGCAACATCACCCGCGTTTCTGTGGAAAAGGGCGAGACTGTGCTGGGCAAGTTTCCTACTCTCCTCCCATGGGCCACCTACACAACCTACGAAGACCAGTTCATCGCTTTTGGTCTGTCTAGGAATGGTCATCTTTACGCCAACTCTCGTCAGCTGGTCAAGAATTGCACATCCTTTGTCGTCACGGACAAGCATCTTATCTACACTACCAGCAATCACTTTGTCAAGTTTATCCACCTGACGGCCAATGTTGAAGAACTCGACGTGCCGCTGGATGACCCCGAGACCGATGAGCGTTGCAGAAGCATTGAGCGCGGAGGTCGCCTCGTCACGGCTATGCCTTCCGGGATGAGCATCGTACTTCAGATGCCTCGCGGTAATCTCGAGACCATCTATCCACGTGCCATGGTCCTGGCTGGTATCAGACAACTAGTCGAGCAGAAGGAGTACGGTGCTGCCTTTACCACATGCCGCACCCAGCGTGTGGACATGAACCTGCTTTACGATCATCGCCCTGAGCAGTTCCTCGAGAACGTTGGTCTCTTCCTCGACCAAGTCAAGAACGCAGCCGACATTGACCTCTTCCTGTCCACCCTCAAGGAGGAAGATGTCACGCAAACCATGTACCGCAACACCAAGGCTGGCGTCGCCACAGCCTCTACTCAGCCAGCCCTGACCACTGCTCCCAAGACCAGCAAGATCAACACCATCTGTGACGCCGTCTTGCACAACTTGAAGGCTAAGAAGAACGCCAATCTGCAAAATATCATCACCGCTCACGTCTGCAAGAACCCTCCCGCCCTTTCGGACGGTCTGCAGGTGGTCGCCTCCCTCATGGAAGAAGACGAAACCCTAGCCGAGCGCGCAGTCGAGCATAACTGCTTCCTGGTCGACGTCAACAAGCTCTACGACCACGCCCTCTCGCTCTACAACCTCGAGTTGACTCTCCTTGTCGCCCAACAATCCCAGCGTGACCCGCGTGAATACCTCCCCTTCATCCAGTCGCTGCACAAGATGGACCCTCTCCGCCGGCAATTCACCATCGACGACCACCTCTCTTTCCACGAGAAGGCGCTCGTCCACCTCCGGGCCATCGCCAACACTTACTCCGACGAAGTCGAGTCCTACATTGTCAAACACCAACTCTACCCCTCCGCCCTCGCCCTCTACCGCAACGAACCCACCCCTCTCCGCACCATCACCGCCCTCTACGCCGCCCACCTCCGTTCCCTCTCCAAGTTCCGCGACGCCGGCTTGGCCTACGAGTCTCTAAGCGACTACCCAGCCGCGACCGAATGCTACCTCAAAGCCGGCACCTCCTCCTGGCGCGAATGTCTCTTCACCTCCTCCCTTGACCCTTCTCTGACCCCCGACCAACGTCACGAAATCGCCTCCACCCTCGCCGACGCCCTCCGCGAAGCCAAGGACTGGGCCGCCGTCGCCACCATCCAAGCTGAGCACCTGGCCTCTCTGCCCTCCGCCATTTCTGCCCTCTGCAAGGGCTACCTCTTCGCCGACGCCTTCCGGCTCATCTCCCTGCACGCCCGCCCCGAACTCCTCGAATCCCACCTCGACCCGGGCCTCCTCGACGCCTTTTCTTCCTCTACCGAGTTCCTCGCCGATTGCAAATCGCAACTGAAAGCCCAAGTCCCCCGCATCGCCGAACTCCGCCTCAAAGCCGCCGAGGACCCGCTAGCTTTCTACGAAGGCGAAAACCCCTTTGGCGCGCGCACTGGTACCGGTGGAGACATCCCCGACGACATCTCGGTAGCTGCTTCGTCAAGGGTGTCCACGTCCGCTTCGCTGTTTACGCGCTACACCGGTAAAGGGTCGCAAGTCACGGGCACGGTGGCGAGTAATGTGTCGCGGGCGACGAGCAAGAACCGCAAGAGGGAGGAGAAGAAGCGGGCGAGAGGACGCAAGGGAACGGTGTACGAGGAGGAGTATCTGGTGAATAGTGTGCGGAGGTTGGTGGAGAGAGTGGAGGGGAGTGCGAGACAAGAGGTGGAGAGGTTGGTGTGTGCTCTGGTGAGGAGGGGCATGAGTGAGCGGGCGAGAGCGGTGGAGGGGTTAATGGCGGAGGTTGTGGAGGGGTGTCTAAGGGCTGTGGATGAGGTTTGGCCTCAGCAGCAGCAGCAACAGCAGCAGGATGGACAGCAGCAGCAGGAAGGAGGACAGCAGGATGCTGGATGGGAGGGTGCTGATTGGAGACCGACGGGTGGTGATGCGGTGTTGGCGGATAGTATTGAGGCTATGAGACGCGGGGTGGGCAAGCCGGTGGTGAAGAAGTTTGAGCGGTTGAGTCTGTTGGGTGGTCGTTAGGGAAAGATAGGGGTTGTGGGTGCCTGGATGTATGGATAGAGGGGGAAAAGGATGAATAAAGTAAAAGGGGGTTGAGTCGTCACAGTTGAAGGAGAAAGTATCTAAAATGTTGAACTCAAAACAAAAAAAATGCAATAAGGACAAAGATGTTGATAGTTTCTCCGATTTCATAGGTAGGTTGTCTCAAAATTACGATAGACAAGAAAAAGATCTTCTTGCCTGTAATAGAAATATAGGAAAAGCTTCAATAGATATGAAATGTCCGCCCAGTCGAACCCATCGTCGCAGTAGATGCTGCGCAAGTCCGGCTAATACCATCCTCCCGAGTTGGAATATGTTGAATCTTCTCTATGCTTGCGGTTGAGGCACAAAAAATCTGATCAAGTACTATATCGGTTTGATGCGAGGTTCCGGGTATTTAATCCTCTACACCTGCCATACAACACCTAACTTGAAGATTCTCGTATCTCTGCCCATCCGATGCTCCCCCTTTTTGATCTGACCCAAATGCATTTTGTATACCTTTTTTGACCATATACACTAAAAATACACACAAAATTTGGAACTGCCGCTTTTTTTTCGACCAGTCAAGACTTGATCCCCATTATTCATTCCTCTTCACACTCAGCACAAAGCATTTCTCAACTCTGCAAAGTTTCTTCAGGAAGGAATCTTTACGGCCAAGCAAATTCCACAACCCACACTCCCCATTCGTTCATCCAAAAAAAACCTTAAACCTTTGGTTGCTCAGGGCTCGTCGTGGCCGCACCCTCCTCCCCACCAAGCGATAACTGCTCGACCGCCTTCTCGATCTGTGCCACCGTCTCCTCCTTCACCTTGGGCTGGGGCCCGGCCTGGTGTCCGAGCTTATTCCTCGCGACAACCTCGCCAATCTTGGCCAGCATCTCCTCCGTCAACGCCGGCTGGCCACGAGCACGGCGCAGCTCGCGCTGCTTCCGGTTATACTCCTGGACGGGGGTAAGCATGGCCTTGGCGGCCGACTTCTTGGCCTCCTTCTCCTGCTCCTCCTGCTCCTTCTTGGCAATGTACTCGGGCGTGTGACGGGTGCGGAAGATGGAGTACTTGTTGCGGAGCTCGTCGAGGACCTGCTGGGGCGCGGGCGGGCGGAACAGGGTGGGCACAAAGGTCTTTTCGTCCACGTCGATGCGCAGGGTGTCGGCCGGTTGGTCTTCGCGCTTGATGGGTTCCTGCTTGGGCCACGGGATGATGATGTTCTCGCCGGGGACGAAGCGGCGCATGCTACGGGTGCGCGTGGGGCGGTCGTGCACAATGTTGCGGGGGCGCAGCTCGCGGATGATCACGTCGCGGTACTCGCCCGTCTGAGGATCCTTGAGCGGGTGGACGAGGCGCACCGAGGAGATGGGAAGGCGGGCGTAGATTTGCGTGACGGGCTTGTCGGCGTCGTTCTGCATAAACTGGGGTACGGTCGTGTTTGTCTGGAAAGGAAATACAGCACATGGTGAGCATATTTATATCTACGGTGATGATGCACATGATGATCAAGACATGGTGGACGGGCTCACTTTGAGTTTCTCTGATTGGATCTCTACTGTCATGTTCCGGGTGTTGAGCTTCTCGATGGTGCCGATAAGGTCCTTGTGGTGGCCTTCGATCACCACGACGCGGTCGCCGGGGGCAATGCAGAGGAATTTGGGAGAACCGCACCAGGCGACGCGGGCCTTCCTCTCCTCTTCCGAGACCTCACTCTCGAGCAGGGCACGGGTGGGGGAGAGGGAGCCGAAGAAGTTGCCGTTGCTCAGCGTTATCTCGTCGAGTTCGCGGCGGGGGGCGAGGGGACCCAACATCCAGTCCTCATTGCGAGCTTCGACGGCGGCTTTTCGTTGTTGGATGGCTTCAGTGAAGGCTTCGCCGTTCTTTTTGTTCTGCTTTCTCTCTGTAATGCGCTTCAGGAGGGCGTTCTTGCGCTGGGCGCGGCGGGCAACCATGCCCTCGGCCATGCGCACACGCCGCAGCAGCTTGTCCATGGTTGTGTATATGTGTGTGTGTGTGTGTGTGTGTGTGTGTGTGTGTGTCCGGCGCGCTGGGGTATCTGGAGGAGGAGGAGGAGGAGGAGGCCGGAGGGGATTCGCGAATGGGCGGAGCGCGGGGAAGTCAGGCGGTCGCGGGGTCCGGGGCAGGTCGGGTCCGGGTGTCGTCGAAATGGTGATTTCTAGTCCCGCGCGGCGCCGTTGACGCTTCACTTTGCGGCTTTGCTTTGCGGTCCCGCCGAGCCATCAAAAAGTGTAGCGGGTCCGGCCGGCGGTACACATCGGTACGAGGGTACTTGCCAGGGTCCAGGATTTCCACAGCCGTGGCACGCGTCGGTGCGGTCGGTGCATGTTCCTGACCCCGTTCATTTTGGTCGACGGCCGTGATTTCTCAGCGCTGCCAGCTGCTGTATCTTACATGACGGCTGGCAGATCTACTAGGTATCGAATCATCAGCTTTCCAGTATGCGTAGGCAGTATCTTATGGTACCTTACAAGTGAGGCAAGTCAAAGGTAACGGTCTTGTTCCTCAACCCAATCTCATCATGCCGAGCGACTGAAAGTGAAATGTGAATGTTTATGCTCGACATGCTTCTTCAACTTGGCCGGCATCCAGCTCAGTACGCTTCCACTCGCTGCAACTTGAAGAAGCTCAATGTTAAAAGGTACCCCGACAGCGGGCATGAGTGGGTCCCGCATCCAGATGGAAAACTCCACCCAATCGGTTTTCGTTCTTGGCGTTCCTTCCGTCCTCTCGAAGCAGTGGTGGCTGCCGCCCGTCACCTCCCAGCCCCGGACAATTCACTTGGTTGGACAATGGAGGGGACCAGAGTGAACCGACGGGTAGGACTTTGGGAACCATCATGGACGGGCTAAGGTAGGACTTGCAATTCGACATCTGGCACCATGACCGATTGGGTTGTTGACGGCTGACGGCTGACGGGTGGCAGCTGACGCTTCCTTCTCCAGCCTCCCTCTCCTATCCCGTTTCGTCACCCACCAAGTCAACAAGCTCACGTCAATGCCATGGCAACCGAGATGTTCGCAATTCAAGAGACTGGTCTGCTATCTAGATGCGGCTGGGCACCGACACTTTGCTGACCGCTCCGTCTCTTGGTATATACTGTGTAGTGTATCAACAGCCGAGAGGAAATGGGGTATAGTGTGGTGTATGTACTGCGTATACCGACAAGACGGGAGCTTGTCTTTAATATCATGCCGTCCCCTTCCTCCATGTTCACTACTACTGTCAAGAGAGTCCTGGACCCTGATAATGGATGGCTGAGAAGGCCCAGAGGTATCAGTAAATTACTGCCTATGTAGCGTACACTAGGGACACCCAAAATAGGCGACCGGAAGGAAGAGGCCCATGGCGCACTGTGCCTGTTCCTGTTCCTTTTGGCCTTCAGGGGTCAGTTCTGGGCAGGCAGTCTGGAGATTAGCAGTTATCGCCGCCGCCCACTGGACCATCTTTCGCCTCGCCTGCCTTCGCTCGCTCGCAAAGCTCAGCTTCCACTTCCTCTACACTACTAAAATCCTGGGGGGGGGGGGGCCACGGCAGCAGCGCGTGCTTTCCCCCTTTGATCGACAGCCAGCCGAGCCAGCGCAGCGTGTCGGGTGTCGGATTACTGCGGTATGGATGTCTAAAAGTGGTTCGAGTGGTAATTTGGCCCGTCCCCACCGTGCACTTTTGCGCTTGTCATCAAACGAAGTTGAAGAAAAAAAAAAAAAAAAAAAAAAAAGGTCGAGAGTCATGTTCGGGAGATGGCCTTATTAGCCTTATGCAGCAAGTCCGGGGTAGCGAAAAAGGGGAACAGGAAGGAACATGACGACGACGATTTCAACGTCGGTCCACTATTAATATCACCAAAATCAGCTCTCTTTTCGCGTGCAAATAGCTGAATTACGGTAATGGAGGTGACAGTGTTAAATGTAGAAGGGGACCGGTACGTACCGCTTGCTGAGGATCTGGGCCACTCACAAGTCACATCAAGCCAACACTTCCCTTGTCTGGCCCTTTGCTCTTGGCTCGTCTCGCACCCCTACCGGCTCCTGTACAAGTGATGGGGTATTCCGACACGAAATGCAGCATCTTGGGTAGGTACCTAGGTAGTGTGTTGGATGAAAAATTAGTCGCTGCCTTCCTCTACCACACAGTACCTGTAGCCTCCAGGCTGCGACTGCTGCCAGACGGGACTGTGTGAACCCGACTGAGTGACTGCCTGTGCCTGGACAGCCAGCCCGCCCGTTCCCTTCTCTGGGGCTGCCCACCCACTGCCTCGCTCACCACCGACGGCAGCCAGCCCAGCTCAGTCTGACTGCCCGGCCCTGGTTCGCTGGCTGAGGTTTCCACCCTCTTCCAACCTTGCCCGTGGGAGTCCTGCACCTGTGGCTATCTGGTGGTCCCCCCGTCTCCGTTCCCCGTCTCCGTCTCCGTCACAACACAACTCACAACTTGAACAGGTTAGCACACCACCACCAGCGGCCACTACCTACCTTACCTACCACCACCACCACCACCACCGTCCTTCAACAACCACCCAACACCCCCATCTCCATTTTCCTTCCCTTTTCCATTTTGCATCTTTTATCGACCAAATCCAGGCCGCGTGATACCCTCTCCCGTCCTTTGCATACAACCCGTCGACAACAAAGCACCGTCCGTCGACATCACACTCAACTATTCAACAACTTAATCTCTCCTCCCCTATTCACACAACCACCAAACCGACGCCATGTCTGCTGAACTCCGCCGAAAGCTCGTCATCGTTGGCGATGGTGCCTGCGGCAAGACCTGTTTGTTGATGTATGTCCATTTCCCCTTTCCATATTCAAGAGAGTGATGCTGCCCTCAGCGCGCGTCGTCGTCGTCGTCGTCGTCGTCGTCATCGTCATCGTCACCGCCGCTCTCCCCCCCATCACGACCTTTTGCTAACCAAATCTCCAGCGTCTTCTCCAAGGGAACCTTCCCCGAGGTAAGTCAGGCACACTTGTCTGTTCGGGACTGAGACGTCCATCTACACACCTCCTGCCCTCGACCGTTTGTTCGCTACACCGCCCCAACCGCCTGACGAAACACGCATTTTCCTGCCAATTGCCGCGTCTCGCCTCCCCCCGAACAGGATACATCCATCTCCTCAGCCCGACAAACCATCAAGCCATCAAATTCGAAACACCCGCCCTGTCGTCATCATATCCGCATCCGAATAAGCGCTGCTCAGCCAGCTAACTCTCTGCGCCCAGGTCTACGTCCCTACCGTGTTCGAGAACTACGTCGCCGATGTCGAGGTTGATGGCAGACACGTCGAGCTCGCGCTATGGGATACGGCTGGTCAGGAGGATTATGACCGTCTCCGTCCCCTGTCCTACCCCGACTCTCACGTCGTCTTGATCTGCTTCGCCATCGACTCTCCCGATTCGCTCGACAACGTTTCCGAGAAGGTCAGTATTCCGCCTGCTTACTTGGCGCGCCCTTGTCTTTGAGGCTGCAATTCGCTAACAATCAAAACAGTGGCACTCTGAGGTTCTTCACTTCTGCCGTGACGTCCCAATCATCCTCGTTGGCTGCAAGAAGGATTTGCGCCACGACCCCAAGACCATTGAGGAGCTCCGCAAGACCAGCCAGAAGCCCGTTTCCCCCGAAGAGGTACGTGAGGCTGAGACATTGGCGGCTGATGATGCCCCTTTTGTTTCCAAGTGCTTTCCCCCCGCTTGCTCGGGAATGTATGCTAACGCGCTCATCAACAGGGTGAGGCTCTGAGGAAGAGGATCAACGCCCACAAGTACCTCGAGTGCTCGGCCAAGACCAACGAGGGTGTCCGTGAGGTGTTCGAGAACGCGACAAGAGCCGCCCTCCTCAAGAAGACAAAGACGAAGAGGGGCCTCTGCAAGAGCTCGGTCTAAACAAACCCACAGCTCCTTAGAGAGATGCTTTTATTTCTACCGCACGACGAACAACATCATCTGCACCAAGCCCTCCCCGGATAGCCTCGCAACATGTAATCAAGCAACGGTTTTCAAAGCGAAAGATGATCATCACCTTAGTTGATAATTCTCTGCCAATGACGCCGTCAATGCTGCTACCGAGCGGATAATATTTCACAGAGAGAAGAAGAAAGGGGTGTGGAGAGCGCATATGGGGAGGGGCTTGGGATTTCGGGGATACTTATGGGCCTTACTACTCGATATTTAGGGAGGATAAATGGGTCTGGACTCCTTTCCACTATTTCTGTGTGTGTGTGTGGTCGGCGTGGACGGGTGCGTGGCTTGTGTTCATGTATACACAAACGGAGGACACCTGAGGGCGGTAAAGGGAAAGAGAGAGACTGGAGAAAGGAGTTTTGCGGTTCAATATTTCTTGTTTCTTCTGGAATCACATGCCGCGTCTCTGGCCCCCCTTTACCTGTCTCCTTTATCTCTCTTTCTCTGTCACTGCCCATGTGCGTCTGTCTCTTATCTCTCTCTCTGTGTCTACCTGTCTGTTATTAATCTCTAGTTTTATCGCGTTCTTGTTTATCTGTCTCCGTCTGCTGCTGCTGCATGGTTCAAATTGGGATTTGAGATCGAATGTTCCGTATTGTTTGGGCGATCGGCGTGGCGAGGCCGCCGAATGTCCCTGCTACTTCCATAGACCGTTGACGACAATTGCTGTTACCTTTTGTACATCCTCAGACCATTCATTGCCCGTCTCCTCTTGCTATACGTGTGTCAAACACTGGCACGAGCACAGACTTCTTCTACGTCAGCCCGTTTGTCTACCTAGTCTTTCAGTCCGAAGTTCAGTAGTCATCACGCTTTGCCGACTATGCAATCCCGAGGAGAGAGGCCGCCGCCAGCTCCAGACCCAGACGTGAAACAGTTGATTGAATGAAGGACGTCATGTCTATCAAGGGTATACCTAGTTATATTCCCGAGTCATCACACCCGGCGCGTGAGGTATGCCAGAAAGGCATGATTGGTCTCGACAGCCAACGAAGCTATCACTTGCAAGTAAGCTATGATGTGCCATACATCATATACTTTGCGTCTCGAACACTCTCTGGGCATTCTTCATTATAGCCAACAGAGGGGGGGAAAAGAGGCGACAAACATGACACTTTTTAAGGTATGTATATATACGCTCCCCGCTGTCACTTCCTTTCAGTTCTTCAATTCCGTGATAACTCAACGCAGGATGTAAATATTCGTTTAGGTATCTATCTAGCTCTAGCCTTGGGTAGGAGGCAAGCAAGGTAGTCAAGTCAAGCCAAGTCAACCAACCAACCGAACGACGTAGACAAAAGTCCGTCGCTCGCTTTCTCCTTTTCCTCCTCTTCCCTTCCTCCCAGGACAGAAGGCCGCTTGCTGTCTTGTCTTATCTTGTCTTGTCTTCTTTTTTCTTGTTCGCTCCCAGGTATCAAAGTATCAATATCAGATATCAAGGTAGGTAGGTAGGTAGGTATGTAAGTATGTACATCCCACACAAGAAAGACTCCACTCCACTCCAGTCTTGCCATCCGTAAGGGAAGCATAAGACGGACCCCAGCCCCGGAGTGATCGGGACTCAGCTCAGCTCATCTCATGGTGATGACCTCGTTGTTGGTATTGTTGTTGTTGTTGTTGTTGTTGCCTCCCGTCTTGATATATGCCGGATTGCTTGTTCTAGTTGGGGCAGGACTGTTTACGTGTTCCCAAAGAGTGATGAGGTTAGTTATCGGGTTATCTCTTTTTGGGTGTATGTGTGGACTTCGGGATAAGCGAGGTTGGATGGTGATGGATGGGTGAGGGAGAAAGAAAGAATGATTGATGGATGGATTGTCGAACTCACAGCACCGCAGGAACCGCACGACTTGGAAGAACCGTCCGAGGCGGCTCCGCACTTGGGGCAGCTTGATCCGTGCATTTTTGGAGGGTGTTTAGGTTGGGTTTGGGTTTGGATTTGGTTGTCAACGACTGCAGATGAGGAGAGAGACGTAAACGTGAGGTGATAACCAGAAAGAAGTAAGAGAAAATGGAAAGTTGCTGAAACGCTAGTATTTATACTTTTTTTGGTGTCTCCTCTTTGAAGGTCACATTGCCACCAGACCACCCAGCTACAGTATCGTATCGTAGCTACATACAGCTAGCTAGCTGCCTTTCCACTTGGTCCCTTGTCGTGGTTGTCTAGTGACCTCCATTAGGTCAGGTCTTGTTGCTTGACTTGTGTATCTCAGTGTGTGTGTGTGTATAATGAGCAAGATAAGTAGGCACACCCTTCTAGGTACTCCTACTACTTACTGCCTTGTTCAGCCGCTGGCTAGATAAGATAGTATCCTTACCACCTGAGCCCCCCTCTGTTTTCTGAGAAGTTTCAGCAGTAGGTGTGCGGCACAGTTATTGTATGCACTCTTGAAACTCTTTGGTGTACATCTCGACATCTGACTGACCAGGCTCCTTAGGACAAAACAACCTCGACTATTTCGACTTACCCACCCTACCGATAGACCTAGCACTTGACTATCCACGTCCGATGATGACTTTGAAGAGGTTGTTGATCCCAAGACTATTGACCATTGTCACACACACACACCATTTACCCTCTCATACCGTAACAACCCCCATCATTCCTTCCTATCTCATGTGGTGAAGTGTCATTCAGTAGCAAGCCCCATACCTATCAGCAATCACACTCCTCCCCATCATCCATCCAGGGTCTCAAAGGGGTCTACGCTAGCACTACACTAGAACTAGGGGCGGTGATCCCCCCCAAAGGCAACTTTGAAAGCTTAGACGTGTAGTGTACATAGCAACCAGTACCCACTTGCACTAACAGCATCAACGGCAACCCCACAATCTACCTACGTATTCTGCTGGATTAGCAATCTCCAGGGTCCTGAGTGGTTGGTTGGCTGGTTGGTTATTTCAGTCAGGTGAACCACCACTACCACCGCTATGATGTGCTGTGCATGATTGATGTATTCCATGATCATGGGGGGGGAGGGGGGGAGAGGGGAGGGAATGATAGGTTTGTAGTGTATGTATGGTACGGGAGCAGATTTGGGGGTTAGGGGGGAAAGCAGGGCTGTTGTATCTGTACCTGCTGTGATTCATGTATTCTTCAGCTTGAACCGTCCGTGATGCCTGGTTAGCAAGAGTGACGACGGACCGGGCGATTTATTTATAACTCGTGCAAGGAAAGGGGAAAGTTGAACAGTACCGTACTGACAAATTAGGAGGAAAAAAGAAAAAGAAAAGAAAATCACGTACTGTGCAATCAATGTAAAACAATTCGACAAAGTTGATGGGTTCGTATGATATGATAGGAACACTGTCTCTGGAAAAGACGTTCAAGTAAGCGAATATATTACTTACCTAGGTAGGAATGGTTATTATATAGTACGAAATCTGGGCAGAATCTAGATATCCAATCGTTCGTCAACGAGGCAATGCCATGCATTGTACAGCATAAGGCAAACTAGAAACGCGGGAGAAGGTCGAACCATGGTTCATCTCAAGTTCGTTTCGTCCTCGGATGAACTACATCATGAAAGAAAGGTAAGTAGTGTGTATTCGTAGGCACCCCGTTTGTATCTGGTTCCAGTAAATACGCAAGCTCATGATATCGTGAGCATGTACGATGGTAAGAGAGATGCAAGGACAACCCTCGTATCCCGTCGCGGTACCCTACCACCCTACCAGATGCCGGGCGTCTGGATTTGCCTGTAGCTGGTAACTAAACCATGTATCTTCATGTGCAATCCGACATTGAAACACCATCGAACACCCAACTAAACCATGTCCATATCCCAAAGGTGTAGGTACCTGTGTATATACCGTTCATGCCATTCTATATCCCACACCCTCCAAATCCTCGTCATATCCAAATAAAACAAACCTCCTTTTTCCTTTCCCCTCCCTCCTCTCAGCGAGCACCAGCACAACAAAAGGCAAGCATAGAGCATCGTCTTCTTCTTACTGGGAAATCTCAACGCCAGGGTGTGTCCATATGTCTTCTTTTTTTTTTTCCTTCCCTAGAATACAATTCCGCTGTATCCATCCCAGCCCTATACAACCCATCATCATCTTCATCTTCATCATGATCATTAAGGACTACACATCAATAGTCAAGAGTCAAGAGTCTCAAACTAAGACATACACTGCCCCGCGCCTCCTTCCCCTCGCATCATCTTCCCAGCCGCCTGCAACATACTGATCCCCATAACCAGCGTGCCAAACGCCGCCGTGGCCCACGCCGCCGCCCTCTTCCAGCCTCCGGTTTCTTTGGTCAATTTCAAATAACACAACGGCGGCAATATATACGCCATGGCTGCGGCACTAGTAGCTCCGACCAACTCAAACACAGTTCCCAAATCACAAGTGATCATGCTCAACACCATGGCGCTGACTACCAAACTAGAAGTGAACAGCAGGTGCAGGTTCATGTTAAAGGGGTCCCCAGGGAACCAGTAGTTGAGCATGACTTCGCGACAAACAAAGGCTTCGAGGGGGAGTGTGGTGAGCATGTTCAATCCGAAGCAGAGGCGGGCGACGTTGACCATGGTGTTGTCGGCGGGGAAGTTGTTGAGGACGTTACCGAGGGTGCGGTCGCCGAAGGTCAGAAAGCCGACGAGGGCCATGAGCAAGCAGGCGATCATGGAGACGCCGGTGGAGATGTGGGTGACGAGGGAGAAGCGGTCGATGGTGGGGGTTTTGAGGGAGCCGTAGATTAGGAGGGAGTTATGGTGGCAGACGAAGGCTGCGTGCGGTGGAGTTAGTAACTTTTTTTTTGGATGAATGTTGGTGGAGAGAAGAAGAAGAAGAAGGGACAACTCGTACCAAAGGATATTACTCCTATAGCTTGGAATATGCCATCGTTAATGATGAGCAGATTCCAGCTTGCCAATGTCCCTTTGTCCGCTTCTGGAGCTAATCCGCCTTGTACGAGGACCGTGAC